CAGGGGATTGGCTAAATAAATCACAGTGCAGCTACTACCTCTATACAACAAAATATCACGGAGCTACCAGAAAGGCAGGTGTGTGTCTGAAATTCCTGCTGAAAGCCTAGATTAGCTCTTGCCACAAAATAAAAACCAAAAAGGTAAATGTGAGATGGATGCCAATTCACTTCTTCATAGAATTGACTTCACTATCTACACATATCAATATCACATTATATACCTGAAATATACACAGTAAAATTTATCTTAAATAAGGTTGACCTATGCACACTAATGTGGAAAAAGGCATATTATATAAAAACAGGTTGTAAAAAAGTGTGAAATGTGACCCTCTTGTTTCTGTAAAATAACAATTGTGCTGTGTATCTGTCTTGTATCTAAAATATACAAGACATAAAGAGAATTTAATTTCCAGTATTTTATCCCAGAGTCACCCTAGAATACTACCAAGCCCAGAGTAGGTGCCAAAGAAATGTGAATAAATTAACACTTATTCCAGTGAGCTATGTAAGAGGCACCCAGTAAGTATTTGCTGAACTTCACATACATGCAGAGAAAAGAATTTCAAAGAACAGTTACACTGTACACTATTCGATACACATAGTAGCAGTGGCTAGCTGTGGGCCTGGGTTTAAGGAGGGTTTTCCCTGTCACTCAACAATCAGCCGAGGAGGATTCCTTCTCCGGGTGTCAGCGTGCTGGAGAGCAAAGACATCACACTGCACAGGAGCAGACCAGGGTGCCGCTTTCATGTAGCAAGTAACACCTGTTACACCAAGTAACACGCGGAACTGGAAACGTTCAGGTTACAGCTGGGTTAGGCAGGAAAAGTACAGCATCAGAAGAAAAAGCGCAATCAGCTCATGTCGGTAACCTCAAGATGAATAAGAGGGTTCACTGTACCATCCTGTTTAAAATTTGCCATAATATTTTCTTTTTAAACTCAAAAAAATTTTATAATTTAAAAATTGGGGAAAAAAAAACACTCAGATTGACCTGACTTGGTCCGAGCAGCAGGGGAACATGGCAAAAGGAACCAATACTATTAAGACTTTGACATGAGAAAAAAATCTTAGAAAGAAGGTGTCAATGAAACATCAGTAAAGCTTAGGAGAATAAAGTTCAGATGGGCCCACTACGGAGATTCAGCAGGGATGTGCCTGGGTCAAGTCTCAGCTACTCCACTTCCAACTCAGCTTCCCGTTAATTCATCCTGGAAAGCGGCAGCTGATGGTGGCCCAAGTGCTTCCACCATGTGGGAGACCCAGCTGGAGTTCCTGGCTCTTGGCTTTGGCCTGGCCCAGCCCTGGCTGTTTTGGGTATTTGAGAAGTAAACCAACAGATGGCAGTCTGATCAACTGATTGATCAATCTTTGTCTCTCTTCCTCTGCCTTTCAAATACATGTAAAAAAATTTTTTTAAAGTGTTAAAGTTTTTAAAAAATTTTTTAAAGTTTTAAAGTTCTTAAAAAATTTTTTAAAGTTTCATAATGAGGCCTCCTGGTTCTCATTAGAGTTCTGGTCTGGGGCTATAAAGCCCTAAAAGTATCTTAAACTAGCATAATACCAGCTAGAATGCTCCTTTTTTGGGATATTTTAATTTGGTAACAGTTGCATGCTGTTTCTAGAGAAAAAAAAAGACATCTATACACAGCTGGAAGTACAAATCAGTCCAGCCTTTTTTTTCCCTTAAAGATTTAGTTATTTATTTATTTATTTGAAAGTCTGAGTTACTCAGAGAAGTGGAGGCAGAGAGAGGGATCTTCCATTTGCTGGTTCACACCCAGATGGCCACAATGGCCAGAGCTGCATTGATCCGGAACCAGGAGCCAGGAGCTTCTTCCAGGTGGGAGACCCACAAGAAGCTCCTGGCTCTGGATAGAATCAACTCCAGCCATTGCAGCCATTTGGGGGAGTGAACCAACTGATGGAAGATCTCTTTCTCTCTCTCTGCCTCTCAAATAAATAAATAAATCTTAAAAATAAGAAAGTGTGTGGCATGCAGCTGGCCTAGCAGTTAAGACGCTGGTTGGGACACCTGCACCCCACAATGAGTGCCTGGGTTCAATTCCTGACTCTGGCTCCCAAGTCCAGCTTCCTGAGATATGGGCCCTGGGAGGCAGAGGTGAGAGCTTAAGTGACTGAGTTTCTGCCACCAACACGGGAAACCTGGGTTGAATTCCTGGCTCCCAGTTTCAGGCTGGCCCAGTGCTAGCCATCGGGAGTATCTGGGAAGAAAACCAGCAGAAAGCAACTGCTGTCAGACTCTGTGTCTGAGAGAAAAAAAGAGGAGAGGGGAGGAGAGGGGAGGAGAGGGAAGGGGAGGGAAGGGGAGGGGAGGGGAGGGGGAGGAGAGGGGAGGGGAAGGGGAGGGGGAGGGGAGGGGAAGGGGAGGGGGAGGGGAGGGGAGGGGGAGGGGGAGGGGAAGAAGGGGAGGGGAGAGAAAGGAGGGAGGGAAAGAAAGTTCCGGACTGGGCCTGGCCCAGCTCTGGCTGTTGTAGCCACCTGGGTTGTAACCCAGCAGATGGAAGATATCTGTCTCTCTGCCTTTCAAATAAATAAGTCTTTTTAAAAACAGAATAAAATGCATTGTGCTGGTGAGGCTACGAGAAAACAAGACACCCTATCAACATTGGTAAAGTGAGATCACCACTCTGAAGGTCAATTTAGCAATGTGAATAAAAATGGAAAATCAGTCAACAATTTTATTGTGAAGAACTCGTCCCGACCTATACTGTTGGCCAAGTCTCATCTAAAAATTAAGACACGGGATGTTTGCAGGATTCTGTGGGCAAAGGACTTTGTCCCAAGCAGTTTCAGAAATGTAAATGGCAGTCCATTCTATGCCTGTGGCCAACTCCTCATCCCCTCAGCTCTGGCATCTCACAGCAAACCAAGAAAAGATTATGATACATTCTTCCATCTCTTTTTGAAGAGTCTGAAGAAATGGCAGCGCTGAGGCAGTGAGTAGGACCAGAGCTTGCTCTGGTATCTTAAACTGCTCAGACCTCGAGTGGTGCGCGGCTTATCACCACCCCACTGTAGTAGCTGAACTTCATCAGAATGAAAACCTTCGTACTGCAAAGGACATTGTCAACACACCAGCCAACCACACAGCGAACAGGGAACTTAAATCCAGGATGGAGAACTCTCAGCAACTCAAAAGTGATAACAGAAACCAATGTAAACAGGAGCAAAGGATTTAAATAGACATTTCTCCAAAGAAAACATGAATGGCCAATAAGCTCCACATTATCAGTCATCTGGGAAAGGGGAAGCAAAAGCACAAAAGGCAGACGACAGCGAGAGTGAGGATGTGGAAGAAGCTGGAATCCTACAGGAGAGTAGTAAAACAGGGCAGCCAGTTCGGAAAACAATGACACACCCTCAAGTTGTTAAGCGGCCTTACCACGTGACCTAGGTACAAACCCGAGAGACAGGCAAACAAACGGCTGGCACTCCGATGTAGGAAACAGCATTATTCATAAAAGCCAAGGGGCCCAACTGTCCACCAAGCTACGGAACGGGCATACACTGTAACACGGTAGATACAGCCGTGCAATGGGTATTATTTGGCAATAACAAACATGAAAATAGCCCAGCACACACAAGAAATGACATTCCACTCATTAGGTAAAGGCACATCAAAACCACAAAGCCGGCGCTTCTCTCCCGCCCGGAATCAGCCTGGGAGAGGGTGCAGGAACTTCAGCGGAACCCCTGCAAACTGCTCGGAACAGGAGATGGTGCTGCTGCTGTGTGGTCTGAGCTCTCAGTAAGTCAAGCAAAGTCACCAGGAGCCAGCAAGTCCACCCTCAGCACGTCCCCTAAAGAACCAGACAGGGTGCACAACAAAAACGCGCGGACCGACGTCCACAGCAGCCTGAAGTAGCAACAGCAGCCCTGAGCGGCGAGGGCGGGACCCGGAGTGTTACTCGCCATATGTTACAAAGCACGGATACTCGCTTGCTACAACACGGATGAGCCTGCAAAACTCTGGGAGCCAGTCACAGACCGCCACACGGCCGGGGAGCCCACCCATACCAATGCCCAGAGAGCAGGATCAACAGTTGCTTAGAGATGGGGAGGACGCGGGAGAACTCAGCGCTGCTCCAATGGGTACAGGGGAAAAAAATCCCAGTATCAGACTGGTGATGGGTACACAGCCCTAGGAATATACGGGAAAAAAACCCAAACACGCTGGGTTGCGCACTTTCCATGGGTGAGGTGTACGGTGTGCCAATCACAACTCAAGCTCTGTTGCACGCGGGCTTGTCACCCCAGTACGCAGGGCTGGAGCCAGGCGGCCAGAGCCTGGAGTCGCTCGCTGCATGGTGGAAGCGTCCGCCCCTGCTTCACCGCGAGCAGACCTGGCTGCAAAGCCGGAGACCACGACTCCCACCTGCTCGGAGCCCGCTCGGCCCCGTCCCCTCCGCAGCACGCCGGGGACCGCGGCGCGGACCCGAAAGCCAGGAAGCGGAGGGCGGCACGCGCACGGCCCCACCTCGCCCCTCGCCGACGCGGGGCCGGCTCGCCACGGCCGGAGGCGGGCAGCCGGGGCGGAAGGCACCGATGACGCAGGCCCCCACAAGCAGCTCTCTGCACCCACAGCCCCACGGCGGCCGGGGCCTCGGCGTCCGCACCGACAGCGGATTCGCCGAGCGGAGGCTCCCGTCCAGCAAGCTGCCCCGGAGCCGCGGCCCACGTACGCGAGCCAGCGGCGCCTGCTCGGCTCTTGGCTCCTACCTTCCACCATCCCCACCGCCATCTTTCGGAGAAGACCCCGGAGCTTTCGCTAAAGGGCTCTGGGCAGCATCACCTCCGCTCCGAGCCCGGGAAGGCTGCGTCCCCTCGGGGCGCCCGGACGGCGGGACCGGCGACCCGCACCCTCGCCCTTCCTCGCGCACGGGGCTGCCGGCCTCCTCCCCCACCCCGCCCCAGCTCTCCAAGGTCCGGCGCCGGGGGAGGGGGGGCGCAGGCCCGGTGCGCGGCCCTCACCTGCACACGCCGCGGATGCAGGGCTCCAGCCAGATGCGGTAGGCGGTCTCGATGTGCTCCTGCGACACCTCCTCGGGCCGCACCGTCTCCGCCCAGCGCCAGGCGGCCTTCTCCAGCTGCAGCCGCGGGGCCATGGCCTTGCCCCAAGGAGCGCCTCCCCAGCCCGGCCGTCGCCGTCGCCGCCACCGCCACCGCCGCCGCCTGCGCCGCTGCCCTACTGGGCTCCGCCACCTGCCAGCGAAGAGGACCAGGCGCTCCCTCAGCCAGCTGGCCAGTCAATCACCTGTGCGCGCCACTGCCGCCGCGCCCGCCCGCCCGCGCGCCCGCGCCCAACCCGCACGACCGGCCGCAAAGCGCCGCCGTCGACACCCGACACCCCCCGCGCCCGCGGACGTTGGCAGTGGAGCCCCCTGCCGCGGAGGGCGCATGCGCGTTCCCAGCAGTCCCTGCGTCTCCCGCGCCTCTAACCGGACGGGCGGAGGAAGGGGAAGCGTCGGTCCAAGGCCGTCTTGCCACGTCCTCACCGGCGCTGCTAGGGCGGAGGGCTCTTCAGCCTCTGTTCGGGGTAGCGCCCCGCGAACCGCTGCTCTAACAAGCCCGCGCTCCGAGAAGACTATTCTTTCCTCCGGAACTTCCCCTCTAAGTGGAGGATTCGCGCGAGAGGCTACTCAACGCACACCATAGGTCCGCGTGGCCGGTGGGGTGGGACCTGTTGAGAGTAGACACCGAGTCACCAAAGAAACCAGGGTCGCCTCTCTGGAGGAAGGTTTAACTTGACCCTGGGCCGGTGCCCAAGTCCTTTCCCGAGCCCTCGTGACGTCATGGGGCGTTCTGGGCTTTTCTTGAACTAGAACGGGACTACGTGTTCCGGCAGGCACTGCGTCCTGCCACTCACTGCAAGGCATGCTGGGATTTGTAGTCGTCAAGGTGGGCGGACTAGGTAGTGGCGCCGCAGGTTAGGCGGGGGCACCCGCAGGTCAGGTTCCTCCGGCGCGAAGGGTCGTCCTTGAGGTTGCCACTCCCTTCCCGAGTCTTTTTGTGATTTCCTGGTTCTTTCAGGCAGCTCCTCGGTTTAAAACGTTTCCTGCCCCGGGAGCGTAGGCTTATCACAAACTCTGAAGGGCGTTGCCGGGGAGACGATAATTGAGGACTTTGCATCCGAATGAGAACCCTGCGGGAATCGAAGCACAACTTTGAGTCACCTGCTAGCCGGGAATCTTGGACTTGGGCGGGGGGGCGGGGGGGGGGCGCGCTCCCAGACTGGGGCAGGTGGGAGAGGCAGGCCGAGAGCTGGCCGTCAGGGTCAGGGGCTCAGTGAAGATTCAGAAGGTGGTGAGTGATGGAATGGAGATTTTCGGCTTTGCAAGCGTCCTTGGTCCGGGTCAAGATCAGAGGCAGAGAAATCTGTGAGACAGAGGGGCTGACTTTGGGTGCAGCAGTTAAGACAGGTGGGCATCACCCACACCTGGGAGGAGCCGTGTTAGGTAGCAAGGTAGGCATCACCCACGCCTGAGCGGAGCCGTAGAACGGAAATGGAGAGTTTTGTGCGCTGAATGAGGGGAGGAAGTAGAAGCAAGCCTTGAAAGCAGACCAGCGTCCGCACAGCAGAAGCCTCGTCCTCGGGGCTGCGTTGTGGCTTGGGCGCGCCGGGCTGCTCCGCCTCACCCAGCTCCCTAAAGACGGGAAAAGCAGCGGAGGGAGCGCCCTGCCCACCCACAAGGGAGACCTGGAAGAAGCTGCAGGCTCCTGGCCTCGGCCCCACCCAGCATTGGCGGCTGGCTGCCTTCCGGGGAGTGAGCCTGGGCATGGAAGATCTCTCAGTGTAACTCTTTCAAATAAATAAAGCTTTAAAAAAAGTCTTTGTTCCCATAACCTTGTTAGGTGGTCCCAGCTCTCCCCCAGGGCAGCTGAAGGGGCGGAGACCCCCACCTGGTGGGTTATTGGGTAGAAGGGGCAGGGCAGGATTCGAACATTGAGATGCATATGCATATGCTGGTCATAGATGTCTTTTAGGCCTTTGTCACACACACACAAGCTCATATCTGACTTCTTCCTAAGAGACTTACTAGCAAACAAACCACCACCACCCCCTCCCACGGGGCAGGGAAGAGTTCCCAAAGCTGCCCCCGGGGTAGACTGGGACCCTGCTAACCAGCTTCTGGGACACAAAGACTGAATGTGCAAACAGGTCTGCTTGCACAGATCCCTCGTTCAGCTGGTTTTGTTTGTCAGCCCCTCTCTCACACACAGGCTAATGGCTAATTTCCTACCTTGTGAGGGCAGCGGGCCAGCTGGGAGCTGACCACTGCTGCCGCATGGATTATAATCTGGGAGATCTGCGTCCCAGGCAGACTGCCGCTGGCTTGGGGCTTTTCCGTTCCTTCCTCAGCAGGGACCCGGTGCCTTCCACAGGCCCCTGCCACCCACGTGGGAGACCTGAAGGAGTTCCGTGCTGCCGGCTTTGGCCTGGCGCAGCTCAGTTGTTGCAGGCTTTTGGGGGAGGGAACCAGGGCATGGGAGCTCCCTGCCTCTCTGTGTTTCAAATAAATCAAAATCACAGTTTTTAAAATGATTTCTTTATTTATGTGAAAGAGTTACAAAGAAAAAAGGAGAGGCAGAGAGAGAGAGTGGTCTTCCATCCACTGGTTCACTCATCAAATGGCTGCAACAGCCAAGGCTGGGCAGGCCAGAGCCAGGAGCCAGGAGCCGGGAGCAAGTACTCCCATAAGTTAGGGAAGTTTTTTTTGTTTGTTTGTTTACAGGCAGAGTGGACAGTGAGAGAGAGAGAGAAAGGTCTTCCTTTTGCCATTGGTTCACCCTCCAATGGCCGCCACGGCCGGTGCGCTGCAGCCAGCGCACCGCACTGATCCGATGGCAGGAGCCAGGTACTTATCCTGGTCTCCCATGGGGTGCAGGGCCCAAGCACTTGGGCAATCCTCCACTGCACTCCCTGGCCACAGCAGAGAGCTGGCCTAGAAGAGGGGCAACCGGGACAGAATCCGGCGCCCTGACTGGGACTAGAACCCTGTGTGTCTGTGCCGGCGTCGCTAGGTGGAGGATTAGCCTAGTGAGCCGCGGCGCCGGCTGGAAGTTGGTTTTATAGACAGAAAGGGGCTGATGAGAATAGAAGCAAAGAACTGAAGGCAGACTGATCTTTTCAAAGTCACTTTTCTTGAAAGAGGGGACGGGGAGATAGAATAATTAAAAGACTGCTTGGTTAGCTTCAGGTTGCTTTTTTGGTTAGGAATCGCAAGGTTCTGTGGATTGAAACTGGCCTGCTGTGGGAAGCTGGCTGACCCTGGACTTCTCAGAGGGTCACATGATGGCTTAGTGACTCCATTTTGACTTTTAGTCTGATCTCTTGGGGGCTACCTGGTACAGATTAGTCCAGAACAGCACTTCCTCCTAAGGTTTTTATTTAATCGCTTTACAAAACTATTTTATTTATTTATTTGAAAGGCAGAGTTATACAGAGAGAGGGAGAGACACGGAGAGAGAGAGAGATCTTCCATTTGCTGGTTCACTCCCCAAAAGGCCACAACAGCCAAGAATGTGCCAGGCCAAAGCCAGAGCCCAGAACTCCATCCAGGTCTTCCATGTGGGTGCAGGGACCCAAGGACTTGAGCTATCTTTTTTTTTTTTTTTTTTGAAAGATTTATTTATTTGAAAGATTTACAATGAGAGGTAGAGACACAGAGAGAGGTCTTCCATCTGCTGGTTCACTCCCCAATTGGCTGCAATGGCCTTAGCTGTGCCAATCTGAAGCCAGGAACTGGGAGACTCCGGGTCTCCCACTTGGGTGCAGGGGTACAAGGACTTGGGCCATCTTCCACTGCTATCCCAGGCCACAGCAGAGAGCTGGGTCAGAAGAGGAGCAGCCTGGAGCCGGCGCCGTGGCTCAATAGGCTAATCCTCCACCTTGCGGCGCCGGCACACCGGGTTCTAGTCCCGGTTGGGGCGCCAGATTCTGTCCCGGTTGCCCCTCTTCCAGGCCAGCTCTCTGCTATGGCCAGGGAGTGCAGTGGAGGATGGCCCAGGTGCTTGGGCCCTGCACCCCATGGGAGACCAGGAAAAGCACCTGGCTCCTGGCTCCTGCCAGGATCAGTGCGGTGCGCCGGCTGCAGCGGCGGCCATTGGAGGGTGAACCAGCGGCAAAGGAAGACCTTTCTCTCTCTGTCTCTCTCTCTCACTGTCCACTCTGCCTGTCAAAAAAAAAAAAAAAAAAAAAAAAAAAAAGAAGAGGAGCAGCCTGGACTAGAACTTGCGCCCACATGGACGCTGGCGCTTCAGGCCAGGGTGAGCTGTCTTTTGCTGCTTTCCCGCACACATTAGCAAGGAGACGTAAGCTGGTGCTCCTATGGGATGCTGGCTTCACAGGTGGTGGCTTAACCTGCTGCACCACCGAGCTGGCCCCCCCTGCTTTATAACAATATCTCTCCTGTGAAAGTCGCCAGTGGCTTCCACGTCTCAGACCCAGTGCTAAGCACGCGGTGTTTCACTGGACCTCTTGGCTGCATCTGTCCCGGCGATTCACTCCCTGCTCTTGGAGACACGGTCTTCTGGTCTTCTGATTTCCCTGTGGCTCCTTGGCCATGCCTCGTCTGTGTCCCTTGCTGGGCTTTCTCATCCTCAGCCTGGAGACTGGAGTGGCCTAGACTTCAGTCCCTCCGACCCCTCCCCTTTCTTCACTCCCTGGGTGATGTCGTGTTGTCTCCTTTCTGGGCTGTAGATAGCAGCCGTGTGTGGAGAGCCCCTGAGTTGATACCTCCAGGCCTGACAGTGCTTGGAAGACGCCAGCCCCGCACACCCTGCTGCTTCCTTGGCATCTCCAGTGTGCAGCTCTGGGGCTTTACTGGTCGAAAACAGCCTTGTTCCACTTCCAGCGGCTTCCTGCTCCCCCCGCCCCCTAATATCCTGCAACCTTTCCCACCGCAGGAGCTGCTGTATCTCTGTCCTCCCAATAACCAAGCAGCAGCCTTGACTTCTCCCTTTCTCTCACATCCATGTCCAGTCCTTCCTGGCAGCCTGAGACATCTGTCCCCAGCATATAGGGAGAATGCAATGACTGTTACCACTGGTCACCCCTGGACCATTACAAGAGGGTCCTTACTGGGCTCCCTCTCTTTTCCTAAGACTTGGTTGTTTGAAAGGCAGAGTGATGGAGAGAGAGGGAGAATCGGAAAGAGACCTTCCATCCCCAAATAGCTGCGATGGCCGGGGCTGAGCCAGGCTGAAGCCGGGAGCCAAGAACTCCATCTGGGTGTTCCATGTGGTGGCAGTGGCATAAGCACTCGGACCATCATCTGCTGCCTGCATAGGTACGTTAGCAGGAAGCTGGGTCATAGGCAGAGCCTCTGGGATGGGACCGGTGCTCCTGTATGGATGCTGGTGTTGCAGGTGGCGGCTTAACCTGCTATACAACACTGACCATCTCCTTTCCACCCTTGCCTCCTTGTGTGGTTTGTTCTTGGCCATGTCTGTCATTCAGAACCTCCAGAGAGTTCTCACCTCACTCAGCAAACAGTGATAGAGCCTCCCCCCCACACACACACTTTACTGCTCAGGCCTCACTTCCTGCTTCCTCCCTGGCCCATCGACTACAGAAGCAGTCTCCTGCCTCAGGGCCTTTGCACATGCTGTTTCCTTTGCCTGGACCTCCCTTCCCCTACATGGTGGTGTGGCAGACTCCTTCACATACGAGTGACAGGGCCAGGAAGGAGACCCTGGGGAGAAGATCCAGAAGGAGCAGTTTTCTATAGGAGGAGAATCAGAGGAATTGCGTGTGGGTCTCAAAAACATAGGGGTGGGGGTGTTAAAGAAGGTGGGGGCAAGAGCTTGGTGCAGAGGTTAAGCGGGTGACCACATCCCCTTTCAGGGTGCCTGGGTTTCAGTCCTGGCTTCACCCCTCATTTCAGCTTCCTGTTCATGCACACCTGGGGCTAGCAGGTGATGCATCACCCAGCGGGGCTCCTGACACGCTCATAAGAGACCTGGATTGAGTTCCCCAGCCCTGGCTTCAGCCTGGCCCAGTCCTAGCTGTTGTGGGCATCTGAGGAGTGAGCCAGCAAAAGGGAATCCTCTCCCTCTCTCCCTCCGCCCCCTCTCTCTTCCTTTCAAATAAATAAAAATTTTGAAAAAGGACGCGGGATTCATTAGCAATGTTAAATCCCTTCTATCTTTCTCCCCATTTCTTGGTTCCCTTTGCAATGGAGACAGACAGCTCCCATCCCCTGGTTCACTCCTAAAAATGGCTGCAATGGCTGGAACTGGGCCACGGTCAGAACTGGAAGCCAGCAGCACAACCCAGGTCTCCCTCGCACTTGGCAGGAACCCGATCACATGAGCCAACCTTGCTGCTTCTCAGGGGTTGTCTCGGCAGGAAGCTAGAGTCTGGAGCCAGAGCTGGGGATTGTACCCAGGCACTGTAGTGTGTGACATGGGAAACTTTTTTTTTTTTAAGTTATTTATTTCGAAAGAGTTACAGAGAGAAAGGGAGAGTTAGAAAGAGAGATCTTCCATCTGCTGGTTCACTCCTCAGATGGCCACAATGTCCAGCTCTAGGCCAGGCCAAAGCCAGGAGCCAGGAACTTCTTCCAGGTCTCCAACATGGGTTGTAGGGCCCAAACACTTGGACCATCTTCCACTGCTTTTCCCAGGCCAGTTTAGCAGAGAGCTGGATCGGAAGTGAAGCAGCTGGGACTCGAACCAGTGCCATATGGGTTGCCAGAGTCGCAAGCAACGGCTTCACCCACCATGCCACAATGCTGACCCCAGGACATGGGAATCTTAACATGAAGGCTAAATGCCCACACCCCACAGTAATATTTTTTAAAGATTTATTTATTTGAAAGGCAGAGTGACAGAGGGAGAGACAGAGAGCAATCTTCTAGTTCACTCCCTAAATGCCCACAACAGCCAGGACTGGGCCAGGAAACAGGAACTCCATTTGGATCTCCCACGTGAGTAGCAGGAAGCCAAGCACTTAGGCCATCATCTCCTGTCTCCCAGGTGCATTGCTAGAAACTGGATCAGAAGCGCTGGGTAGCCAGTACCTGAGTTAGGCATTCTGATATAGGGTATGGGTGTCCCAGTTGTCAGCATAACCTCCTGTACCACAACACTTGCCCTCAGGTTAAAAAGTATAAACCGATATAATAATGTTAATTATGTGTTTAATCCAATATCGCTAAAATGCTTAATTTCCCTGTGTAACGAATGTTTTAAAAATATTGCTGAGGGGGCCAGCATTGTAATACAGCAAGTAGGGCCACCACCTACAGTGCCAGAATCCCATATGGGTGCCGGTTGGTGTCCCCACTGCTCCACTTCCAATCCAGCTTTCTGCTAACGGCCTGGGAAAACCAACAGAAGATGGCCCCGAGAGCTTGGGCCCTGCCACCCACATGGGAGACCAGGGTGAAGCTCTTTGCTCCCAGCTCTGGCCTGGCCTAGTGCTGACTGTTGTGGCCATCTGGGGAATGAACCAGAGGATAGAAGACCCCTCTCTGTGCCTCCCTCTCTCTGTAACTCTGACTTTCAAAATAAATAAATAGGGGCTGGTGCTGTGGCGTACTGGGTAAGGCTGCTGCCTGCAGCACTGGCATCCCATGTGGGCACCAGTTCGAGTCCCAGCTGCTCCATTTCCCATCCAGCTCTCTGCTATGGCCTGGGAAAGCATTAGAAGATGGCCCAAGTCCTTGGGCCCCTGTACCTGCATGGGAGACCTGAAGGAAGCTCCTGGCTCCTGGCTTCAAGATCCAGGCGCCGCTCCAGGCATTGTGGCCATCTGGGGAGTGAACCAGCAGATGGAAGACCTCTCTTTCTCTCTGCCTCTGCCTCTCTGAAACTCTTTCAAATAAAGAAAATAAATCTTTAAAAATAAATAAATAAATCTCTTAAAAATTACTGATATTTCTGCATTTTTTACACTGAGTTTTGGAAATCAGATGTACATTTTCACGTATAGCTCATCTCAGTTCCTAGCAGCCACCTTCCAAGAGTTCAGGAGCCGATCTCGTGGCTTGTCTGCCAGCCACTCATCTATCACCCAGCCCCAGCCTGGCCTCTGACCGGCCGCTCCTCCACAGCTGCCATGGCCGAGGTCGCCCTGACTTCCAAGTTACCAGACCCCAGCTCTGCCATCACGCACGCAGGTGACCGCATCTGCCATCCTGTTTTGTCCTCCTTTCTGGGCATCTGGGCGGCGCCCTCTGCTGGTTTTCCACCTCCTGCAGTGGCTGCCCCCGCTCAGATCCCCTTCCTCCTCCTCCATCTGAGCTGGTTTTCTAAACACTGGGATTATTCTAGCCTTTGTCCTGGGCCCGCTTCGAGCTCAGTCAACACAAAAAAGAAGCAAGTATGGTTATAGATCATGACACTCCATTTTGGCATCTTTTTATGCACTTCGAATGGAATTTAAGTTCCTTCTCATGTCCTATGGGTTTGTGGTAGGTGGATTAACAGCGCTCCATGTTGAACCCACCCTGAGGCCAGCATTGCGGTTCACCAGGTTAAGCCACCGCTTGGAAGGTCTGCATCCCATATCTGAGTGCCAGTTCTATTCCTGGCTGCTCTGCCTCCGAACCAGCATTCCTGCCAATACACCTGGCAAAGCAACAGAAAAGGATCAAAGTACTTGGGTCCCTGCCACCCGTGTGGGAAACCAGGCTGCTGGCTTCAGCCTGTCCCAGTCTGGCTGTTTTGCTTATTTTTTTTTTTTTTTTTTTTTTTTTTTGACAGGCAGAGTAGACAGAGAGAGAGACAGAGAAAGGTCTTCCTTTTGCCATTGGTTCACCCTCTAATGGCCGCCGCGGCTGGTGTATCGCGCTGATCCGATGGCAGGAGCCAGGTGCTTCTCTTGGTCTCCCATGTGGGTGCAGGGCCCAAGCACTTGGGCCATCCTCCACTGCACTCCCGGGCCACAGCAGAGAGCAGGCCTGGAAGAGGGACAACCGGGACAGAATCAGGCGCCCAGACCGGGACTAGAACCCGGTGTGCCGGCGCCGCAAGGTGGAGGATTAGCCTATTGAGCCATGGTGCCGGCTTGTTTTGCTTATTTGGAGAGTGAACCAGCAGGTAGGAGATCTTTCTCTCTCTCTGCCTTTCAAATAAAATGAAGATAAATAAATACAGATTATTTTTAAGATAATGATCAGATCAGAAGTAGATTCTTTGTCCTAGATGAAGGGAAGCTAAGTTTGGAAGCACCTGCTTCTCAGCTTTTTGGCTGAGATCCAGTGAATAAATGTGGAAGCCAATTTCCCGTGAGGCTTTCAAGTACCAATCTCTTCAAATGCCGAGAAGCTGTTGGGGAAGCCCCACCCTTTCACAATTTCATCTCCTTCACTTGTGCACGCTACCTACTCCCATTTTCTTTCTTTCTTTCTTTCTTTTTTTTTTTTTTTTAGTGGAAGATTTTATTTTACAAATGAAAAATCAAAATGCCGCTATTGAATTGACCCTGAAGTCGTAGTCTAAATTCATACCTTGCAGCTGAATTTTCCCAGCTCACCACGAAGTCCCTGCGGAGGAGGCACAGCCTAGACAGACTGAGTCACGTGGCAGTGATAGCCCGCAGGAAGTGGCTGTATCTCTGGTTCAAGGTCGTTTTCTTCTTGGAAGCATCCTCCAAGGCCACATGAAGAGAAGCAGGTTCAAGTGGCCTCATGAAGACTCGTAGATGATTCATCCGGCATATCCACGTGTCTCAGAGAGGTCTGGCTAAGCCAGAAGGTTCTCTGCGACAGCATTCAAAGACCTTACCTTGGGCACACCTGTTACCCTTACAGGCTATTCCGAGCTAGAAAGTGCGGCTCCCATAGCAACAGAGGAATTTTGAAACTTCATTCCCGAGTCTCCAGCCGAGGGAGCAGAACAGCGGAATTCTGTGGCCCCCGAGCCCTCAAGGATCCTTCGTTGGTTTCGTATTCCCATTTTCCGTCTTTCAGAGGAGAGGCACCAAGTCACTGGGAAAAGTGAACCACCCTGGCCAAAGCTGTTGCAGGCTGTACTCTGACCTGACAGGGCAATGGTCAAAGAGCAATTTCTTTGGGAAACCTGAACAACACGGGAGCAGAAGCGGCTGAAAATGACGTGTTAGCTACAGGACTGTAACTCCATATGCCGCTCAGCGCACTTTCTGTGTTGTAGGACATAAACTCCACTCCCCACCTATGTGGTGGTAAGCTGATGTCCAACGCATAATTTAACATCCCACTATTTTCTGAGTTCACCCCTTTAAAATGTCTTAAAAAGATTTATTTATTATCTGAAAAGCAGAGCTACAGAGAGGTAGAGAGAGAGAAGGGTCTTCCATCCACTGGTTCACTACCCAAATGACTGCAGCGGCTGGAGCTGTGCCTATCCAAAGCCAGGAGCCAGGAGTCTCTTCCAGGTCTCCCACACGGATGGATGCAGGGGCCCAAGGACTTGGGCCATCTCCTACTGCTTTCCCAGGCCATAGAGAGCTGGATCGGAAGTGGAGCAGCTGGGACTCAAATCGGCGCCCATATGGGATGCCGGCCCTGCAGGCAGCAGCTTACCTGCTATGCCACAGTGCCAGCTCCTAAAATTTTTTTTTACACTTAAAGAAGTGGGAGGAATTTGAGTTCCCTCCTTCTTAAAATGTTTCTAGGGACTGGCGTGTGGCACAGTGGGTTAAGATGCTGGCACCCCAGGTGAGCACTGCATGGAGCTGTGATTGCTTTGCTTCTGATCCAGCTCCCTGCTAATGTGCCTGGGAAAGCAGCAGAAGATGGCCCAAGTATTTGGGCCCCTGCCACCCCTCTGGGAGACTTGGATGGAGTTCTGGGTTCCAGGCTTCATCCTGCCCAGCCCTGGCTGTTACAGCCTTTTGGAAAGTCAATCAGCAGATGGAAGATCTGTTTTTCTCTGTCTCTCCTTCTTTTTCTGTACAACTCTGCCTTTCAAATAAACAAAGTAAATCTTTTGAAAAAAAAAATGTTTCTAGAACAATCAAACAACTTGCATTTATAAAACAGTTGATAAAACCACTCCTCTGGATTTTAGAAGGCAGGAGACCACCAAGGAGACAGCGTGTGTGACAGTGATCAGAATTCACTTGCCTTCTGCTTGCTCCAAGGCTGGCCTCTCCTTGCTTTCATTTTCTTCTTTTTATTTGGGCAAATCTTGGGTTCCTTAGCTGGCCGCCTTGACCTGCTTCCCTTCACTCCTCCTTTCCCTTTGTTTGCACTTTCACACAAAAATTATTTATTTGCATTTTATTTGAAGGGCAGAGAGAGAGAGAAAGAGAGACAGAGGTAGAGTCAGAGAGATCTTCCGTCCACTGATTCACCCTCTAAATGCCTGCAGCAGCCATGGGGGTCTCCCACACGGATGGCAGGGACCCAAGTACTTGAGCTACCACCTGCTGTTCCTGCCACCCCCCTGCGCCTCCCCCCCGCCCCCCCGCCGCCGCCAGGGTGCACATTAGCTGGAAGCTGGAATTGGAAGTGGAGCCTGGCCTCAAACCGAGGTCCTCTGATGGGGGCTGTGGGCATCTTAACAATGCGCCTAGCACCCGACCCTGGGTTTTTGCATCTGAAGTTTTAACCTCTGCGTGCCGAGACCCGTTCTGATGTGTGAGATGTTGAGTTCTGATCCTATTCTCCCTTGTTGGTTTTCTCCCTGCTGGCTGGCTGTTTGCTAGAGGCATTTTGTTGTCCATTTGGAGCACTGACTTGTCATCCCCCGCTGTGGAGCAGATTCTTAGGTAACCTCAGGGTATCGCTTCAGCAGAAGTGGCGAGGACTCCGATTTCCCACTCTGGGCTGACCCCGCGCCTGACAGGGTTCTCCCTCCTGTTGGATTCGGGGTTGCTGCTTTCCGCCTGGCCCCTGTGATCTGAGCGAGGCACTCCCGAGAGCCGGTGCCCGGGTGCCGGTTCAGACCAGGAGGAGCTACTGCCTGCAGGGCTGGCGGGCCACGTGTTCCCCGCCTTCTCGCAACAGGCTGAGACACCACCTACCGCTGAGCCCCTCAAGCAGCCCTGGTGGCCCACGGGGACCCAGTTCCGTCTCTCCTGTTCTACCCCATTTCTGTTTTAGGGGACGAAGACAGAGCAGCTCATGCCAGCAGAGGCAACTCGGTTCGTATTCGGGGGTTACCAGCAATCCCTCTGTATCCCGGAATTCGAGGCGAGTAACCGGTGCCTCTTTTCCTTCCCCAATGGGCTAGATTTCCTTATCAACCACGTCTGTGTCCAGCAGGCTGAAGCGATTCTTGCCTCCGTTAATCTGACAGTGAACAGTCAGCGTGTCCAAGACTCACGGCCCTCCCTCTTCACTCGTAGTGCAGGTGCTCAGGTACGAAGTCTCCCACCTTCTACAGCTCATCCTATGGTGCCTATTGTCTGAGCCTCCAGGGAAGTTTTAGATTCTGTAAAGGAACATTTAACATGGAATGTGTTTTCTCCAATAGCCTACCAATTGTGAGATCTTTTTCTTTAAGAAAAAATTTGTTTATTTATTTGAAAGGCAGAGTGACAGAGAGACAGAGAGAGAGAGAGAGAGAGAGAGAGAGAGAGAGAGAGGCAGAGAGAGAGATATTGATCTTCCATCTGCTGGTTCAGTCCCCAAATGACTCCAATGGCCAGGGCTGGACTGGGCCTAGGCCAGGAGCCAGGGGCTTCATCCAGGTCTCCCATGTGGGTGCAGGGGCATGAGGACTTGGGCCATCTTCTGCTGCTTTCCCAGGCACATTAGCCGGGACCTGGATCAAAAGTGGAGCAGCCAGGGAACCATATGGGATGCCAGTGTTGCAGGCAGCAGCTTTACTGGCTACGTCTTAGCACCAGCCCCTACCTAGACATTTAACCAATTTAGGTAGGGCATTTTAACATTCTCAAATTGCAAGTACTGGGCTGTTTCTACTTCTTTGGAATAGTTTCTGAAACATAATTTTCCTTGCCAAATAAATGCAGATTGGGCTTAGTGGTCTGGTGATCTAGAGATAGTAGTGCTATAAAAATCCACACTACATACTAGGATCTGTGATAGGCATGTGTTTTCCTGGGTATGCAGAGATCTCTTCTGCAATTTCTAGGGTGTTTGATTAAAGGTCATTGTAGGACGAGCGCTGTGGCCCAGCAGGTTAAGCAGGGTGGTGTACAGTAGTGGAATGGGTATTTTGAGACTTGATGGTTGATTACAGCCCTTGTCTCCACTATTGAGGAATGGTGCTTTTTTCTTCATGCTATTTGCTGAACTCTTTACTTAGTGTAGGATTAATCTTATGAGAATAAAGTAAACTGAAAATAGATCTTTGTAAAAATTAAGAGTGCGCATAGGAGGAGGAGGAAGGAGGGTGGAAGGGTGGGGCGGGAGGTATCACTCTGCTCCTGAATCTGTACATATGAAACACATGACATTTGTATACATTAAATTAAACACAAAATATCAGGTGGAAAAAAAAGCATCCTATATAAGAAAGCCAGTTCAAGTCCTTGTTGCTCTGTTAATACACCTGGGAGGGCAGAAAATGATGCCCAAATACTTGGGCCCCTGCCACTCACATGGAGATGTGGATGGAGTTCCCGGCTCCCAGCTTTGGCCTGCCCTAGCCCTGGCTGTGGTGGGCATTTGGGGAGTGAACCAGCTGATGGAAGATTTTCATTGTTTCTCTTTCTCCTTCTCTTTTGGTTGTTCTGCCTTTCTTTTCTTTTCTTTTCTTTTCTTTTCTTTTCTTTTCCTTTTCTTTCCTTTCCTTTCCTTTCCTTTCCTTTCCTTTCCTTTCCTTTCCTTTCCTTTTCTTTTCTTTTCTTTTTATGATTTATTTTATTTATTTGAAAGAGTTACAGAGAGAGGTAGAGACAGAGAGAGAGGTCTTCCATCTGGTTGTTCACTCCCCAGATGGCCGCAACAGCGGGAGCTGTGCTGATCTGAAGCCAGGAGCCAAGAGCTTCTTCTGGGTCTCCCACGTGGGTGCAGGAGCCCAAGCACTTGGGCCATCTTCTACTGCTTTCCCAGGTTACAACAGAGAGCTGGATCGGGAGAGGAGCAGCCAGGACTAGAACCTGTGCTCATATGGGATGCCGGCGCTGCTGGCGGTGGCTTTACCCGCTTCACCACAGCACCAGCCGCCCCTGAGTTTTGTCTCTGGTGTCTGTCATCTCTATTTCCCTCTGGCCTCTCGAGGGACCTGCAGGGACTTAGGTCGGCCTGGTAGCACCTTCCTTTTCTAATGCAGTAGCAATGGCTGCTTCTGTATTTCATGATGGAAAACAATCTCTACAATAGTAACACTCAATACATTGTGAAGGCACGTACTGAGATGTTTTATTAAACACTGATATTATTCATTTCATTAACGCTGGCTCATTTGATTACTCCCTGGCTTCTTTGCTCTGGATGAAGCTCAGCTCCTCCCACCCCTCTCTCTGCATGGCCCTGCGATGCCAGATTTACTTCCGATTTGCATGTCTGCTAGACTGTGCCACTTAGCAGCTCCTGGTGCAGGTGGAGGACTTGGACTCAAGGTCAAAGTGAGACCACACGGAGCTATCCTGTCCTCTAAGCTGGGTGGAGTTCTCCTGCAGCCTCCCAGTCCCTGTTCCTGGGACTCAGGCCCCGGTCCTCTTTCTTGTGTTGGCTTTGACTGCCCCCCGGTGGGCACTTTTGTATGGAGCCGGGGTCCCCGTGGAATTCAGCAGGATTGGCGGAGGAGAGACTAAGCGCTTCTTGAGCTAATGCTGTCTTCCGGGCAATCTCCACCCCCCGACCTGTTATACCAGTCACCCGCTCCCCAGATCACACCCCCAGTCCACACTCCCCACTGAACTCCAGACTTGGGATCCAACTGTCCTGCCCCGCCCTGGGAGGTCCAGCAGCCATCTCAAACTGAGCCCCTCCTCCCACAGCGCTACCCACCCCAGTCATGCGACTTCTAAAAGCCAGGACCTGGGGCTGGTGCTGTGGCGAATTTGGTTAGGCCATTGCCTGTGATCCTGTGATGCCAGCATCCCAAATGAGCGCTGACTCGTGTCCCAGCTCTCCACTTCTGGTCCAGCTCCTTGCTAATGCGCTTGAGCAAATAGCAGATGACCCAAGTGCTTGGGCCCCTTCCACCACAAGGGAGATCCAGATGGAGCTCCAGGCTCCTGGCTTCAGCCTGGCCCAGTCCGGGCTGTTGCAGCCATCTGGGGAGTGAACCAGTGGATGGAAGAACTCTCTCTCTCTCTGCCTCTCCTTCTGTCTCTGTATGACTCTGACTTTCAAATAATAAATAATTATTTTAACAAAAAAAGAAGTAAGGATGTGATGGACACAAAATCATGTTTGAAAGTATTTGTTTATTATGTATTTATTTATTTTTAAATTCTTCTTTATCTGAAAGGTATAGTTACACACACATAGTTACACACACACAGAGACAGAGAGAGACAGAGACAGAGAGAGACAGAGACACAGAGAGAGAGAGAGAGAGAGAGAGAGAGAGATTATATACACTGGTTCGTTCCCCAGATGGCCAGGACTGGTCCGGGTCGAAGTCAAGAGAACTTACCCCCCGCCTCCCCCCCACCCCCCGGGTCTCCCATGTGGGAGGCAGGAACTCCAGTCCTCAGGGCATCATCTGTTTCTTCCCAGGCACATTAACGGGCAACAGAGTAGCCAGGCCTGGAGCCGGACAGGACATCCAACACACGATACAGGCATCCAAACCATGGTTTAACCTGCGGGCCACACTTTTAGCTGACTTACGAGAAGCTGATAGCACTCTGGTATTGTCCTTAGAGGGACTAGAAGGATAGTCCAGTCTCGTCTCTTGCATCTCGATTGGCTTCTTATAGCGATAGCTGAAAATCTTTTTTCCCTTCAGCTTTTTTTTTTTTAAAGATTTATTTATTTATTTGAAAGGCAGAGTTCCAGAGAGACAGAGGCAGAGAGAGAGAGAGAGAGAGAGAAAGAGAGAGAGAGGTCTTCCATCTGCTGGTTCACTCCCTAATTGGCTGCAGCAGCTGGAGCTGAGCCGATCTGAAGCCAGGAGTCAGGAGCTTCTTCTGGTTCTCCCATGTGGGTGCAGGGACCCAAGGACTCAGGCCATCTTCTACTGCTTTCCCAGGCCACAGCAGAGAGCTGGATCAGAACAGAGAGCAGCTGGGCCATATGGGATGCTGGCACTGCTGGCGGCAGCTTTGCCAGTTGCGCCACAGAGCCGGCCCCTACCTTCAGCTTTGCAATCCATCATTGGTAGGGTTATTCACACTTTTAACTTTGCTGTTAGATTTGGGACAATCTCTACCAATGTTCTGTGAGCTGTAACATTTGGAAGGATTCCCCACTCCCTGGTTTCTGGCCTCATAAATTTCAAATCCTATTTCTTTGCCAGTGCTGTCACATTCCCTGGGAAGGTGTCCTAGTGACAGACACACACGCACACACACAGAGAGCGCAGGGAACATTCTTAGAGGCCACTCCGGGACACCCATACAACTGCTCTAGAAGGGACCTGAGCCCCATTCATAGAGCTACTTCCACCTCCACCCTCCCATTGGCCTTCGCTTAGCACGATTCCAAAGTGCCCGGCAGCTCCACTTTCGATCCAGCTTCCCACTAACACACCTGGGAAAGCAGCAGAGGATCGTCTGAGTCCTTTGGCCCCTGTACCATGTGGAGACCAGGAAGAAGCTCCTGGCTCCTGACTTTGGATTGGCTCAGCTCTGGCTGTTGCAGCCATTTGGAGAGTAAACCAGCAGATGGAAGACCTCTCTCTCTGTCTCTACCTCTCTCTGTAACTCTGTTTTTCAAATAAATAAGATAAATCTTTTTAAAAAGTGCTGTAAAAACACATAGTCAAAAATTGCATCTTACGGTTCAAGTAACAGGGTTCCTGCTGCCCACATAGAAGGCTCGGGTTAAGCTCCTGGCTCCTGGCTCCTGGCTTTGGTCCAGCCCAGTCCTGGACGTTGTGGGCATTTGGGGAGCAAACTGGCAGATAGAGATCAGTGTCTCTTTGCTTTTTAAATCAACAAATACAAATTTCAATAGAAAATTCACCATCATAACCATTTCTCAGCGTGCAGCTCGGTAGTGTTGAGTATATTCCCATTATCACGCAGCTGAGCTCCAGAACTTTCCTCTTGCAAAACTGAAGCCGTGGGGTTGGCATTTGGTGCAGTGGATTAAGCGATGCTTGGGACACCGTGCCCGTATCACAGTGCCTGGTTCAAGTGCTGACTCCTTGGCTTCTGGTCCAGCTTCCTGCTGATGGACACCCTGGGAGGCAGCAGGCAGTGTCAAGTACTGACGTCTCCGCCAAGCACATGGGAGACCTGCAGTTTCTAGCTCCTGGCCTCTACTGTCCCAGCGCTGGCTGTTGCAGATGCCTGGGGTGAACCAGCAGCGGGAACATCTCTCTTCACTCTTTCAAACAAAGAAAAGAAAAAGATGCTGTATCCCGCATTGGAGCTCTTGGTTCAGATCCTGGCTACTCCATTTCCCATTCGGCTTCCTGCTGCTGTGCGCCCTGGCAGGCAGCAGTGATGGCTCAGGAACTTGGGTCCCTGCCACCCACATGGGAGACTCAGACTGAGTTCCAGGCTCCTGGCTTTGGCCTGGCTATGCCCTGGCTGTTGCAAACATTTGGGAGAGTGGACCAACAGATGGGAGATCTCGCTCCATCTCTCTGTCTCTCTGCCTTTCAAATAGAATGAAAATAAATTTTAAAATTAAAAGGGAATACTTGTGGCGCCGGCATACCGGGTCCTAGTCCCGGTCGGGGTGCCGGATTCTGTCCCGGTTGCCCCTCTTCCAGGCCAGCTCTCTGCTGTGGCCCGGGAGTGCAGTGGAGGATGGCCCAAGTACTTGGGCCCTGCACCCCATGGGGGACCAGGATAAGTACCTGGCTCCTGCCATCGGATCAGCGCGGTGCGCCGCGGCGGCCATTGGAGGGTGAACCAACGGCAAAAGGAAGACCTTTCTCTCTGTCTCTCTCTCTCACTGTCCACTCTGCCTGTCAAAAAATAAAAAAAATAAATAAATTAAAAGGGAATTAAAAAAAACCTCTGAAACTCTAAACCAGTGGCTACTGTTGCCAACCTGACAAAAACTTGTAATTGCATGCAAGTGATGGGGCTCAGGTGTCAGTTTCCCGAGCTCCAGGGCTGATCTCCTGCCCAAGGTGGTGGGAGCCTTCTTGGAGCCCCCAGGGTCTAGCCTTGGCCCTCACATGCAGCAGATAATCCAGGTTTCATCAAATGCCGGCTCCACAGCAGCCCAAGGAGACCATGGAGTGCCGAGATGGCCCATTCAGGGAGAGGTGACCCAGTGACTAGGAGAGGGGGCGCTGGTAGGGCAGGGAAGTGTGGTCTGAGAAGTGGATGTGGGAGCTGAAATGTGATGACCTGAAGGAGCCAGCCGCAGGCCGCCGTGGGAGAAGAGCACATCGAGCAGAGAGAACTGTGAGAGCCAAGGCCCTGGGGCAGGGAGATTTTGTTAGTAACAGGGCCGTCTCCTGGTCCGGTGCCCCTTCACCACTTCCCTCTGTAGGCCCTCAGAGAGGTTCCCCTGGTGCCTTGTGCTGCCCTCACGTGCAGTCACTCGGGTGTCACTGTCCAGAAGGCAGGGGCTGAGGCTGTGGATTCCTATCCCGGAAGCCCTGGGGCTGACCCGGATCTGGGTTTCCTGGTTCCTATGCAGCAGGGGGTGAGCAGACATCCTTCCCCTCCTTCTCTCTCCAGGCTCCGGCCCTGGCCCCAAATCTCCATGGCAACCCCAGACGCAATCATAACCCAGGGAAAGAGGATGGGGCGGGGGCAGTGCAAAGATCCGAGGGAGAGGCCAGAAGAGCTGGGCACTCTGCACCCCCTGTTCTGGGGGCGCCTCTTCCCCTGTCGGCCTCCCCGCTGGCCTGGCCAGACCTCACTCCCCAGTCTCCCCAAAGACCCCAACCTGAGGATCCCACAGGTCTGTGCTTTTGCTGGGCACCGCAGAGCCTGGATGGGGGCGTGTCTCCCACAGCTGCCCCAGAGGCTGCTGCTATTCGGGGCGGCCATCCTGGCTGCATCTGCCGTGGAGACTGGTGAGTGTGAGGGGCTTGGCGGGGGCACCGGGAGGCTCAGGCCCCCTCTGCCGGTCAGAACTTACCCTGGCGGGTTGGGGTCCCATGAGTTGGGGTGGGGATGGGGGGCTGGGAAACCCTGCTCCTGGTCTCGCTGGACAGCCCCAGGTCCTTCGGGAAGGTTGGAGTTCCAAGACGCCCAGAAGCAGGGTCTGCGCAAGGGTGGGACCGCCCTCAGCTCTGGCTGTGGGTAACAGTGCGCTTTGGAACTGCACAGCCCTGCGTTCACACTCAGTCTGCCACCTCCTACGTTTTCACCCTTGAGATCAGCCTCACAGCTCTCTGAGGCTCAATCTTTTGGCAGTAAAATGGGACCAATGGTCGTCCTCCCTCTTCCCTGAAGGACGACTACTACTGAGCACAGAAGATGAGTTGAACTAGGCAAGAAGACATTGGTGCCTGGCGCATAAACGATGCCTAATTTACTCCCTTCTGAGTGCCACCCGCACCCATGTGCCTCCAGTGCAGGCTCTGACGTCAGCAGCTCTGCACAGATTGGGGGGCGCGCTTCTGCACCCTGAGCCCTGATGAAAGACTTCTTCCCTGAGGACCCTCCTCCTGCCCGGCCCTGGAGCACCCACTGGGGCCCCCACCTCCCGCCAGATACTTACATAGTATCTCATTTCATCCTGACTGCATCCTATACCAATAAGGGTATTTGGGGCTGTAACAGTACCAAGCCAAGTGGGACTTGGGACATAAGGGAACGTGCTATTTCACCTAGAGAGAGTGGCTGCAGGCGGGTCTGGAGGTGGCTCATTCAGCGGCTCAGCTCGCAGCATTTCTCTGTGATCTTCACGACTTCATCCCTGCAGGCAGCCGCTGCAGCTCTGGGCATCATATCTTCAGCTAACAGCCTTCTTCCTTCCTTCCTTCCTTTCAAGATTTATTTATTTGAAAGGCAGAGAGAGAGAGAGAGAGAGGGAGGGATTGGGATCTGCTGTTTCGGAAGTCGGGCACCACATCCCATCTGCCATGTGGGCGGCAGCGGCCCAAGTACTTGGTCCATTTCCTGCTGCTGTTGTGGATGCATTAGTGGGGGAGCTGGATCGGAAGCAGAGCAGCCGGGACTTGAACTGGCGTCACAGGCTGAGGCTTAGCGCGCTGCGCCACGGAGCGGGCCCCTCCCCTGCCGTTTCACCAGAGAGGAAAAGCTGTCTCAGGAGCTCGGGGCAGCCCTCTCCGAGGTCTTGCAGGTTTCATACCTGAGCAGCAGCCAAGGATCAGGCTGTTGTAGCAAGAAGAAACAGGGACAGGTACATTCGAGTGCTTGCCCCGTCCTTGAATAACAGTGAGTAAGATAAAATCACAAACCCTTCTCTAACTCAGGTGGGTGCCTGTTCAAGTCCCGGCTGCTCCACTTCCCATCCAGCTCCCTGCTGATGGCCTGGGAAAGCAGCAGCAGATGGCCCAAGCGTTTGGGTCCCTGCCATCCACGTGGGAGACCTAGAAGAAGCTCCTGGCTTTGGCCTGGCCCAGCCCTGGCCATTGTGGCTATTTGGGGAGTGAACTAGTGAACCAGTGGTTGGAGGATCTCTCTCTTTCTCTCTCTCTCCCTCTCTTTCCACAATTCTGACTTTCAAAAAAATAAGTCTTAAAAAAATGCTGAGTGCAGCCCAACACCTCATGTCCATGCAGTTTCGTTGCAATTCCAAAACACAGAAGGCCCTGAAAACCCCAATTTTTTCTTTTCTTTTCTTTTTTTTTTTTTTTTTGACAGGCAGAGTGGACAGTGAGAGAGAAAGACAGAAAGGTCTTCCTTTGCCGTTGGTTCACCCTCCAATGGCTGCCGTGGCCTGCGCGCAGGAGCCAGGTACTTATCCTGGTCTCCCATGGGGTGCAGGGCCCAAGCACTTGGGCCATCCTCCACTGCACTCCCTGGCCACAGCAGAGAGCTGGCCTGGAAGAGGGGCAACCGGGACAGCATCCGGCGCCCTGACCGGGACTAGAACCCGGTGTGCCGGCGCCGCGGCTCACTAGGCTAATCCTACCCCTGCGGCGCCGGCAGGGGGAGGATTAGCCTAGTGAGCCGCGGCGCCGGCCCCCCTTTTTTTCTTTAGCTAATTGCACTAAAAATTGGAACCGACCCCAAAAAAAGGGCCATTTTTCTGGGGTTTGTCCCGAGGGAGAGAGTTCCTTGCAGTTCTCTAGAGACTGATTTTGGAGACCCATGTGGGGCGGCACTATAATGTACCATGTACATGGAACACATCCTAGACTTTCGGATAAGGGATTGTGCGTTCGGACTAAATTCAATCGCTTACTCTTCACAAACATTCTAAGGTTGCCTAACCTTTCCCATTTGGTTGATGGGGAGCCGGAGGCTCAGCGAGGGCAGAGACTTTGTGGGGGCCCCAGCGAGCAGGGGCGGAGCCAGGTCCAGCCCAGGGCGCAGGGCTCCAGGGTCGGTGCTTTTCTCCACAGCGGACCTGGTGCACCTCTGCGGGCAGACGTGGCAGGGGCCCGGGCTGCTGCTGCGTTCTCACTCCACGTCCCGCAAGTTCTACTTCGTGGCTCCGGACACTGACTGCAGGCTCTGGGTGCGGGCGGCGGCCCCCGGAGACAGGATCCGTTTCCAGTTCCGCTTCTTCCTGGTCTACAGCCTGGCGCCAGCCTCCCCAGCGCCCCCAGCTCCCAACGCTTCCGCCCTGGTGCTCTCCGACCCTTGTGCGCCTGGCTCTTACCTGCAGTTTTACGAGGGCTCACCAGGGGCAGGCCAGCCCCTGGGGGCCCCTCTCTGCGGCCTGACCATTCCTGCCCCCGTGGCCTCCTCCGGACCCTTCCTGGGCCTGCGCCTGGTCACGAGAGGCCGCCAGCCCCGCGTGGACTTCGTGGGTGAAGTCACCTCTTTCCGGTTGGGTGAGCTGGGGCTGAAGACCAGGCCCTGGGCTGGATGGGTGTGGGGTGGGGGGCAGGGACTGGTGGGGCCCTGGGACGCACGTTGCAGGGGCTGGGTCCCAGCAAGGGAAGCAGGTGGTGACAAGGGCAGTGCAGGGTCACAGTAAGGGATGTCCCAGGAGCCAAGAGCCACCCCCCCACTACCTGGCTTCCTTGAATGTGTGTCCCATACCCCTCCCCAGCCCCAGGCATGCACACACACGCACACACACAGCCCACATGCCTGTACACTCACTGCACACCCACAGTTCACACCACACACAGCTCATACACACACGGTGCCACCTCCACACCTGCGCACTGCACACACACGCAGTCTCATGCTCACACACGGGCTCCTCCGTCCCGGTCACGCCTTCAGACGCCTGCCTCTCGCACAGAAACTGTCAGCGAGGACAGGGGCCTCTCAGGATGGAAATGAGCAGTACTTATTTCTTGGGCAGTGCCCTTGACCCCTGCCCGGGCCTCACAGCAGCCCTGCTGTGCAGTGTTCTGACCCTCGTAGCTGCAGACAGGGGCACGGGCGCAGGGAGGGAGAGTAAAGCAGTAAGTAATGCCAGGGACACCCCTCAGCGCAACTGGAGTTCAAGGCTTTGTCCCCGCAGGTTCCCCTGGGACCAGAGCCCCCTGCTGATGCCACCCCAGAAGCTGTGTCCAGCAATGGTTAGCAAGGGTGCCCCCAAAGTCTAGTGGGTTCTAGAACCACAGAGAAGCTTTACCACTGCCTCTGGCAGGACACTCAGGCTGGAGAATTCCTGGGCGATGGGGGAGCACTTCCAGGCAGGTGCATGGGGTCTCTGAGGGCCAGCGCAGGCTGGGCAAGGGCTACCCCCGGACTTGTCAGCTGTGCATGGCCCTTCGACGCCGAGCTGCTGAAGGAGGCCTTCATGCTGCCTCTCTGGTCCTCCAGCCACACTCGACTCAGCTGTGCAAGGTCTGGAGTTAGGATTTTTTTTCCTTTAATTTATTTCAAAAATTCTTTATTCCTTTTACACAATAATATTTATTTACTTGAGAGAGACAGACAGACAGACAGAACTCCCATATGCTGGTTCATTCCCCAAATGTCCACAATGGCCAGTGCTGGGTGCCCAGAACTCCATCCAGGTCTCCCACATGGGTGGCAGGGACTGAACTACTTGAGCTGTCCCCTGCTGCTCCCCAGGGTGCACACCCGCAGGAAACTGGAATCAGGAGCAGAGCTAGGGAGAGCAGGCATCGTGGCGCAGTGAACTAGGTTGCTGTCTGCGCCATACTGGAATGCAGGTTCGAGTCCTGACTGCTTTGTGTCTGAGTCCTGACTGCGTTGTGTCTGATCCAGCTCTCTGCTAATTGCCTGGAAGGGAGCAGAGGAAGGCGTAGTGCTTGGGCCACTGCAGTCATGTGGGGCGTGAGCCATCAGATGGAAGATCTCTCTCTCTCTCTCTCCCCCTCTTTTTTCCCTCCCTCCCTTTTTCTCTCATTCTACCTTTCAAATAATAAAAAAAATGATCCAGCCAGTAGCGTAAGAACTAGGCCAAATGCTCATCCTTGGATTTTGGATTTTAGATTCCCTGTCTCTGCCCTGTTAGGGTCTGGCTCTGGGCTATGCAACTTAGACCCTAAATCCTCGGGGCCGTGATCGGTGGTGCCCAGGCCCCCTGTGTGCGTCTGCAGCAAGCCGGGGTCCACATCATGTCGCTTCCCAGGCAGCTCTCGCTGGCTGGCTAGAAATCGGCACCTCCACCTTCCCTACCCTCCTCACTCTCTCCCTTCCCCAGCCCTGCTCGCTGGCAGCCAGGGAGGCTGGGACTGTTGTGCTGCTCCGTGTTGGGCAAGATTGGACCCCGTAAGGGGCAGTGGTGACGCCCTCTCCCCGCCCTGGCTTCAGCTAGTTTTGTCATCTGAAGGAGGAAAGGCTCATTTCATGCCCGTCTCCGTCACTCATACCTACAGGCACCTGCCTGGCACACACACACACACACACACACACCTACAGTGACACGTGGAACTCCCATGTGTCACTATCACATGTAGCTCCCATGTGTCACTATGCTACTGTTTCTGTTCTAAGGCATTCCCTCTCTCTCTGTCTCTCTCTCTAAGATTTATTTATTTAATTGAAAGTCAGAGTTACAGAGAAAGAGAGACAAAGAGAGAAAGATCTTCCATCTAGTAGTTGACTTAAAGGAGAATTTTTGGGAGCTTCAAAAACTGGGACTTTAGGGTGTTGGTTCAGGTATAGCTGGATCCAGGAGTTCAGGAACTGTCATCTGGGCTGTCTCTATTCCCTCTCTCTGTCCTCACTGTGCCTGGGTCTGTTTGGCTTCCGTCTCAGGGAGCTCCTTTTGTTGCTTGGCAGCAGGAGACGCTGCAGCTCCAAGTTCACAATCGCTCTTGCAGCTCCGATCTCATGAAATAGACGGCAGGCAACTTCTCCCATGGCTCTAGTAAAGGCAGAGCGACAGAAAAGGGGGGGATGGAGAGGAACTCCTTCCGGGTCTCCCATGTGGGTGGTGTGGCTGGAACTCAAGTACTTGGGCCATCACCCACTGCTTCCCGGGTGCAGTAGCAGGGAGCTGGATCGGAACAGCAGAGTAGCTGGGACTTGACTCACGCACTCTGTCATCCCCCGTGAAGGCTTCACCTGCTGTGTCTCCACATCTGCACCCATTTCAATGTTCTTTGAGCACCTGCTGTAGGACAGGGGCTGTGCTCGGCTCCAGGGCTCCAGCAGTGACCAAGAGAAGCCCCTGTGCTCTCAGAGCTGGCATCCTGGTGGGGGACAGGCCATGGCACATGCTCAGGCAGATCCACGTTCTGTGGCGGTGGTCAGTCCTGCACAGGGGCCCAAAGCCCTAAGGGAGGGAGGGAGCCCCAGGGAAGGGTGGCCTGCGGATAAGGTTAAAGTGTGAGGGGTGATCTCAAGGGAGTGGGCTGGGATGTTGTCCAAGGAAAAGAATTCCAGACAGAACTGCTGGCCAAGTGCAGAGCGGTGGCTTTGCTGGGAGTGTTCAGAGGTTCACTGGGACATCATAGGGTGCCCCACACAGACACTCATAGACACACAGAGAGACACATAAACACTCAGAGAGACACAGATACACACATGCACACACAGTGACACAACACACACAGGCACATACACACACACAGTGACACGCACATATAAACACACACACACATATAAACACACACACAGTGACACACACACACAACACACATACACACAGCCCTGTGCTGCAGTGTGGATTTAGGAGCCCAGGCTCCAGATCCAGCCTGCATGGGACTTCTATCCAGGCAGGTGGCCTCGGTCAAGTGACTTAACTTCACTGTGCTTCAGTCTTCTTACCTGGAAAATGGGGCTCAGGGCAGCATTCACCGCACTGGGTTGTCATCATCAACATCATCTCTACCCTTGAAACACCCATCCCTACTCACCTGCCTGCACATGACAGCCGCTGTGTCCTGCCCACACCTGCCGATCTCTCACTGGAGGGCCACACCCCCTGCGTGTCACAGGCCCCACATGGGATCCTCACCTCGGCTTCCCCTTTCCACCCCAGGACCCTGTGGAGCCTACTTCCGCTGTCACAATGGCAGGTGCATCCCGCCGGGCCTGGTATGTGATCGCTGGGGCATGGACAACTGTGGCGACAGCAGTGACCAGGGCTCCTGGCCACCATCCAACTGCAGAGGTCAGTGATGGGTGTGACTTAGTCCTTTCTGAATAGCTAGAAGGTGGCCTGTCCCCGAGTCCCCGGCTGGAGCCGGCAGCATGGCCGGAGAGAGAAGGTAGAACGAGAATCGTTCAGATCCCAGTCCTGAAGGCCAGAGCCGTCGGAGTTCGGATGATGCCGGAGATGACCTGGTCCTGCCATTTCCAAAGGATTTTTAGTACTGGACACTTTGCCTGAGTGGGGCCTGGCACGGAGGGCTCGAGCCACCAACAGCAGGGAGGCTCTGGGCGACTGCCCTGGGGGGCTCTGGCCCTGGCTGACTGATGTCCCTCTGAGTGTCGCCCTCACGACACACTTAGAAATCCGTCGACCCAGTCGGACCCACACATTCGACAGATACAGAAATGGAGACCTGGACAGGAGAAATGACCGACGACCTCCCCCCCCCTTCATGCAGCCAGTGAGTGACATGAGCAGGAAGGGATGATTTGTGTGGCCAGGGGGGACCAGAACACATTACCTGGGAAAAACCTTCCTGGAGGTCCAGGGATGTCTCCTGCCTCCCATTAAGGAGTGGGATGGAGGGAGAGCTGCCTTGGATGGTGGAGCAGGCTGTTCACTGCAAGAAAGCACCTAACTGAGGATAAACCTGGTTTCCGGAGAGCCGCCCCCGCCCCGCCTCCTTGCCTCCTCCCAGTTCCTGGTTGTCTCTCTGACGCACAATCCTTTGGCTGTGATGTGCAGCCCCCATGTCCCTTTCTCTCCCATCCACGCCCATCCCCTTGGTGGTCTCATTGACGCGGTGTCAGCAGCTGGACTCGACTCTGAACTCCAGCCACAGTCTCCTCCCACCCTGTCAGCTCCACAAGGGTGTCTAGGCGGCATCTCAAACTCCACCCACCCCCATGGGCCCCTCACAGCCTTTCCCTTCTCCTTACCCTCCAGTCCCCCAGGCCCCAGCTGCTGAGTCAGCCTTTCTTGAGGCTCCGCCCCTTCTCACACCTGCCCTGCTGGTCCTGTCTGCAGGAGTTAGCGGAACAATGCAGACAGAGCTCCATCCTGGTCTCCCCCATGGGTGCAGGGGCCCAAGCCCTGGGCCATCATCTGCTGCCTTCCTGGGGCACTCGCAGGGAGCTGGGTCAGAAAGGAAGCAGCTGGGACTCGAACCAGTGCTCTGCGATGTCGCCAAGGGTGGCTTTACCTGCTCCTCCCCTCGTGACATACGACATATTCACATTTTGCATTGTGCACACTAATTCACCAAGGCCGTGAACTCGTTTTTATCTTGCTCCCTGTTGTACCCTCCAGTCCCTGGAGCCATGTCTGTGGAATTGTAGATGCTCAAGAAACACGAGAGAGTAGAAGAATGAACCTCCGTGCCTCAGTTTCCTTATCTGTGAGCTGTGTATGATAAAGCTCTCAGAGTTGCCATCCACCGTACAAAGAGCCCAGCACGGGGAATGCGGGGACATCACATCTCCTCCAGTCACCAGCCCAGCTGTGTTACCCCGGCAAGCGACTGAACCTCTCTGTGCCTCCCTTCCTGCCTCTGTACCTGGAAATACCGATTGTAACGGGCTCCGCGGGGTCTTGTGGGGATTCAATGAAACACACGAGTGCCCCAGAGAGGGCCGCTGTCAGCGTGCTCCCTCGGCTACTTCCCCCCACAGGTCCCTCTCTGGTGCCTGGCCAGACAGGAAGTGTGGACGGCGACACCTCCGAGTCCCCGCCTTTCTCCTGGGCTCCCGGGTCTGCAGGCTCCCCCCAGACCACAGCTCCGAGGAGTCCCCCAGAGGGCCGGGGCCGCGCACTCCAGGACACAGCTTTGGAAGGTAGGAGCACTCGGCATCACACATGGTGAAGACAGACAGGGCATCGGCCTGGGCTGAGGGCTGAGTGGGCTCTTCCTTCCCGCAGGTCCCTGGCGATGGGGCGTGGCGCTGGCCTCCTCTCTGCTCCTGGCCTGTGCTGGCCTCCTCGTGGGTCTCCTCTGGTGCTGCTGCTCCTTTGGCCGGCTGGCCTGGTGGCCTGCTGCTCCAGCCTGCACTGTCTGCCGCGTGTGTCCTGGCCAAGTCGCCCCCGGAGGGCTGCAGCTGAGTGGGCCAGTCTCCCCAGGTCGGGGAGACCACCCCTAGAGGGGCTGCGGGCGTCAGAGAGGGCTCTGGGGTCAGATGGACCTCGGGTTCCAACCCCTCAGCTGGCTGACCTTGGGTCAGCCACTTAAACCCCTCAGGGAATGGGACATTCCCGCCCTGCAGGGTGGTGGTGAGGGCTGGGGGGGTGGGGGCGGTGACCAGGCCCGAGCTCTGCTGGTGGCTGCGCTCTGCAGTGGGGGCTGCCTCGCTTCACTCCTGGACCTCGGCTGCTCTCTCTGCCCCACTGCAGGGGCCCTGGAGCCAAACCCCAGTAAAGCACACAGGCAAGCCCTGGCGGGGATAGCACCGTTTATTAAGAAAAATCAGGACAAAGACCACAGAGGGTCCGTTCTCGGACATGGAGGCCGGGCGTCCCAACCCCCCAGCCTCGGACAGGCTCCCGTCGATGGGACAGGCTGGCGATCCCCTTCCTAAGGCACCAACTCCTCCGACCGCCAGCAGCCCCCCAGTCCCCTGGGCCTTCACTTCCAGACGAGTGGGGGGATGGGGCCTGGCGTGGGTGGAGAGCCTCTCAGTGCTCAGCTCTGCCTGGAACAGCTCCGGCGGGGGCGGGGGGGGGGGGTGTTCCCTTGTAGCCCCTGTGGTCAGGGACCCTGGGCTGTGCGTGGGAGGTGGGGAGTGCAGGCCAGGGGGCTTGGTGGGAGTGGGGAGGCTTCCCGGCACAGGTGGCCTGGCCGGCTGGGGGCGGGGAGATGGAGGGAGGCTGAGACGTGGGCTGGGGGGAGGGGGAGCTGCCTTCTGCGCCACAGCAGACGCTAGAGAGCTTCCCAGCCCAGAGGGGGTGGCCAGGGCTCCCGTGATGCCCTCCTGTTCCAGGTAGACGGCGAGCACCAGGATGGAAGCCGAGGTGGGCTCTCCCAGGAATGAGGGCTGGCAAGGGCTGCTGAGGTGGGCATCCTGGCTCTGCCCGGAGGGGCCCCTCAGGGCGGCCGCGTGGGAGCAGCTCAGGGCCTGCCCAGCCACCGTGCCTGACTCCACGTCCTGGTGGCCTCCTGGGGCGTCTACTCCATCCGACCTGCCCCGCCTACCAGCCTTGTGGCTTTGCCCAGGTGTGCGTGGGGGTGTCATCCCCCCTCCAGTCCAGCCCAGGGCGGTAGCAGCAAAGCGTGGCATCGCCTCGGTTTCTTACAAAAAATCATCATAATAATATTAATAATAATATACTCGACATGGTCGGGCTGGGCGCTGCCCGGGAGTCCGTTGGGGGCAGGCAGGTGCCTACGAGGGGCAGGGGCGCGTGTTGGCCCCAGCCTGGGCGCGGTGCTGCAGGTCCAGGGGCTGTGGGGGTGGGCCGCCGGGCCGGGCCGAGTGCAGCACCAGGTTCTTGATGCAGCCCGTGATGCCCGAGGAGAACCTGCCTCCAGTGAGAGCGGCCACGTCGGGGGCTCCGCCTGCGGGAGGCGAAGCGAGGGAGTGAGTTGGCTCCAGAAGCCAGGAGGGGAGGCAGGGCAGGTGCACTGCTCTCGACATGAGTGCCATTCCCTCCCCTCACACTGAGGGTGGCTCCAGGCCTGCAGTGGACCCGAGCCTGGTGCTTACCCACGTAGACGCTGCCTTTGGTGTTGACTGCCACGTTCCGGCCTGGGGACTGGCCGCTGACCAGCTCCTCACCGTCCACCTGGATGGAGCCTCGGCGGCCCTCTCTGTAGTGGAACTGGGTCAGGCCCCTGCCACAGACCGCCCCCCCTCTTCCCAGGCCCACCCAAGGAATCGCAGCTGCCCCCAGCCCCCTGAGCTCCTTGGCGCCCGCCGGGTGAGAGACTGGGCCCCGACAACCCCGTTTCCTGGTCTCTCTGCCCAGCTTCAGGTTCTATCTCTGCAGAGCTCAAATGCCCGCCTCCCTGCCCTCCACGGAACTTGGGGTCCCACCCCAGAACTTGGGGCCCCTTGCCCGAGTGCCCAGTCGGGCTCCCTCACCGCAGCGCCGTCACCCGATGCCACTCGCCGTCATTGATGGGGTCCTCAGAGACAAGGCGGGCCTCCCCACTGCCCAGCTGGTAGCTGCGGTCACGGGCCCCAGAGAGTATGAGCCAGACAGGAACGGAGGAGGGGGTGGGGGTGGCGGGGGTGGGGGCGCTGCAAGCTGCTCAGGGGCGGGACCCACCTGAAGACAAGGTGCCCATCCTGAAGCCCAAGGCCGATGAAGTCCTTGCCTCGGCTGGCCTCTCCCATCTCCTGCCGGGGAAGCACAGGGTCTCTTGGGGCCCCCTGCCCTGGAGAGCAGAGGCCCTGGAAAACAGTAGCCTCCCCCTTCCTCTCTCCCCGTGGCCCCGGCCAGCAGGAGGCCGGCTGCCTGCCCCAGAAACTGGGCCACGTGCCCACACTCACCACTCCCTGCCAGAGCAGGAGGCCGCTGGCTGTGCTGGTCCGAACCTCCAGCTCGATGGTCTCGGGCACCTCCGGCAGGCTGCGGGCAGGGGAGGAGGGCGTGAGGGGCAGAGCCCTGGAATCCCAGGCTCCCTCCAGGCCCCCGGTCCTGCCAGGGCCCGCCTCACCTTCTGGAGAAGACATGTCCCGGGAGGGCCAGGAAGCCGCCGTCGTGGAAGTAGGCGCTGTACTGGCCCGGGGCGTCTGCGGAAGCAGGGGGGCGGGGCGGTGGTGAGCAGCAGGTGTGAGTGCCCCGACCCCACCTCGGCTGTGACCTGGGCACTCCTGGGCTCTGAACCTGCAGTCCCCGAGCAGCCCCGGGGGCCGTCGACTGGGCAGAGAACCATCCCGTCTGCTTTTATTCACTTCGTACTGAAGTTTGGCCGTTACGGACGTAGGTGACAAAGCAGGGACCCGGCCACTAACACTGGCTTAGCCCGCGGCTCGAGTGTAGAAATTTCCAGTACTGCGGGCGCTGCCCACTGCTTTGACGCCGTGGTTGCTATTAGGACCTCCGCTAGGCCTCCCTATTTATTGTGCTAATAAAGAAGTGCAGAGATGACAAATCTAAAAGTATTTCCATACATTTCGGCTCAACCGGTGTCCTTGGCTTCACATGGTCGGGCAGGCTCTTGTGGGCTGGCCCCCTTCCCCATCTGCCAGGCTCTGGCTGGCTTTGGCGCTGCAGGTCCCACATCCCCAGACAGCCCCTCGGTCCTGAGCAGGCCGGGACGGGCGGTCGCCTGGGCCATGGCGAACAGTGGTTTGGAGCCTTGGTGCTCTCCCGGTTTTACAGATGGGAGGTCAGACTCAGCTGAGCTACCTGCCCAGGGAGTGGGAAGCCTGGAGTGCCACCTGTGCCCACCAACTGGGCCCTGGTCTTTCCCGTAGGTCCTGTGTGCAGCTCCTCCACCCCCATCTGCTCACGACCCACCCTCGGGCTAGCACTGGGCAGGACGCTTGGCCACCGTCCCCCGGACAATGGCTGCTGTCATCTGCCAAGCGCCCATTGTGAGCCTGTGCAGGGAGCTTCACAGCCAGCTGCCAGCCTCATTCCCCTGAGCTGAGACCTCCAGCACCCCACAGTCAAAGGGGCCAGCGTCCCAGACCAGATGCTGTTCTGAGCATGCTCAGTATACCCAACCATTTTACTCTCAGGCAGCATTGTACCCAAAGCCTCTGGGAAGAGATTCCTTCTATTTTATACATGGGGAGACTAAGGCACAGAGAGGTCAAGGGACTCATCCAAAGGCACACAGCTATTAAGGGGCAGGCTAGGACTTGAACCCAGGCAGGCTGGCTCCAGGGTCTGGGCTCTTTAACTACTCCACACCATCTCTCCTAGTCTGTTAGTGTGGAGTAAGGAACACGTACCTAAACAGGAGCTAGCACAGAGCCTGCAAGGGACCAATGAGCATTCTTTATCATATTATGGGGGAGTCCTGGAGAATGAGGGTCCTTACTCATCTATGCTTCACTGTCCCCAGTATGGGCACGGGGAGGACAGCAAGGTCAGAGTGGCTCAAAGACCTGTCCGAGGTCACCCTGCCGGTCAGCATGGGGCAGGACTCAGCTCTGGGCAGTGCCCTTCTTCATTCTGCCCTTTCTGTGCCCTGTGAGGCCCTCACACAGCCTGTTTTGCTCAGGATTGAAGACGTGGGCTGGAGAGCGGGGCTGAGGGACAGAAGCCAGGGAGGAGACCAGCACCCCGGCTTCCCTGTGGGTCACAGCAGGCACCTACCGCTGCCCCCGCTGCCTTCCAGGTGCCAGTCGGACTCCGCGAGGCCATGTCCAGGACCTACGGGAAAGACCGGGGCCCAGTTGGTGGGCACAGCTCCGCTGCGCGCTGGGTCCAGCCCCAGGGTCCCAAGAGGGCGGTGGAAAGCAGCCAGGGCCGTGTACCTTGCTGGCAGCGTGGGCCCGAGAAGCCAGGGAGACAGAGGCAGCGGGTGCCCTGGCAGGTGCCCCCATGCAGACAAGGCTCGTGGAGCTGGCAAGGGTTCTCCTCCTGCTCACAGAGGTCACCTGGGGGCCAGGGCAGAGGTGAGGGCGTGGTGGGCATGGGCCAGAGGTGTCGCGGACCCCCAGCACCCGGGCAGCTGTCCTACCTTTGAAGCCGTCGCGACACAGGCACTGGAATTCGTACTCGCCAGCGGGCATGCAGGTGGCACCGTTCTGGCAAGGCTGGCGCTCACACGGGGAGCTGTCGTAGCACTGCCCGACGCCCTGGCTGCCGAGGAAGCTGTAGGTGAGGTCCAGCCGCTTCCCGTTCACAGACACCTGTGGGCACAGGGACATCGAGGGACTAAAGGGGTGCAGGAGGCAGGGGGACACGTGAGCCAGCCAAGAGGAAGAGGTAGAGGGTAGATGGGAGCCTTGCGACAGGTGGACCAGAGGTGCCGAGGTGACACCCCTATGTGCCAGGAACAGCCGTCCACCCGGGCGGTGGGTCCCTCAGTGCACTGCTGCAACAGAGGTGTTGGTCCCATTTTACAGAGGGGGAAACTGAGACTCTGAGGCGAACCATCTTTCCCAGGACCCCAGTGGGACACGGCCGGCGGCTCAGCCTGCACCCCTCTCCCCTAGTCATTCTCGCAGGTGGCTCCTCACCTCGCCCACGCAGCCGCGGAAGTGAGCACTGACGTTGGCGGCCGGGGACAGCGGCACGGAGGGCTCCACGCCACCCAGGTAGAGGAGGGTGTGCAGGTTGAGGCCCTGGCTCTTGCCGGGAGAGGAGCGGAGCACGGGGCGGCCGCCGTTCACCCGCAGGCTGCCGTCCTTGTTGAGGCGCTCAGCAGACACGCGGTGCCAGCGGCCCAGCGCCAGCGGCTCGGGGCTCCGCAGAACAGCCAGCCCTGGGGTGTGGGGGACAGCAGTCAGGGCTGGGGACTTGGGCAGATGGGGAACTTCCCACATCGCTGGCCACCCCAAAGGAGGAACCCAAGGCTCTGGGGACGGGCTTAAAGTCACCGTGGCAAGGGACAGTAGCAACAGGGGACCACAGGGGCCTGACCCCCGAGTCTCCTCCTCCCCGCCTCCGTGGGGCATGGAAGGCCAAGGGGGCCACAGAGCTTGGGACCCTGAGGCCCATCTGCCTCTGGCGCCCGGTACGTACCTGACCCCAGTTCATAGCGGAACTCCAGGTGGCCACCAGCCATCGCCAGGGACACGAAATCCTCCACAGGCCCGCTCTTCCCCCCGCTGAACAGCAAGATCCCATCGGGCGCCAGCGGCTTGAACTCAACGTCCAGGCGTAGCTCGTGGTGTGTGTTGGTGAGGGCGGGCAGTGCCAGGTAGGAGCCGGCGCCCGACATGGAGGGGGTGGTCACTGTCACACCTGTGGCAGCCACAGCTCAGCCAGGGCGCAGCAGTGGGGATGCCGGAGTGTGGGGCGGGTCCTGCTGCTCAGCCCCGCTCCGGGACCCCCGCCGACCACAGGGGCTCAGGACCAGCTGCAAGGCAGCCGGAGCAGCCTGGGAGCCTCTGTGCCCGGCACTGCACACCAGGCTGGGAGGGACTCTCATAAGAGAGGGACCCTCACGGGAGGGATTCAGGCTGGGCGGACCTGCGGCCAGGTAGTTTTGTACTGGTTCTGGCTCTGGGCTGAGTTTATACCTGTAGGGCCCATCTTAGTCTCAGGGTGCCCTGCTCAGCTTCCCCAACCATCACTGAGCCCCCAGGGCATCCCGGGCCCACTTCCACTCACCTTCCTCACACCTCGGCCCCGAGCGGCCCAGGTGGCAGCGGCAGGTGTAGCCCCGACCATCGGGCCGGTTCACACAGGTGGCGTCTGGCCCACAGGCCTCTGGGGGACACACAGGCCAGTGAGGAGGACAGAGGTGACTTGGGGGGGGGTGGGGCCCTGATGCACGTGTGTCCTTGGCTAGCTGTGGCCAAGGCGGCCTGGGAGGGCTTCCCAGGAGGCTGGGGGCAGTGAGTGAGTGGCTCCATGGTCACAGGATGCCTGGTGGTCAGCATCCAGCCAGCAGTGACCAGGGCAGGGGAGGCGGGGCTGGGTATGATGGGAGATGGGTGTGATCCTCCCTCAGTGAGTGAGATGGTAGTGGGCAGGCACCTGTGTGGTGGTGATGGGGGCTCCCTGGCTGGCAGAGCTGGAGGAGGGGCTATCTGGGAGGAGTGGGACGCTCTTGGCTAAGCGTGATGGGCTGGGGTGTGGGTGGAGAGGAAGGGGTGGCAGAGGCGAGCATCCAGGCAGACGTGGGGTACACACCTGGGTGGCAGTGCAGGGCCTGCGAGTGCTCACAGCGGCTCCCGGTGAAGCCAGCCGGGCATACGCACACATAGCTGCTGCTCTCCGAGTCGTGGCACTGGCCCCCGTTCTGCAAAGCAGCCCTCAAGAGTCAGGCCGAGCACACCCTGGCCCTCCCCTCTCCTCACAGGGGCTGGCCGCGGCCGAGGGAGGGCAGTGGCTGGGGCCGCCAGGGGGCGCACGCGTGGGCTCACCTGGCAGGGCCGGTCCCGACAGGTCGGGCAGTGGGAGATGCCGTGCGCGGTGAGGTTGAGGTCATGGAAGATGATCTCCTCGCCCTGGATACGCAGCTCCCGGACACAGCCTGGGGGCGAGCGGGCGGGCCGGATGAGCCAGGAGCAGGGCTGGCCACCGGGGAGTCTGTCCAGCCCACCCCACACCTTGCAAGGCCTGCCCAGGCCCTGCCAGCCCAGGAGGTTTGGCCCTGAGCAGAGGCGAGGCGGGGCTCACCTACAAAGCCGCTGGTCAGGCCTGCCTTGGGGATGGCCCCGTAGTCAGGGTAGCCGCCTAGATAGAGCTCCTCGTTCAGGTCCAGGCCCTGGAACTTGCCCTGGGGAGGTGGAGGAGAAGGCAGGACTGGAGACAGACACCGGGCAGGGGCAGCCGGGGGCTGGGGCTGCGGGCCGGGCCGGGTCTCACCTGGGAGGTCCCGTTGACAGGGGCCAGGTTGCCCACGATCAGGGAGCCCTGGGTGAGGCTGCGCAGCAGGGTCACAGTGTGGAACTGGCCCAGGGCCAGCGGGGTGGGGTGGCGGATGGTGGCCATGCCGGAGCCTGCGTCAAACCTGCTCCATGGGGTGGGGGTGGGGGAGAGGCAGAGAGAGCGGGCGTGGGGTTTGTAAAGAAGGGCTGTGGAGGGGGCCCAGCCTGGGCCACATCACCTTCTCCTGCAGTCTGAGCGCTGGGGCTGCCCAGGCTAGCCCCAGCCCTGACCCTTCCCCAAGTGTCTCCTGCATCCTTGCCCTGGGGCTGCTCTGAGCGCACCCTGGCTCCGGGGCTCTCAGCCTGGTGCCTGCCTTCGCTGCTCCTGAGTCCTCTCGCTCTGAGGTCCCCTGTTCCTCTCTGTTGAGGACTTCCCAGGCTAGGGTGGCTTCCCCACAAGGACCAGAATGGGGTCTCTTTAAGTCTGTATCAGGCCTGGCACACGGTGGGTGAATGCATGAATCCTGGCCTGCAGCAGCCCCAAGTCTGCGGTTGCTCCCTCTTCCACCTGACTGCCATACTGTGCCTCCTCCAGCAGACTGGGTGGTCGGCCAGGCTGTGCCCCTTCCCCCAGAGCCTCCTTTGTAGAACATAGGGCAGTGGATGCTGACTTCAGTTCTGGGGGCAGCCCCCCGGTCCCGCATCCCCCCAGACAGGGAGGTCGAGGGTCTCACCGGAACTCGGGTCTTCCGCCCACAAGGCCGAAGGAGATGAAGTCGGGCTGCCTGTTGGCCAGGTTGGTGGGGCTCCCTGGGGTCCGCTTCTGCCCATTGTACAGTAGCATCCCTGGGCAGACACAGCAGTGTGAGGGGTCCCCCTCCAGCCGCAGGCTCCCTGTCACCCCCGTGCCGGGCATGACCCGAGCCCTGGAGCCTGTCCACGCTCTGGCTCCTGGCCCTCCCTCAGCCCAGCCTCCGCGCCATCCCAGGGTCGGTGCCCTGGACGGAAGGGCCGTGCTGGCAGCCCCGAGAGAGGCCGAATGCTTCACACCCACGCAGGGTCTCCCGGGAGGGAGCAAGAGAGGCAGAGACTCACCCGAGTAGAGAAGAAGGCCTGGACAGTGAGAGTCAGAACCCGAGAGGGGAGAGAGAGAGAGAGAGAGAGAGAGAGAGAGGAGGAGGAGGTGAGAAGTGGGAGAAGCAGGAGGAAGGAGCAGAGATGGGGCTGGAGGCCAGCACGTGATGCACCCAGGCGACACAGGGAGACGAGGAGGCTGCAGCGGGAGACCCCCAGGGCAGGGAGGCAAACAGGAGGCACAGGCGGGGGCCTGGAGCGGGAGGCCCCCAGGACAGGCAGGGCTCACACCACCAGGGCCCTCTCCCCAGGCAGGCCCTGCAGATCAGCTCCTTTCCCGCTCACCGTCGGCTGAGTCCGGCCGGAAGGTGATCTTGATCTCAAACTTCCTGTAAGCATCCTTGATGGTGGGCAGCGGCAGGAAGGAGTAGGGGGTCTGGGTGAAGTAGGGCACCACCCGCTCTGGCAGCAGAGAGCACTGTTAGAGCGGGTGTCCTCCGGGGCGGGGGCAGGGCAGGCACTGGCAGCTGTGGGGGCGGGGCCGTCCTACCTGGTACCTGCAGATGGGCGAAAGCTTTCACCTTGCCCTGGCGGTTGGTGGCAGTGCAGATGTAGGTGCCGGCATCCTGCGGCCGCACCGAGGGCAGCACCAGCATGTTGTTCTCCAGGCGGCTGTCGGGCGGCAGGCTGCCGTCCAGCTGCAGACACACCAGCTCTGAGCACCCTGGCCTTGGCCCGCGTCTCGCCCAGTGCCTGCTCCCAGGCTCACCTCCAGACACGGCACTTTTAGCCCGTGCCAGGCCTGTGCCACGTGCTGGGGGCCCTGAGATGGCTCAGACCTGGGTCTGGCCCTGGAGACACACCTGCCGGCCCCTGGCCCACCACTTACCTTGCTCCAGGTGATGTCGGGTGTGGGGTAGCCCGAGGCCATGCAGGGGAAGACAGCTGCAGAGCCAGCAGGCACACGGACTTCTGGGGGTGTGGAGATCTGGGGCAAGGCTGCCGGGGAAGGAGACACGGACCAAGATGAGGACGGCCAGCCGGCTGTGTGCCCGGCCTGTCTCACCTCACCTGATCCTCACACCAGCTCTCGGGGGAGACACCGTGTCCCATTTTGCAGACGGGGAAATCATGGCTGAGCGGGGAGCAGCAGCTGCTTGCTCCTGCTTGCATGCAGGGGATCGGGCAGAGTCAGGGATCAAGGGCAGGTTCCCGTGACCCCACAGCTGACACCTCAGCACGCCTGTGCAGAGACTTGTGCAGCCCTTTGGGGGCCTGGGAAGGCGGCACTTGGGCAGCATCGGTGAGCAGGCTTGGGGTCAAAAAGGAATTGCCCTTAAAGAAGCCCAGTGCTTGTGTGTGCACTGCATCTGTTGTCTTTGACTTTCTGTCATGTCCGCCTGTGTTTCTGTCATGCCTCTGCCACCAGACTGGCTGGAGGGCTCCCCCAAAGGAGCGGGCAGCGCCTGCAGGTGAGCACTGCACACGGTTTTCCCCCATGATGCCCTGCACGCAGCTCTTTCCCGGCAGGTTCCGGCTGCCCCTTAAATACACAGAAAATCTCCCCAGAGAGCAGACGGGAGGAGAAATGCAGGTGAGACAGGAAGTGGCAGCGGGAGGAGTGCTTGCCCCGCTCCCCGTGCCCCCCCAGGGTCCCTGCCGCCGTCACCTTGCACGAGCAACAGCACATGGGACTGCGTGGTGCCGGCGGCGTTGGTGGCGGTGCAGCGGTACTGTCCGGCGTCGGCCAGCTCCACGTGGGGGATCCTGATGACGCTGCCGCTCTGCACGATGCCGGGCCGCAGGCGCCCTCCGACTTTGCTCCATGTCACCTGAGGCTTGGGGTCACCCCGCGCCATGCACTCGAACTCCACAGCATGGCCGACCACCACGGTCTGCACGGAGGTCCGGATGTTGATGAGCACGGAGGGCAGGGCTGCGGGAGGAGGGAGGCAGAAGGACGGTGAGTCAGCCCCGCGGGGGAGCCCTGGCGCCCGGCACTCAGCCCTCTCACTTTCTGCTCGTTCGTTCACTCACTCACTCACTCACTCATCCAGTAACTCATTCTGCACAGGCGTGGCTGGGCACCCACTCGCGACACCGCCTCCCTTTCTCCTCCCGTGCTTGTAACATCCTCAGGCCCCCTCGCCCTACACCAGACAGAGCGGCACGCAACACGAGGATCTTCTGTATCTTTACATATCCAGGGGCTGCCTGGGCAACTCGACCCAGGCCCTGCACTGCTCCCTCCTCGTCTCTGTCCCCTGCTCTTGGCGGAAGCCCGATGCCACCCTCTTACCTTGGACGACCAGCTGGGCACTGGCCTGGGCCTGTCCCCAAGGTCCATGGGCCTGGCAGACATATGTCCCTTGGCAGCTCTGGTCTAGGTTCTGGATTCTGTAAAGGGGACAAAGAAGATGTCAGGGAGTAAGGGCAGCCCAGCATGCTTTGCAGCTGTGTGGGAGGTAAAGGCTGGCACGGCTCACATGCTGCGCCGGCTTCCAGTTTCCCTGAAATCATGGGAGGCAGGCAGACAGGCAGGGTGTGGACATGATGCCTGTCCAAGACCTTGAATTCAAGGTCACACAGTTACCAGGTAGCAGGGCTCAGAGCTGGGGTATCTGTGCATATCTGGCCCCAGAGCTGTTTCCTTTCTTCCACTACTGGTAGCAGGAATACGGGCCACTGTTAACTGAAGGCCCTCCAAGGGCCGAGCTGAGTGTTTTCCACAATCGCATTTAAGTCTTTATACAACCCACTGTACAGCTGAGAAAGCCGAGGCTCACAGAGGTAGAGACTGTACCCACGGCCACTGCCACAATCCGAGGCCCCCAGGGCAGGTGTTCCAACTGAGCCCCACTGCCAGCCCTGGGCTAGTCCTGCCCTGACTCTCCACCCCTACTCACCGGAGCACCCCGTCTTGCACGCTGTGGCCGGGAGGCAGCTGGCCCCCTTCCTTGAACCAACGGAGCTGGGTGCCCCGGTCGCTGGGCACTGCGCAGTGGAACTCCACGCTGGCCCCAATGCTCCTGGTCTCCTGCTGAGGGGTGACCTGCACGGTGGGCGGGGCTCCTGCTGGGGTGGCCGTGTCAGGGAGGGTGTCGGAGGGACCTGTGGGGACACGGACAAGCGTCTGCATGTACAGGTAGGTCTTGTCCCTGCCGCTCCCTGGGACTCGGAGGCCGCCACCCCAACACTCAAGGGGCACTCTTGTCCTGCTGAGGAAGGCGGTTCGAGGGCACATCCATTCATTCCCTCACTGAACAGCCATTCAGCAAGCACGTATGAGGGCCCGTGGGCTGCTGGCTCTGCTTCCACAGCTGCTGGCCTTGGGTGGGGAGAGCAGCCCAAGACAAAAACGGAAGGACTCTTGTCTTCCTAAGGGAGCCTGGCAAAGATGATGCCGTGTGCGGTCAGACTCGGGGCAGCCGTGATGCTGGGGAAGGATGCCGGGGACGGGGTGGCCCACCTGCTCACTGTCCACTCCACACCTCCAGCGGGCTGCAGGTGTTACGTCTGTGGATCTCTCTAACTCACCCTCCGTGCAGGCCTCGTGCTCGTCACTTTACGTCTGTCGATCTTTCTAACTCACCCTACATGCAGGCCTCATACTCTCCACTTTGCAGATGAAGAAACTGGCGTTTGAAGCGGCTAAATGACCTGGCTGAGACTGCACAGCCAGCAAGTGACCGAGCTGTGCTTAGAAGCCAAGACTTTCTGATTGCAGGCTTTGCTGCTTCTAGAATTCTGAGTCCAAAAGCCCTCGTCTGGCTTTGGATCAGAGGAGACCACGGGGACCCACTGAAGCTCTGGGCACGCTGCCTGCCACTCACCCACTGTTGTTGGTCAAGCATTTACCAAGCCCTTCTTGGGCCCAGTGGTGGTCAGCGAACCTGGGCTGCTGGGGTGAATGGGTCCAGGCCCTGCCCTTGTCACATGGCAGGTGGGGCGGGCTGGGGTACAGGTGTAAGCCTAAGGACCTCCTCTGGCAGCTCAGAGGCTGAGAACACAGCCATCGAGGGGGTCTTCCTGGAGGAGGCAAGCCAGCTTGGGCCTGGAAGAACAGGGCAAAGCCCATGGGGTAGCAGAGAGAGGCCTTTGTACCTCAAGTGTGGCTCACTGGATACCTATGCTGGGTGATCAAAGGGGCTGGAAGAAAGCCAACTGCACATGTCCACCCCGAGCCGGGGCTGCTCACCTTGAACGAGCACCTGGGCAAAGGCTTCGGCCAAGCCCACCTTGTTGGAGACCTGGCAGCGGTAGCGACCTGAGTCCTCAGGGGCCGCGGGCTCGAAGTGCAGCAACTCCTTGCTGGCAGCTGCCCGCCCGGGGAGGCTGCCGTCCATGCGGCTCCACTGGAAGGTGAGCGGGGGCGTGCCGTGTGCCAGGCACTGCAGCTGCACTCTCTCTCCAGCCCGCACCGAGGCGTGCTCCGGGACTACGGTGGCATACGGTGGGCCTGGCGTGGGGGACACAGAGGCCAGGGTGGGGCTGGGCACAGGGCAGCAGAAGTTGGATCTCGGGGACTGGAAATGCATCAGGGAAGGTGGATGGGCAGCCTAGGACTGGGGCCGGGGACAGCAAAGGCCTCAGCAGGGGGTGTGGCCAGAGGTAAGGATCGGCACTGGGGCCCCTGATGGATGGGGACCAAGGGGTTTTGTCCAGGGTATAGCCTGGTGGAGTGCTCAGACCTCCATGTGGTGCAGAGAGGGCGGCCGGGGGCAGGGACGGGTATCTTACTCTCTACATGCAGGATGACGGTGGCCTCGGCGTGCCCCAGAGGGCTGGTGGCGTTGCAGATGTACTGGCCCGAGTCCTGCTGGGCGACCCGGGGGATGAGCAGGGTGTTGCCTTCCAGCCGGTGCTGCCAGGGCAGTGGGGAGCGCAGCTTGGACCACTGGATGGTGGGTGTGGGGCTGCCTGTGCCGGACAGAGGGAGATGGCAAGGCTGCTGGGTTGCTCCAGGGACCACGTCCCAGGTAGGGGTGGGAGGAAGGGGCCCTGGGAGGTCCTGTCACCCTGTGGGAAGCTATGAAGTGGACACAGCCATTTGTGGGAGATGCCAGTGGCACCCGCCCCCCAGCCCTGCCCCAGGCAGGACATCATCTTCAGGTCTTATACGTCTCTGTCTTAGGCCTCAGGCAGGGCACCACTGCTCTGCCGGCCGGTGGCCTGCTCCCTGCCACACCTGAGGCCGAGCAGCGCAGGGTGGCTGTGTGTCCAGCCTCCACGGTCAGCTCCACTTCTTCCACCTGGACCTGGGGGGCGCCTGGGGCCGAGGTGCCCGTGTCCACGATCACCTCCACTTCCTTCCGTGCTGTGCCCAGTGCATTCTGCGCTAGGCACACGTAGGTGCCCGCGTCTGATGGTTTAACTGATGAAATCTACAAGGAAGCAAGGCGCACTTGCTTGGGAGCCGAGCGGGGCCACAGACACTGACCCACTGCTCGTCTGCCTTTACCTCTCCCCTCCCCTCCTCTTGGTTTTACTCCCCCACCGGGCTGCTTGAGGCTCATCAGTCTGTCCATCCACCCACCCATTTTCTCTTTCTCGCCTTCCGCCTTTCTTCTTTCTCCGGTGTGTTCACCGATGCCTCCCCTTGCCCTCTCCACCCACTCACACCCACCTGCCCCCATCACTCTCCCAAGTCCCTGCCCAAGCCTGAGTCCCAGACCAGGCCTCACACTCAGAGATGGAGCAGCCTGGCTCACCTTGAGCACCGCGTGACTGTCCACCATCCCGTACGTCCGTGGCTCCAGCCTTGCGGGGTATCCCACCCGGGTCCAGCGAGCGGAGGAGCGGGGCTCCCCGCTGCTGACACACTCCAGGGTCACATCCTTTCCCATTTTCACTCGCACGGAGCCCTCGGGGAGCACGGACACTGTAGGGGGCCCTGCCCAGAGCAATGAGAACCATTGACACGCTTGTAGGGCTCTGCTGGGCATGCGCACTGGCCGGGTGGGCACCGGTCTGCCCACTACACTGATGTGCAGGCTGAGGCTCAGACAGGGAAAATGCCCGAGAGGGGGTCTGATGGCAGAGGCAGGATTTGAGCCTGCAGGTTCTCAGCTGAGGATCAGGGCCAGGACAGGCAGTCAGAGCCATGGGGTCCTCACCGTGCACACTGAGGTTCACGACACTCTGGGCCACGCCATAGGCGTTGGAGGCCACACAGCGGTAGGCCCCGTGGTTGCTGGGCCGGGTGCCCACGATGGTGATGACGGAGCCATTGGGGCTGATGTGGACGTTGTCTGTGGGGGGCATTGGGGGAGGGGTGAGTGAGGGTCAATCCAGCCCCTCTCAGGCCTTGGCACTGCCAGCTGGTGCCTCTCGGCCCCCACGCCCCTGACCCCTCTGGCCTGGCAGTGACTAGTTCTGAGTCACAGAGGGCAGAAGAGGAAGGAGTCCTCGGAGATGCCTGGGCCTAGCCCCTTACCACATAGAGATAAGGGGACACTGACGCCCCACGAGGGTCATTGATGAATTTGAGGTCCCAAGCCCCGCCTTCTGTGTCTCCCCTGGACCTCCCCTGACCACGTGTGGCCCCACCCACTGCCTGGCTCACCTTCCAGTTCCTGGTTCCGCGTCTTCCACTCCAGGCTGATGGGGGTGGCCCCGTCGTGGATGAGGCACTTGAAGCTGGCATCTTGGCCCTGCTGCACGGTGCTGCTGGGCGGGTCGATGGAGATGACCGGGCTCCTAAGGCCTGGGGCCGAGCAGCAGAGGGCCTGGCTCAGCAGGCGTGGGCTGGCTCCACCCAGGGAGGCCCTGCCTTGGCTCCGGCATCTTCCCTTCCCCACCCTGCCCGTGGCACCTCCCCACCCCTCCCCCCCACACTCACGGTAAGAAGACCCCTCGCTGGGCGGGACAGTGACTGTGAAGGAGGCCTCCTGCTCAGGGCCCGAGCCGCCTGCCACTCGGCACACGTACTCGCCTGAGTCGGCGGGGGACACGTGGTGGAGCCGTAGCCGGGAGCCATGGGTCTGTCAGGGTGGGGAGGCACAGCCATCAGACCAGAGCGCTTAGGACAGGCAAATCCTCAAACCCAGCTGCGTCAGGACCCACGATCTCCCACGGGGCCCAGGAGCTCAGGGTTGCAGCTCCTAGGGCGGCAGGGAGAGTCAGTCCCAGAATCCTAAGTCCAGCCCCTACCTTCCCCAGAGGAGGGGAGTGAGGCTTAAAGACTCCACAGCACAGCAGAGGGAAAACCCAGGTCTCCCAGCTCCCAGGCTGCTGAACTGCCTGTGCCCTGGGGTCCCCAAGCAGGCTGGAGTTTGCATGAGGGCTGCTGCAACTCCAGGGCCAGCCGTACCTGCCCTGGATCGTACCTGGTGCCGGGCAGGGAGGCTGCCTCCGCGCTTGTACCACGTGACCTGGGCGTGGGCCTGCCCGGGCACCACGCAGTTCAGGTCCAGCGTCTGCCCCTCGGCCACGTGGGAGGAGGAGGCCTCGATGTGGATGGGCTGGGCCAGTCCTGGGGCTGTGGGCACAGGGGTGGGTGAGAGGCCAGGCTCCTGTGGCCAAAGGTAGGGACCTCAGGGGGTGGCCCTGGAAGTGGCCGCCATGGGTGAGCTCTAGGGACCTGCAAAGGGTCTCCCTTCCCGGGGGCTAAGATGTCACTGAGACCAAGGGCTCGACGCCCCCTGGTGGGGGGACGGGCAGAGAGGCCACCAGGGACTAGGGTGGCACATGCAGCTCGTGAGGGCTTTGGCCACAGCCAGATCCTTGAACACCTGGGCTGGCTCGATCCTTAGCCCCCAGGCAACACCTGCTGGGGGGGTGGGCACTGGGGCACAGGGGGTTAAGTTGTGACCTGGTATGCCCCACCCCCTACTGGAGTGCCTGGGGAAGCACCAGCAGATTGCCCAAATACTTAGGCCTCTGCTGCCCAAGTGGGAGACCTGGATTCAGGTCCTGACTCCTGGCTTCAGCCTGGCCCAGCCTTGGCTGTTACTGTCATTTGGAAACTGAAGATCTCTTTCTGTTTCTCCCACTCTATTACTCTGCCTTTCAAATAAATCTTTTTTAAATATATATATATTTATTTATTTATTTATAAATAAAAGCGCTACTGGGGGAGCAGGGAGGAGCAAGGCCAGGAAGGGGCCCTGGGGCTGGGCCTGAGCACAGCCCAGCGTCCGTGTCACTCACCAGGAATGGGGCTGGGGCTCGAGGGTTCGATGGAGACCAGGACAGAAGCCTCCAGGGTGCCTGAGCTGCCGGTCACACGGCAGGAGTACTCGCCAGAGTCGGCTGGGGATACCTGGTTCAGCCTCAGGATGTGGCCGTGAACCTGGCCAGGGCGGGGGTGAGCGTGGGGAGGGTGGCCACGGCCTCTGGCCCCACCCCAGGCCTGCTCCGCACAGCCACGCAGGCTGCAGCCTGTCCGAGGCGGCCCCTCTGCCAGATGCTCACTGTGCTATTTCTTTTCTGGCAGGAGGAAGTCAGGGGTCTCGGGCGGGAGGGGCCCTTTCTGTTCTGCACCACGGCCCCGTGGTGCTCCTGATGGCCCTGCGTGCCCGGCCTGTCCCTGCCTTCTGACCCCAGGGATCTCCTGCTTCAGTCCTCCCCAAACCCCCTCCTGGGTCCCCTTCCTTCCCTTAGGAGATGGATTCCGGCAGGACTGTGGCAGGCAGGGGGAGGGGGAGAGGGAGGAGGCATGCATCTTGCTTTCTCCCCGCACTTACCTGGTGCCCAGCGGGGAGGCTGCCCCCACGCCTATGCCACGTGACCTGGGCGTGCGCCTGGCCAGGTACCACGCAGTTCAGATCCAGGGTCTGCCCTTCGGCCACGTGGGAGGAAGAGGTCTCGATGCGGATGGGTGGGGCTCCGCCAGGGGCTGGGGCACAGAGAAATCTGTGAACTGGGATTCCGACCCTGTACCCCAACCTTGCCTGTGTGCCCAGATGTGCAGGCCTCCTGGGGACTGGCTTCTCTCTCTCCCCATTCCACCGAGGCCTGGAGCAGCTGGGCTAGGTCCTCCCTGTCCCACCACCCCCTCCTCCAGGGCTCAGGGCCAGGCCCCTCTATGTGGGGTAGTGAGAGGAGCTAAGAACCAGGCTGCCTGGGTTCAACCTCCCCCACTCTGCCACACATCAGCTGTGGGACCCTTGGAAAGCCACTTCACCGGTCTCGGTTTCCCCATCTGTAAAATGGGAGAACCATCCTAGCCATCTCCAAGGGCTGCTGTGAGGATGGAGCGGGGTGAGGCGGGCAAACAGCTCAGGGCTGGCACCCTCACACCAGTGAGGGCCAGGCCACGGCGCGGACTTGGTGACTTGGCACCACTTGGATTTCTGCCACGGCGGTGCCCAGTGCTCTAACTGAACATTTTCCTTCCAGTCGATTCACTTTTAAAAAACGTTGGATCCTTATCCCCACTGTGGGCAATGATTTCTGTGCAGTGAGGACCCGAGCCACCACTACTCCCAGGAAGGATGTCAGTCGGAGCCCCGCCTACAGTCGCCCCAAGCACCTGCAGAGGCGACTCCCCGAACGGCTCTGCGCTACAGAGGAGGGGCAGGCGCTCCACTGTCCTTGACAGCTGAGGACAGAGGCGCATGGACAACTGCAGGTGTGGGCGGGCAGGGGTGGGGGCGGGGCAGGGACTCAAGATGCCAGACTCTCAGACCTGCATTCTCAGGCCCTGGACTGAGGTGGACCGTCCTCCCCCTGGCCAGCCTGGCAGCTCAGTCTGGGACCAAGGGTGGGCAGGATGCAGAAGTGTGGGGTCTGAGGTGCAGCTGCCTCCAGGGCTCTGCCCACGGGGCTCCCTCCCCTGCCTTCAGCCTCCCAGCCCCACGCAGGAACCTCACCAGGGATGCGGACAGGGTTAGCGTCAGAGGCCTCGATGGTGACCAGGACCGAGGCCTCCAGAGGGCCAGAACTGCCCAGCACACGGCACACGTACTGGCCCGAGTCGGCTGGGGACACCTGGTACAGCCGCAGATGGGAGCCGTGGGTCTGAACAGGGACAGGACAGGGAGAGAGAGGAGCAGTGAGATGCTGACCTGGAACCCTTGCGGGCCTGAGGCCGGGGGCTGACTTCTACTTGGGTGGGCTCAGCACCCAACAGGGGCTGCTGCCAGGCCTCCTTCCTGGGCAGAGCCAGTGGGACCCCACCCCACAGCCCTCCCACAACTTCCGGCCCCCCCTTACCTGATGGTGAGTGGGGAGGCTGCCTCCACGTTTGTACCACATGACCTGGGCGTGGGCCTGCCCAGGGACCACGCAGTTCAGATCCAAGGTCTGCCCTTCGGCCACGTGGGAGGAGGAGGACTCGATTCTGATGGGCGTGGCGGCGCCGGGGGCTGGGGACACAGGACCAGTGAGTTGGGGATTGGCCGCAGACAGATTTGGGAACCGGGTCATGGGAGTCTCAGCCACAGAAATTCCCATACCCAGGGTAGGCAGCTCCCAGCGTGCCAGGCACCTTCCTGGGCACCCTGTGTGCAGCAGCTCAAGTATCCCTTTCAAAACTCAGAAACGTCCCTGGTGATGGAATGTTCTTTCCCTCCCACTGCCCGGGGCAGTGGCACTGGCCACGTGTAGCTACTGAGCACTGCAAAATGGAATCTTCAATGTCACATGATGTCTACTGCCACAGGGGCTACTGGCCCCTGCACTAAACGGTGCAGCTCCCTGGTGCTCCTGTACCCGTTTCACAGATGAGGAGACTGAGGCCGAGGGAGTCACTTGGTCCCTTCATGGTGCAGGCACCTTTGAGCAGAGCCCTTGCCCTGAGCATCAGCAGGGCACCCCTCCCAGTGGATACCTCACTGGCCCTCTCCTGCCACCGGGGCCTCCGTCAGACTCACCAGAGGGGTTGCTAGGGCTGGGGGAGACGGAGACCATGATGGAGGCCTCCTGGGCATCGATGTTGTTGTTGGCCCGGCACACGTACTCGCCCGAGTCGGCCACAGACATGTGGTGCAAGCGCAGGTGGGAGCCGTGGGTCTGGGGGCGCAGATGTGGGAGACGGAGAGGGAAATGAGGAGCCGCGGCCACCAGCTGGCTCAGGTCTCCCCTGTCAGATCCGCGAGACCGCCTTCTGTCTCCTTAGGGCCCCGTTCCCTGGGGTGCCCGAGGAGCCACAGAGCTGTCCCTGCACTGGCCGCCCAGCAGCCAGGCCCACCCCGCTGCCCCCACTCTGTACCTGGTGTCGGGAGGGAAGGCTGCCCCCACGCTTGTACCACGTGATGGTAGCCTGCGGCTGCCCGGCGACCACGCAGTTCAGATCCAAGGTCTGGCCTTCCACCACGGTGGGGGACGAGGACTCGATCCTGATGGGCGGGGAGACGCTGGGCACTGTGGACAGGGGGGCGTGGGCCACGCAGCCGGGGTCAGCAGAGTGACAGCACTGGGGACCTCTGCTCCCTGCACCCGTGAGACTGGGCCCCTGCCCTCACCGTGGGGGGGGCCACTGCCCTGGATGGTGACGATGAGCGAAGTCTCCTGGGAAGCGGCCCCGTTACTGACGTGGCACACGTACTCGCCAGAGTCCGCGGGGGTCACCTGGGGGATCCGCAGCCGGGAGCCCACGATCTGGAGGAGGGGAGCAGGTGGCAGGGGTCCCAGCGGAGGGGGCAGGGCCTCCGCGCCTGGGCCTGGTTCCCAGCCCCGCGCCTGGCCTGGCCCTGGCTGGCAGGCGGTGCCTCCAGACTTCATACTTTTCTCACTCAGCCCCTCCACAAAGCCTGCTGTGGCCACAGCGCCCTGTGCTGTGTTGATCACCATGTCTGCCTCCCAGGAGATGCCTGAGGGCGGACACCTGTCTTATTCCACTGGGACCCGCAGCTGCTCAGGGAAGCTCTGTAAGCAGGTGCACACAACTGCATCTCTGCCGCCTCAGCACCTGTCCAGACCCACCTAGCGAGGATGCTCAGTGTTTGTTGAATGACTGAATGAGCACAGGGTGAGGTGCTGAGAGCCCCTTGGACTTCCACTCGGGGCAGGTGCACCTGCTTTGCTCCCCCACCCCCACCTGCTAGCTCCATACCTGGTGCCGACTGGGTAAGCTGCCTCCACGCTTGTACCAGGTGATGGTATGAGGGGCTTGGCTGGCAACCAGGCAGTTAAGGTCCAGGGTATTGCCATTGGCCAGCGAGGCGGAGGAGGACTCGATACGGACGGGGTACACCACACCCTGGGCTGGAAGGGGGAGAGGGAAGGGAGGCAGGGTGTGGGAGCTGCTGAGGGTGGGGTTGAGCCCTAGCACCCCTACCATTGCCCCTGATCCTGGGACACTCACGGTGAGAGGGGCCCAGGCGCCGCTGGATGGTGACGAGGACTGAGGCTTCCTGGGTGCCCGAGCTGCTGACCACACGACACACGTACTCCCCGGAGTCGGCTGGGGTCACCTGGGGCAGCCGCAGCCTTGAGCCATGTACCTGCGAGGGGCGGGAAGGTGAGGCAGGCGCTGAGCCAGGCCCTGGGGCTCACAGCCAGGCTTCTGCTCCCTTCCCTGGCCCCTCCCGGCCGGCTGGGAGCTAATCTCTCAGTGCCTCTGCCTGGGGGTGAGCACTGGTGCAGCCTGCAACCTCCCCTGTGCCAGGACTGCTCAGACTCAGAAAGTATTTGTTGAGAACTACAGGTGAGGTGAGCACGTCTGAGAGATGTGCGCCCTGAGGATCGGGGAAGTCAAGTGACCGGCCTAGGACCACACTGCGGCAGGTGGCGCGGCAGTGCCTGGACTCACACACGGTGCGGTTCAAAGCCCCCTTTCTACTCTGTAGTCACGGACGACCTTTGGGCCCCTCCTCAGCTCCCCAGCTCCATACCTGGTGCCGGGCGGGGAGGCTGCCCCCACGCTTGTGCCACGTGACCTGGGCATGGGCCTGGCCAGGCACCACGCAGTTCAGATCCAGGGTCTGCCCCTCGGCCACGTGGGAGGACGATGACTCAATCCGGACTGGGGGTGTGACTCCGTGTGCTGGGGACAGAGGGCATGGAGGTGGGGAGAGGTGAGTGTGAGTGGAGGTGCAGGGTGAGCTTGGCTCCTGCTGCGCGGCTGGCATGGGGAGCCTCCCTGCGTGGAGCCCCAGCCCTCTGCTGGCCTGCAGCGCTACTTACCAGGCACAGAGTCTGCAGGCTCAATGGTGACCAGGACGGAGGACTCCAGGGGCACGGAGCCCCCCAGCACGCGGCACACATACTCGCCTGAGTCGGCAGGGGACACCTGGTGCAGCCGCAGCAGCGAGCCGTGGGTCTGGCCAGAATGGGAGTGAGGTCAGAAGGAGCCCTCACGGGACCCCCACATTGGCAACCTGCAGCCCTGCTCATCCCCTGACCCCCGCGCCGGGCCATCAGCTATGGGTCAGGTTGCCTGTCCTGCCTAGTGGTGGGGAAGGGGCCTCTACACCCTACCAGTCCTAGAACACACCTGTAACGCCCCTGTGAGCGAGACGCATCTAACACGAGTGAATGACAGCTATCCGTGGGTGCTCCTTCCCTCCCTCAGAGCTACCCAGAACAGCCGTGCATCTTTTTTTTTTTTTTTTGACAGGCAGAGTGGACAGTGAGAGAGAGAGACAGAGAGAAAGGTCTTCCTTTGCCATTGGTTCACCCTCCAATGGCCGCCGCGGCCGGTGTGCTGTGGCCAGCGCACCGCGCTGATCCGAAGCCAGGAGCCAGGTGCTTCTCCTGGTCTCCCATGGGGTGCAGGGCCCCTGTACTTGGGCCATCCTCCACTGCACTCCCTGGCCACAGCAGAGAGCTGGCCTGGAAGAGGGGCAACCGGGACAGAATCCGGCGCCCCAACCGGGACTAGAACCCAGTGTGCTGGAGCCGCAGGGGGAGGATTAGCCTAGTGAGCCGCGGCGCCGGCCACAGCTGTGCATCTTGCAATGGGTGCAGCTCAGGGTATGGCGGTACTGGTAATAGCTCCCAGCACTCCCGATGAGCCTGGGCCCTGCACTTTGCATGCATATTAATTACCCTAGTCTTTTAAGAGAATTCCATCAAATAGGGACTACTGTACATGCTAGCATTTCATGGATGTATAATTATGGCACAGAGAGGTTAGGTAGCTTGGCCAAGGTGACAGACTAGTACGTGGGGAAACCAGGACTCACAGCCAGGCTGCCCAGGCCTGGGGTCCAACGCCTCCCCTTGGAAGCCCCCAACCCAAGGACCTCCCCTTCCCCCTTCTTGTCCCAAGCACATCCCCCAGCTCCATACCTGGTGCCGGGCAGGGAGGCTGCCCCCACGCTTGTGCCACGTGACCTGGGCGTGGGCCTGGCCAGGCACCACGCAGTTCAGATCCAGCGTCTGCCCCTCGGCCACGTGGGAGGAGGAGGACTCGATGCGGATGGGCTGGGTGCCAGGGGCTGGGGGATGAGATGGTCACCGGTTACCCCAGTTCCCTAAAGCTCCCCCCGCCCAACCTGGTGGCCCCACTCACGGTAGGCAAAGTTGGCCCCCTGGGTCCTGGTTACTGTGACGGTGATGGAGGCCTCCGCACCATTGCTGGCCCGGCAAACATACTCCCCAGCATCGGCAGGGGAGGTCTGGAAGATGTACAGGCGGGAGCCGCGGACCTGGGTAGGCAGGGGCGGCGGTGTGAGAGGGGGCTTCCCGGAGCCCAGCAAAGGCCCCCTGTCCCCCTTGAGCTGAGAATCACCAGCCCCCTAGCCCAGGAGCCAGAACCCCTGCCATCCACCGTCCTTGGTCCCCTCCCACATTCCTGCGGCTGCGTACCTGGTGCCGGGCGGGTAGGCTTCCCCCGCGCTTGTACCACGTGACCTGGGCGTGGGCCTGTCCAGCCACCACGCAGCTCAGATCCAGGGTCTGCCCCTCGGCCACCGTGGAGGAAGAAGACTCGATCCGGACAGGTGGGATAGGTCCTGGGGCTGTGGGGACAGGGGCCGGGTTAGTAGATGTTCCCCAGAAGAGGGGACAGGAACTGCACAGCCTGGGCACCAAGGCCAGGCCCAGGTCTGGGGGGTTTGGTGGCCTGGCCTTGATGTCCACAGCCCAGTGACCCTGACGGAGGATCTGAGCAAGCCTTGCCCGGGGGTCAGGATGTGACGGAGCTGACAGCTGAGGCTTGGGGACACCAAGGGTCTGGTGTGGCAACCTGCAGAGTGGCCCTTGAGATGCGTGCTGGGATGACAGAAGACCTTGTCTCAGACACACAGGGGCTGCCTGGGCTGGGCCGCTGGCCGGCTCTAGCCCGGGCCTCCTTCCCCAGCAGCTGGGGCCTCAGCCCCAGGAAGGCTTTGATCCTCCTCCAGCTATCCATGGTGCCGGGAGTCACTCACCAGGCATGGAGCCCGAAGCCTCGATGGAGACCAGGACAGAGGTCTCTAGGTGCTCCGAACCCAGAAGCACGCGGCACACGTACTCGCCCGAATCGGCGGGGGACACCTGGTGCAGCCGCAGCAGTGAGCCGTGGGTCTGGGTGACAACAGGGTGCGATGAGACGGGGCCGGACAGCTCCAGCCAACCCCTCCAGCAGGCTGGCCCTGGGGGGCTGCTGTACCTGGTGCCGGGCGGGGAGGCTGCCCCCACGCCTATGCCACGTGACCTGGGCGTGGGCCTGCCCGGGCACCACACAGTTCAGATCCAGCGTCTGCCCTTCGGCCACGTGGGAGGAGGAGGACTCGATGCGGATGGGCTGGGTGCTGCCTGGAGCTGGTGTTCAGAGAGGCTGGTGAGAGGCCTGGGTCTGGAGCCCTAGCCAGCACCCCAGGGCACAGGGCCTTGGGCTATGGTGGGGCCTCCATCTGGGGGTGGAAGCGAGGCCTTTCTGGGCCTGGGACCACATTCCTCCGCCCGCCTCCAACCTCTGATCGGTGTTCCAGGCCCATTTGCACTTTCTTGACGACCAAGTGCCCTGGCCTGCAGGGGCCCAGAGACCTTTCCTGCCAGGGCTGTGCCCCCAGATGCCGCCACAGAGAATGAGACGGCTGATTCCCTCTGTGTTTATCACGTGCTCCAAGTGCCTTTCAACCACACCGGGAGCCAGCCCATTGTCTCCATTTCACAGATAAGGAAACTGAGGCCTCCGCAGGTACAAGAACTAGTCCAGGGCTGACAAGGGGCAGAGCCCGGATTCGAACCCAGGCCAGCCTGGCTCCCAGCTTGGTGCTCAACCCTGACATTCTGCTGTGTCCTGACCAATTCTGAAACAATTCCTTCTCGTGGGGTCCCAGGGAAGCCAGACCAACCGTATCCCCACCCCGGGTCAGGCAGGCAAGGTCGCGGACTGCCTGACGGTCCTCTGTCCCAAGCCACTGAAGAGACCACAGGAGCCTCCCCCAGGAGCAACGGGGAGACCCCTTCCCAGCCCCACGGGCCTCCTCACCTGGGGCATGGCTGGGGCCTGTATGGGTGCCGCGGAGGACAGAGATGGTGATGGTGGCCTCCTTGGGGCCCGAGCCGTTCTCCACTCGGCACACGTATTCTCCCGAATCAGCGGGGGAGACCTGAGGGAGCCGCAGCCGGGAGCCGTGCACCTGCGCCAGGTTGGGGCAGAGCCGTGTGAGGACAGAGCCAGGGGATCCCTCAGCAGACTCTCACTGGCCCTGCTCTCAGCCACGCACGCCAGGTGCTGGTGAGGGGGGAAAACAGCCCCCAGCCCTGCCATAGGCTTGGGGACCCTCCTACCTGTGAGCGGGGAGGCAGGCTGGCCCCTCGCCTGTACCACGTGACCTGGGTGTGGGCCGACCCTGCCACCACGCAGTTGAGGTCGAGTGTCTGTCCTTCTGTCACGGATGGCGAGGAGGACTCGATCCTGACCGGAGGCGGTGAGCTGTCGCCTGAGGCTGGGGCCAGAGGAGGGTTGAGAGGGCCTCTGGGGAGCCTCGGCGTGCCCTCCCCCCCATGCCCTCTGCCTCTGGGGTGGGGGGGACCCGCACCTGTAAGGACGACCACCTGGATGCGGGCCTGGGCAGTGCCTGCAGGGCTGGTGGCCACACAGAGGTAGAAGCCGGCGTCGGCGGCGGTGATGGCTGGGATGAGCAGCGTGGCGATGTCCGTGCGCTCAGACCGGGCCTGCACGTGTTGGGAGGGGTCAGCAGGCAAGGGTGAGCGGCCCGAGGAAGGCAGAGGGGGCACACAGGGGAGAGGCAGGCACACAGCCCTCTTAGGGTACCAAGGAGGATGGGGCCAGGCAGCAAAGAGGAAGCGAAGAGCAACTGGGTGCAGGGCCCCAGGTGGCTGCCATCTTGCAAGTAGAGGGAGCCAGAGAGGAGATGGGGAGGGAGTGGAGGCAGGAGGGGGGGACCCAGGGCGTTGCCTGGCCTCACCTGTGGGGGGAGGCTGCCCCCTTCCTTCCTCCAGGTGATGGTGGCACTGGGCACCCCAGCAGCCCTGCAGTACAGCCTCACGGTGTGGCCTTCGTGTACCTGTGTCCTCTCTGGGCTCACCTGGACCCGAGGACCACTGCCCCCTGCAGACGGAGCGTGGTGAGAACGCCGTCTGGCCGCCCCCGGGCTCCCAGCCGCCATCCCAGCCCAGCCTGCTCACCGTGGACGTGGAGCACGGCCCTGGCCACGTGCTGCCCGGCGCTGTTATGGGCTCTGCACAGGTACGGCGCCTGATCGGAGGGCTCGACGGCCGGCAGGCGCAGGATGCCGCCGCGGACTTCGGCCTTCTGAGGGAGCTGGCCGCCGGGGCCCCCTGGGGTAGAAATGGGGTCGGCACCCTCAGGAATGGCACTGCTCTGCCCCCCCTCCCCCCGGGAGAGGGGAGGAGAGCCCATAGCCCATCCAGGGAAGCCAGGCCCGGGGAGTCAGTCCCGTGCCAGCCTCACCTATCCACTCGAGGTTGGGCATGGGGTTCCCGGTGGCGCTGCAGCGGAACTCGGCCATCTGGCCGGGCTGCACCGTGAGCTGCGGGGGGTGGATGGAGACCGTGGGGGCAGACGAGGTGGGCGAGGCTGAGAGGAGGAAGAAAGGAAATGTGGTCAAGGTGGGGGGCGGCATCGGACCCGTGGCCTGGCCACGGCCTCCTGCCTGCACCCTCTGCTTCCACTTGAACCCGCTGGGGCTGGCTGTCTACACAGCAGGCAGATGGGGTCTTGTTACGTCCCCACTACATCCACGGCTCCCTGGTGCTTTCCAAATAAAATCTAGACTCTCATTCTGATCCACCACATACTCCACTCTCACCGCTGCTTACAACTTCAAGTTCCTCCCTTGACTCGAGCCACGCAAGCGCACCAACACGTTCCTGGCTCAGGGCCTTTGCACGTGCTGCTCTTGCTGGCGCAGACATGCGGTGGCAGCTCTGTGGTTGGCTCATCTTCTTTCCCTTCAGGTCTTAGCTTGGATGTTGCCTCCCAGAGAGGCCTCTCCCACCTCGCGTCTTGCTCATGGCTCTGTGCGTTCCTGCTCTACACTCATCACCTGGTCTACTGATCCTGTCTGTTCCTCTGTTGCTGTGCCGGCTCCCAGCCAGCACACGCACTTCCTGCTCTCCACCCTGCTTCTCTAGGGTCTAGACAAGGGCCTGGCAGACTTCATGCAGGCAGCAGGTGGCAGTCCCAGTGGGTATGGGGGCAGAGCTGGGGATGGGAGGGCCCGGTGCGGATGAGACACGTACCCTGCACGTGCAGTGTGGCGGTGCCCTGGTCCATGGCGAACATGTTGGAGCCAGTGCACACGTAGGTGCCCGCGTCACTCGGCTGCACGCCACGGATGGTCAGGATGCCATTGAAATCCATGGCTCGCGAGGGCAGCTTGCCGTTGTGCAGGCGGGTCCACACCAGCGTGTAGGCTGGGGACTGCAGGGCAGAGGGAATGGGGAGGAGCTCACCGGGGAGGCTCCCGGACAGGGATGCTGCCTGGCTCCACCCCTGCCCCGCCTGCCTCACTGCCTGGGCTCCACCCCTGCCCCGCCCACCTTGCTTTTGGCAGTGCAGATGAAGGTGACGTCGGCCCCGGGGCGCACGCTCTGGCTCCGCTGCTCCTCCACAGTCACTGTGATGGGTTTGCTCGGAGCCTCTGTGGGGACAGGAAGCTTGCCAGTGAGCCAGGTGCTGGCCGTGTCCACGCCCTGTGTCCATCACCTCTGGGTGTCACCACTCTTTCTTGTTCAGCTTAGACGCCAGTCCACTCCCTGCCGTCTCCTTCCCTCCTCCTGGCTGAACCCAGCTGTCCACATTCTCCCTGCTGGCACCGAGCGGCCAGCGCCACGTGGTCGGAGAATGTCACACCATGAGCCTGTGGGCCCCAGGGCCTTAGAACGTCACCACAAATGAGCTCCTGACTCTTCACACTTGGCTCCAACTGGGGTTCTCCAGCAGGTTTGAGGTCCCAGCCTCCCCAGCAACCACTTCACACCTCCTCCCATCTCCTCCACCTGCTACTTGCACCTTTCCACGCTCACGGCCAAGGGCTTCAACCCGCACTTGCTGAGAAAATGCAAATGACTTGTCACCTGTGTTCCCATCGTTCCACATCTACCAGCCTCCCTTCTTCCCTTCCTGGCCCCTGAAGGCCGGGGCCCTTCTCCGGCCCTCTCAGCGCCCCTGGACCCCCGAGAGCCGGCCCTCTGCCTCCAACTCCACCGATCTCTTATAACTTCAGCCTCTCCTCTCCCTCTCCTTGGGACCATCTCACCCTACAAACGTGTTCTAGGATTTCCCCCACACTCCCCCAGCCTCTGCCCCGTTCCTTCTGAGCCATGACCCCAGAAAGAGTTTTCTGCACTTGCTGCCTGCCCGCCCACTCCCTGCCTTGCTCGAGATGGTTTCCACCCTCCTGCCCTGACGACTGTTCTATGTGGAGGCTCAACTCCAAGGGTCCTTTCTCTGCCCGGAGCTTCCTGCCCAGAGGCGGCTGGGGAGACGGCCACGTTCTCCTGGAAGCCCCTCCCCTCGCTCACCTCTTGGACGCCATGGTGCCCTGGCTTCTGCCTGTCTCTCCAGCTGCACCCTGTCTTCTGCTGTCCTTCCGCTTCAACCAGACAGGCTCAGCTCAGAGCTCCCTGGGCCCTGTCTCCCAGCCACACCTCCCTGTGCCCATGGCTCCCAGATCCACTTCTGCAGCGACGGCCTCCTGCCTGACCTCAGAGTCACAAATCTAACTAGATATTGCCCCAACGTTTCAAACTTAATCAAACTCAGACCACACCTAGGATCTCCTCTGACCTGTTGGTCGCTGGGGCTGCGGGTGCCCTGTCACTCCAGTGCCTGCCTGCCTGACTTCTGCCAGCCTCTGTACTCCTTTGGAGAGGGGCTGTCACGGGCCTCTGGAGCCCACCGTGCATGCAGGGGGACTGAGGCTCCCAGCAGAGAGTCACTGACAGTAGCCGGCATGCACGGGCCCCAGCTCCCTGGACAGCAAATAGGGTGACTTAGAGGTGCATGTTCTGCGCAGGCTCCCAGGATCCTTGGCTGCATTAAGCAACACCTACTAATGGGCACCCCCTACTTGATGACGTCCCTCTTACTGGACGCCTTCCCTTGCCTGTCTCCTGCGCCCTCCCTGGAATACCTGCGCACAAATCCTTGTCTCCGACTCTGCTTTTGGGGAAACCCCAGTGAAAAGGCACCCATGCTGGGGCTGTGTCCGTAGGGACTCACCAGTGACCAGCAGCTCTGCCCGGCTGCTGTTGGCATGGTGGAGATTACGGCAGGTGCAAATGTAGACCCCGGCGTCCGAGGGCTGGACACTGGGGAAGTGGAGCTCGGAGCCTGGAGAAAGAGGTAGGAGCTCATGGGTGCAGGCAGGGGCCTTCCTCCCATCCAGCCCTGTGTGCAGGGGCAGGCACAGGCCTGGGGTGGCTTGGATCACCGAGGAGTACGGGGTCATAGGTACCTTGATGTCGCTGCTGGGTGCTGCTGGGCACAGGCCGCCCGTCCTCACGGGACCAGTAGAAGTAGTGTGGGGGGCTCCCACTGACCTGGCACCGCAGGGAGTAGGGGCCGCCCTGGGGCACGACACTCCGAGCAGGGTGGACCTGGACCACCAGCGGGGCTTGGTCTGCTGGGAAGGTGGACAGCAGAGGCCATTCAGGCAGGGGCCCTTGGCACGCGGCCTGGCTGCAGATACTTCTCTTCTGTCCTCTCCCAGACCTATGTTCCCCCAAACACCCTAGACTCCCCGCCTTGCCATCACCCCACTTACCCTGGGGCAGGCACCGGCCCCCTTGCACGTTGGGGTTACCCACATAACCTGGGGCGCACCTGTATGGAGGAACAAGGCCAGCTGTCAAGCCACAAGGGACCCAGTGCCTCACGAGGGACCCGGGAGTCAGGAGCTTCTGGAGTGGGGTGAGGAGGCTCAGGACTCTGGAAGGACTCTGGGGACCAAAGTGGCCCCAGTACAGGGCCTCAGCGAGTGGAGAAAGTGGAGTGTAACAGGGAGCACTAGCAGGCTGGGAGTGAAAGCAGTAAGGCCTCCTTTGTGTAAAGAAACCTTCATTTGGGGCTGGCGCTGTGGCATAGTGGGTAAAGCCACCACCTGCAGTGCCGGCATCCCATATGGGCGCTGGTTCTAGTCCCAGCTTCTCCACTTTTGATCCAGCTCTCTGCTATGGCCCCGGGAAGCAGTAGAACATGGCCCAAGTCCTTGGGCCCTGCACCCACATGAGAGACCTGGAGTAAGCTCCGGCTCCTGGCTTCGATTGGCCCAGCTCCAGCTGTTGCAGCCAACTGTGGAGTGAACCAGTAGATGGAAGACTTCTCTCTCTCTCTGCCTCTCCCTCTCTCTCTGTGTAACTCTTTCAAATAAATAAATAAATCTTAAAAAAAAAAATCAAAACCTGGCCGGCACTGTGGCTCACTAGGCTAATCCTCCACCTTGCGGCACCGGCACACTGGGTTCTAGTCCCGGTTGCCCCTCTTCCAGGCCAGCTCTCTGCTGTGGCCAGGGAGTGCAGTGGAGGATGGCCCAAGTGCTTGGGCCCTGCACCCCATGGGAGACCAGGAGAAGCACCTGGCTCCTGCCATCGGATCAGTGCAGTGCGCCGGCCGCAGCGCGCTGGCCGCGGTGGCCATTGTAGGGTGAACCAACGGCAAAAGGAAGACCTTTCTCTCTGTCTCTCTCTCTCACTGTCCACTCTGCCTGTAAACAAACAAACAAACAAACAAAAAAACAAAAAAAAACCAAAAAACAAAAAACAAAAAAAAAACACTTTAGGGGTGGATGTTTGAGGCAGAGGTTAAGACCTCACTTGGGACGCCCACATCCCAGATCGGAGTGCCTGGGTTCAAGTCCTATTCCAGCTTCCTGACAATGCACGCTCTGGAAGGCAGGGGGTGACAGCTCAAATACGTGGGTTGCTGCCACCCACGTGGGAGACTGGATGGAGTCCCTGGCTTTGGCCTGACCCAGCCTTGGCTACTGGGCGCATTTGGGCAGTGAACTAGCAGATGGGAGATCTCTGTCTCTCAAATCAACAAAAATAAATAAAATCTTGAATAAAATGAAAGTAAATTAATAAAAATTGAAAAACTCTTAAATGCATAAAAGGTAAACTTATGTTGGTGGAAAAAAAGAAAGAGGGCCATGCATAGTTTTCCCATTCCATGTTTTCCTTGAACTCTCTGAAGCTCCCTCGGATTTCCACAACAGCTCTTTCTTCTGCCCTGCCTGCTACTCCAGGTGGCAGACTCCACAGGGGCTGGGACAGGATGCAGTTTGCGCCCCACTTTGTCCCCAGGCCCTCCGCACACTGTGTGGCACACAGCAGGTGTTGCTGAATGAGCAAACGGCGCTGAGCCTTGAAGGTTAAAAGGGAATGAGCCGGGAAGGGGTGGTTTGGAGGTGAAGAATGTTCCTCAAAGAGGGAATAGTATATGCAAGACTTGAATAGTAAGAATTCAAAAAGTCCAGTTCAGCTGGAGGGGACAGCTGGGTGTCAGAGTGGGGAGATTGAGGCACGGCGTGCGTGGTCTTGTCTCGGGAGCATTTTGGGCAGGGAAGGGGCACGACCCTGGCGGAGACCCTGGTGGAGACTTCGGCCCATCATCGTTCAGGGCTCCCAGCTCGGGGGCTACCATTTGCCCTGTTCCTTCACCCTCCCCTCTGCAAACTTACTGCTCGCAGTACTGGCCGGTGTAGCCGGGCTCACAGGCTGTGCAGCGGTACCCATTGCCTCCCAGGCTCTCACAGGTGCGGGAGAACCTGAGGAGGGCGGGGCAGAGGTCAGGTCACAGGAAGTCCAGCCTCCACTGGCTCCCTCCATTTCCGGCCTGGAAGCCAGCGTGGTGCCGGGTCCTCCCTCCTCAGCCTTGGGCCTTGAGCACGGGCACCCACATGTTCTCCGGATTGGTCAGTGGGCAGGCACAGGGCTGGCAGTCCTCAGGCGTCCCGGCCGTGGCGTCTCCGTAGTAGCCGGGGGCACACAGCTCGCAGAACTCCCCGGCGGCGTTGTGCTGGCATTGCTGTGGGGCACAAGCACGTCACACCCCAGCCCTCCCCGACGCTGGAGTGCAGCGCCTGACCCACCAGCTCCGAGCACGTGGATTTCCCTTACAGAGAGGGCTGCGGAGGGGCATAAAGATGTTGTGACAAGGACATGCATTTCCGAGAGGTGGAAACAAAATAAACACCCTGGAACAGGGAACTGGGTCAGTGGAAAAGCAGCCCTGGGGCGGGGCATGGCAGCTGGGACGCCCACACCCCCTGTCCCCGCTCGCACCCCAGGGGGCACCCCAGGGGGCAGCCGATGATGGCTCAAGTACTTGGGTCCTGGCCGTCCAGGTGGGAGACCCAGATGGAGCCCTGGCTCCCAATAGGGGCCTGGCCCAGCTGCTGTTCGGGGATGGGAGCTCCGTCTACCTCTCAAATAAAAACAATAAATAAAAAGAAAAATACTCATCCAAATAGTAGTGAAAAAGATGCTGATTATATCTCCTACACTTTTCTACCTCAATACCTAAACATAAGATCCAAGGTAGGCAGAGGGACACACATGCCTCAACATGAAAACGCGTGTGTGTGTGGGTTACACATCCTCCCCCAGAGAGGCGGCTGCAGCGGGAACCCGGCAAGTTCCGGGCTCCAGGTTTAGCTTGTGGCTCTGACAACCACTTGGCCCTTGACCGTGACCCCTAGAGGGCAACACACAAACTCTGAACGGTCCTGGAGGTTAAACAAAACCAAACAACTCGAATGCTAGGAGAGAGGGTCAGGCACCGCTAAGTGAGAACAGCTGACGCGCCAGCACAAAGGCCCTTTGTGTGGTTGTAAAGGAAAAGTGCGTGTACCAGAGCGAACCTGCAGGAAAAGGGGGCAGGCGAGCCCCCCGCCCCCCGCTCCAGGCAGAGGATTTTCCTTGCCTTCTGGTTGGTCTCTGGTCTGACTCCTCTACCAGGGAACGCGTCACTTTGGTGATAAGAGACTGAGGTTCAGTAAGAACCACAGATCCTTAGTACAAACTAGTTTTGCTGGCTGTTTGCTTGTCTGCATAAAGAACGGTGTTCCACAGCTCTGGAAGCCCCCAGGTGCCCTGCCCACAGGCTGTGCCCCTGACCCTGCCCTAGACCCAGGCCTCTCTTGCCAAGTCCACCCCTCCCTGTCCATGCCCAGCCCTGGGCCCCCACCCAGGCCCAGCCAGCTGACCCCCGGCCCCAGCCTTGCTGGCACTCACCGAGCAGGCCCCGGTCTCTGGGTGGCACACGTCTGAGTGGCCATTGCATTCACACAGCTCGCAGTGGCCGAGGTAGAGCCCACTCCCAGTGCGCGTGTAGCCAGGGGCACAGTCCTGGGGGGCAGAGGGAAGGGTCAGTTTCCATTCCCAAGCCTGGAGTCGCATCCAGAGTCAGCAGGCCCCGCATCCCTCTCCCCCGAGCTGGGGCAGTCCTGGGCCCAGCCGTCCAACCCAAGCCCGCTCTTGGTGACTCTGAGCCCCATGTTCCCCCTTCACTGCCTGCACTATGCAGAGCCACACAGTGTCTCCCGGCCCTGCCGTGTGGCTGCAGCCTCTCTGAATCTGGTGAAACCATAGTCACCCCTAGTGGAGACTGCTTCTGCATCCCCAGGACTCAGTCCCCTGAAACTCCTTCAGCAGCAAGGGTCCTGCCTAAAAATCCTTGCACCTAACGGGAAAGACCCCAGCTCCGGACGAGCCCTTACAGGTTCCCCAGGGCTGCGATGCCCCCACTGAACAGAGCGGAAGGGGCCAGAGCACACAAAACCCAGCGAGGCTTTCATGCATGGGTATGTGCAGCCACAGGCTTCAAAACCAAGCATTTCTGGGGCCGACACTGTGGCATTAAAGGGTTAAGCCAGCATCCCACAAGGGCGCGGGTTCAAGTCCAGGCTGCTCCACTTCCGATCCAGCTCTCTGCTAATGCACCTGGGAAAGCAGCGGAAGGTGGCCCAAGTGCTTGGGCCCCTGCACCCATGTGGGAGACCTGGAAGAAGCTCCTGGCTTTGGATCTGCTTGGTTCTGGCTATTGCGGCCATTTGGGGAGTAAACCAGTGGATGAAAGACCTCTTTCTCTCCCTCTGTAACTCTGCCTTTCAAATAAATCAATAAATCTTCAAAAATCGAAACCAAAACCAAAACCCAGCATTTCTGCTGCGGCGCCTGCTCTGGTCTTCCCTCTGCACCACCCAGAGCCAGGTCCAGGGATCTGTTCTGTCTCGCTGTGGACAATGTGCGCCAAGGGTGGTGGGGTCCCCAGGGGCCCCTCCTTCATAACCCCAAGAACATAAAAGCCACATAGTGGGGTTGGGAATTCTCACGGCCCCAAGGAGCAAAGATGGAAAAGGGCAGGGAAGTGAACTTCCTGCTGTGGGCGTCCCCAGCAGGGGGCGTGCTCTGCCCAAGCCTCACCTCCTGACTTCAGCTGGGCGCCTGCTGAGTGCCCGTCCTCACTTCCGCCCCCCCCACCCTTCCCTCCACCCAGGCTCCCTCCCCCTCCCCGCCATGCCACCCAGCAGAACTTTCCCTGGCCCAGCTCCAATGGAGCCCAGCGCTCCCGCACGGCCTGGGAGCTTCCTGCTGCAGGAAGCCTTGCTCCAAGCCTTGCAAAGTGGGGCCCTCCTGGGCTTTCTGGGGGGTGACCCTGCTGCCTGGAGTTCTCCCCATGCACCACCCTGAGCACCTGCGCATTCGGCCCTCCTGCCTCCAACCCCCACCCCCCGGCTCCCTGTGTCCGCCCCTCTGTGCGTGTCCACACTCCACTCAGGGCTGGTCATCTCTGTTTCTCTAGTCTGCCTGTCTCCGAGGCACATTGGAAGGCACGAGGCGGGTCTTAACCTCCAGCGTAGCCCATGCTTGAGGCAGTACTGCCCAGTGGTTAGGACACACTGGGCTTCGGTGTCCATCAGACCTGGGTTCCATAAGTTTCTGCCACAGGTAAGCAGGGGTGAGTCACCCACCCCTCAGGGCCTCTGCTTTTCTTTTGCAATCCACTAAGGGGGTAACTGCACGTATCAGTTATCTCACCTGCTGGGAGGACTACACGAGACTAAGAGCAGCCAGTTATGAACTACGGGCCACGGCAGTGCCACGTGACCAGCTGTGGCTGAGCAGAGGGGCTGGGCCAGCCACACACTCACCTGGCAGGACAGGCCCACGTAGCCCGGGGGACAGCGGCACTCCTCCACTTCAAGGGCCCGGGGTCCGTCTGAGGGCCCGGGCTGGGCGACTTCCAGGCTGACAGCGCTGATGCTGGCTGCAAGCGGCACGGAGGAGAACGTGGCGCGCACCAGGATCTCGTCCAGGTCGGCCAGCGCCATCAGGAGGTGCTCGCGGGTGGCTGGCTGCCCGTCAGGCCGGCGCCAGAATTCCTGGGGGGCAGGGGCAGAACCACCAACATGGGCGAGGGGCGCGGGGGTATGCGTGCTGCTCCTGCGGCCCCCGCCCCCAACGCCTGCCCTCCAGGCACTGAGGGTGGGCTGGGAGGGGAGGATGGGGGAGCCACATGCGGCTGGCAGCCTCAAAGCCAGACTCCGAATCAGGGTGGGGATCCGGGGGGGCAAGCGCCTCTCACCTCTCTGAAGACGATCTCATAGCTCCTCCTCTCAGCGCCCTGCGGGGGAGGCTGGGAGGCTACCAGCATGATGTTGTTACCCTGGTGAGACACCAGCAGGACTGAGAAGGGCATGCAGAGGCTTGGGGACGCGGGGCAGGGGGAGGGGCCAGCCACCTGTCCCAGCCTCTGTAATGTGCAGTCCCCCAGCTCCCCGCACTCCCAAGCTCTTATGTCTCAAGGCCACCGCCCCTCCTCCCAGCAGCCATGCCCTGGCCTGGGTCGTGTTCACCCGGGCAGGTTGGGGCTGGGGGTGTGGGTGCAGCCCCCAGCCCTTGCCAGGCCCAAGTGCCTGCTGAACTGGAGGGACTCGGTGCGGACAGTGCCTTCTGCCCCCGGGGCGTGGGGTGGGGGTGCTCACCGTGATCTGGATGTCAGGGTCAGAGAGGGGGCTGCCCTGCGGTCCCGCCGTGTAGGAGAGGGTGTAGCGCAGTTTCCCGCCGTAAGCCGCCACCTGCAGAGGCAAGCCAGGGGCACAGGCTGAGTGCGCCTCCTGCTGGGGCTGTGTGTCCGTGCGCTTCCTGCTGGGGCTGTGTGTTCGACTGGACAGGCGAGGGGCAGAGCCTCCTCAGGATGTTTTGCACCTGTGCCGCACCCCCCACCCCTGAGGTCAGGGTGTGTGGCCTGTGGTGTCTCAGTTCCTCCACAGTCTCGGCATGGGGGGTGGGGCAAGACCCCAGGCATCCTCCTTCCTGTTCCATGGGGTTCCCCAGTCTCTACCGTCCCAGGGTCCCTGCAGGTCCCTTTTCAGGGGCAGGGGTTTCCCATGAAGCAGACCACGATAACTGCAGTGAGGCCACAGGGAGGCTACAAGGTTGCCAAGTTCTCAGCCACGGTTCTGGCTGCAAGTGGCCCCTTGGGGGTCCTCGCCTCCTGGGCAGGTGGCTTTTGTTTTCCCAGAATCCATTCCTCCTTTCTGCAGATTGCATCTGGCTTTCTTCCCCTACCTGCAGGCCATGTGGCTCATGGGGCCTGGCCCCTGCTCCTCTGCACTGGACAGCGAGCCAGGCCTGGCCCACCTGCACGTCCCACCACGTCCCCTGTCCATCCCATCAGGGATGGACAAGGGACCCTGGCCCTTCTCTTTCTACTGAAACAGAGCAACTCCTTTCTCTAGTCACATGAGAAGCTGGACAGTGACACCAACCGAGGCACAGCCCTAATGGGCCCCTGGATGCAGCCATGCCTGATACCAGATGGCCCCGCCCTCTGTAGCTGCGTGAGCCAACAGGTTCTTGGTCGCCGATGCGCCGGCTGGACCTGGGTTTTCTGTTGCCCGGGACCGGAAGAGCTCTTCCGCTTGCCGCAGTGGCTTTCACGCGGGCAGCTGAGACCCCAGCTCTGCCACCAGGGCAGGTGTCCAGCCAGTGCCACGCTGCACCACGCTTGCCCTGTGTGTTCATCTGTGCGTTCAACATTCAGTCGGGGGGCAGCCATCAATTGCCTGCTGACTGCCAGGCCCCGGGGACATTCTGCACAAGCTCAGGGCGCGGTAGGGAATTCAGGGACACCACCAAAGCACCGTGACACAACTGCTTTCCTGTTTACTTTGGATGCCATCCCTGGCCACCAGCTTTCTAGCAAGCTGCAGGCGTGTACAGAGCAGTGGGTAAGCGGGCAGACACCACAGCCCAAAAGACCGGGGTTCCAATTCCAGCCTTACTGGCTGTTCAGCTTTGGACACATCACCTAACCACTCTGAGCCCCACTCTGTTCCCATGGAAATGGAAACAAAACAATATGCGCTTAAGGGGTATCACAAGGATCACGCAACACAGGACATGCAAGGGGATGCACTCAGCACACTGCCAGCTCCTCCCCGGCTTCAGGCCTCTCCTTCCCCTCGCTTGCGCTGGGTGTTATTCTACAGCTGTCACTTATTATGTGTATTCTTCCGGGGCGTTCTAAACTGTCTTTGGATCAGACGGAGGCAGTATCAAAACTAGTACTGATACCAACGCCAATGCCAACGACAGGAAGGATCATCAGACCGATGCTGAGCTCGGGGCGGGGGGGGGCTCTTCACAGGTGCAGGTGGGTGGGCATCATGGTGCAGGGGTGGAGTCACCTGGGACACCCACACCCTCTCTCAGAGCTCTGGCTCAAGTCCTGGCTGCTCCACTTCCAATCCAGCTCCCTGCCAATGTGCCTGGGAAAGCAGTGAAGTGCCTGGGCCTCATTCACCCATGCGGGAGACCTGGCTGGAGCTCAGGGAGTGAACCAGAGGATGGGAGTCTCTCCTTTTGTCTCTTTCTATCTCTGACGCTGCCTTTCAACTAAATACATACATCTCTTACAGAGTTACAGCCCACAGTAACTTAATCAGTGCTTCAGGAATGAATGAATGAGTGAATGATTCAGGTCTAAGGGAGCCGAGAGAGGAGGCGCCGGAGAACCCCTCCCATGGAGACAGCCCCTGTGCCAGGGCCAGGGCCTCGCCGAAGGGTAAGGGAAGAGGTGGGCAAGATTTCAGCTGCGCTCTGAGCTGGATGTGGGACCCCACACAAGCCCCTTCCCCTCTGTGGGCCTCAGCTTGCCCACGTAAAGGGCACTTACAAAGGCCTCATCTGGGATTTTTTTGATCCTGACCCCCCTGTCTCCCCCAACTCCCCGTTACCTTGTCCCTCAGGAAGGCCTGGGGCAGCTGCCAGTAATAGAGGCTCCCAGGGAGCAGAGAGAAGCCTTCGTAGGAGAGAGCGAACTAGGACAGAGGACAGGCAGTGAGAGTGGAGGGCGGTGGGCGCCCACGGGCGGAGGTGGTGGATGCGGGACGGGGGGCCCAGAGGCGGGGAGGGGGCGGGACCCCCACACTCCCACCTTAAGCCCGGCTTGCCTCTCTCTGGGCGTGGCTTGGGCCAGCATCTCCTCCTGTACTGTGGGCTCCCCTTGTGGGCCACAGATCCACGTGGCACACTGGCAAACATGGTAAAATGCAGTGGCTTTTTCATGTACCACCAGGGACCGGCACTGTGGCGCAGCGGGGTAAGCTGCTGCTTGGGGTGCCTGCATTCCACCTCACAGCGCCGGTTTCAGTCCTGGCTGCTCCACTGCGAGCCCTCTCCCTGCTACTGCGCCTGGGAGGGCGGCGGACGATGGCCCAAGTATTCGGGCTCTTGCTACCTATGTGGGAGCCGATGGAGTTCTTGGCCCAGTTCTGGCTGTTGCGGCCATTTGGGAAGTGAATCAGCAGATGGAAAATCTCTCCGTCTTTCCCTCTGTCACTCTGCCTTTCAAATAAATGCACTTTAAATCTTAAAAGCGCAACAGCCGACTTCCGCTGCTTTTTGACTGCCAGGAAGTCACAGTCCAGGTAGTATGAGAAATGGTACAAGCTGGTTCAGAAGTGACTTAAGGCCACACAGCACTCTGGCGCGGAGGGGCCCTTGTGGGGGCCTTGGCACATACCTGGGGGCCTGCTGGAGGAGACAGAGAGGAGGAGGAGGAAGAGGAAGAGGAGGAGAAGGAGGAGGGGAGGGAGGAGGAGTGGGGAGCGGCTCTCAGGGCTGCGGCAGGCCGGGAGTGGGTGGAGGGTCCCCGGGGAGGGGGTCGGGGGCGGGCAGCAAAGCTGGAAAGCAGCTGCCAGATCTCGGCGTCCACGCGCCTCTGGGCCTCGTCCACCTGCGGGGGCAGGAGAGGAAGGGCAGGGAAAGAAGCCGAGGGACAGACAGCACGCCCGCCCCACGCGGAGCCAGGCCCAGCCAGCCGCCAGTGCTGTGCTACTGACCCGAGTGCCAGGGCCCGCTGCCCCACCCGGGACCTCAGGAGCCAGGTGGGCTTCCTGGGTGTGGGGCGGTGACTCTGGGCTGGGGCTGCTGGGGAGAAGCCCTCCAGAGGGTGCCTAGCAAGACAGGGGCAGACCTCTCCCCGAGGCAAGGCCAGGAGCTGGAGGCAGCCGCAGCGGCCTCGGGTAGGGGAGGTGCTCCTGGGGCCTGACTATGCCCCTGACCCGGGGCACCACCCAAGGTGGCTCCAGGCTGTCTCCCCAGGACAACAGCGGAATGGACTGGGGGTCAGGCTGGGGCCGGAACTGGGGGACACGGCCTGGGAGAGCCTGCAGGGGCCTTGGATCCAGTCTCTTCCTTGGAGCCCCAGATGCAGCCTGTCCTGGCCAGGCCCTCAGTTACCTGTGATGCCTGCCGTGCCCAGCCTCTGCCCTCTGGGGGCCCCAGGATCCTCCCAGCTGCCACAGCTGCCCGCCACTGCTCCTCTGAGAGGGACGTGCGGTTCTGATGGGGTGGAGGGCACAGGCCACATCAGCCCTCCTACTGTCCCGGCATCAGAGCCATGGGCAGGGTCTCCTACCCATGGACAAGGTGGCTAGAAAGGTCCACACGGACTGGGAGACAGGCAGGCACACGGGGCTCCTCCAGGTGCATGGGCACCAGGGGATTAGAGGTGGCTGCTTAGGAGATAACTGTTGGGGGAACCCGGGGTCCAGACAAACTCCTAGGGATTAGCATCAGGTTAGTTTCCCTGCCACCTTGGGCACAGGGACCAGGGGGCACAGTAGTGCCCTGACCAGAGGACCACCGGTGCTGGCTGTCTTCATGCAGACCCACGGTACCTTGGGCACCGGGCCGAGGGCTCACAAGAACACAACATGCCCACATCACACTGGCCTCGTGCCATGTGCATCACCGGCCTACCTGGTGAGCCCGGCGCATCCGCACGAAGTCAGCCTCCCTCTGTGGGGCACAGAGAAACGCCACGAGAAGAGACAGAGGAAGGTCTGAGAGGGGCAGGGCAGGGCAGCAGGGGGCCAAAGCAGGAGGAACAGAGAAAGAGGCCACAGCAGCAGGCAGCCCAGGGAGGGGGCGGGGGTAGCAGGCTCTGTCCAAGGCAGAGCTCCCTTCCTGGGTCCCTGGGGGTGCTGCCGAATCCTACCTCCCCTGGGAACCACAAGGTGGCCTTCGCTGCTCCCGGAGCACAGCTGAGCAGGGGGCCCTTAAGTCCATCACTAAGACCCCGCCCCCTGCAACACCGTTCCCAGTGCCGGCACCTCCCACTGGACCACGGAGTAGCAAAGACAAGTGCTCTCTGATGAGTGGCGCACCGCACGGTGGCTGCTGACCAGGGTTCGAATCCCAGCACTGCCACCCACTACAGCCGTGGGATGTGAGGTCAGTTTTCTCTCTCCTCCCGTGTGAGATGGGGCAGCAGTGGCACCTAGCTCACAGTGCCCTGCACTTAACAGGTGCTCAGTAAGTACTCGCAAGGCCTGGAGTCAGGACTGCACCCAACACCACGCACAGCGCCGACGGTGCACGGCAGGGAACTAAGTCAGCAAATGATCGAACCCCAAATTGCCTCCTCTGTCCTGGCGATCCGAGGGCCTTGCCTAGGACCTATCTGCCGGACGCCTGCCTGCCTGGAAGCTGACAATCAGCAGCAGCTGACCCTGAGCAGTGCCCGGCGCAAGCCGCAGGCCCCCGGGTCTCCCTGGAGTCCAGGTTCATCAGAGGTGTCCGGTGGGGCAGCAGCAGGGCTGGGCGTGAGACCGAGGCCTACGACACCCCAGAAGCCTCACACTTAGCCCCGACGTGGCAGAAACGGAGCAGACACCTGCCGGCCCGCCTGCCCACTGAGACAGCTCGGAGGCAAAGCCGTGCTTGGCAGGGGCCTGGGGTCTGCAGCCCCCGCTGGGCGTCACACCTTGTCTCCCTGGTATGCGTCCGGCAGCTGCCAATAGAAGGGCTCCTGGCCGAGGTGGGCGAAGTTGCCGAAAGAGAGCTGGGCCCCCTCGGGCGCGGGTTCCACGGTGAAGCCTCCCGTCAGGCGGCTGTTGCGCTGAGGGTTCACCAGGGCAAAGCCTTGGAAGTCGCCAGGAGCAAAGCGGCTGGAGATCTGGCAGGGGAGGGAGGGCCTGTGTCAGCCTGGGTGCCGAGGCAGACATCTTGGTGGGGGTGGGGCAGCTGGCTGAGACGGGGTGTTGGGGAGTGTGGGGGACATCAGAGGGGTACACTGTGAGGTGCTGGCTCCAGTGCCAAGGTGGGTGACAGCCTGGGGATGCTGCTGGCCATGGGCTCTTACCAGGTGGCGCGTGTAGGAGGAGCTGGCGCACTGCTGGGTGACGCCCATGCAGAAGCAGGGCAGGCAGCCGTCGGGGTTGCTGGCACTCAGGTGGAAGTGGTGGGGCCGGCAGTGGCTGCAGGTGAGGCCTTCGACCTGGGCCTGGGCGGACGGATGGGAAGATGGGTGCAGGGACCTCGGTGGGCTGCCCCTGCCCCCAGCGGCCTCTGAGGACAGCTTCCCACCCACTTCTGGGTAGCCCCTGCCCTGGTTCCTGTGCCCAGGTCCCGGCTCCCACCAGACCCCAGGCTGGGGGGCAGATGGGCTTGGAAAGGACAGGGTGGGACTGACCTTGCACTGGCACTGGCCAGTGGCATCACACTGGCTGCTGACGCTGCCCTGGGGGTCACAGCCACAGCCTATGGGCTCTGGCACCTGGCCGTCTCCTGAGGTGGGGGGGGGGAGTCACAGCTGGAGACCCAAGCCCACCACCAAGCCCACCTGTCCCCGCCACTCTTCCAGTACCCGGCTCAGCACCGAGAGGGGGAGCTGATCTGAGGCAGGCACCCCGTTCTTAGCCCCGGGAGGTGGGGGGAGTTTGCTCCCATCCCATTTGACAGATGAAGAAGTAGACTCTAGAAGCGAAGCCACCCGCCCCAGGTCGCAGAGGAACAAAGCCTGTGCCTCGCCCCCACCCTGAGGACACCGGGCAGCCCAAGCACAAAGCCCTCCCTGAGCCCACTCACTCTGGCACGGCTGGCCCTGGCTGGGGTTGCCGTGGTAGCCGGGGGCACACCTGCAAGACAGAACGCATTGCAGGAAGAGAATCCTGGAGGGGCAGCCGTCAGCCCAGGCCCGGGCGGGCCTCCGTGGCCTCACGGTGCTGACGGAGACCTATCCACCTCACTTACCCATTTACAGTGGGGAAACACGAGGGAGAAGAGTGGGGTGCGCCAGAGAATGAGCCTGATCAGGCCCCGAGCCCAGGGCCTTCAGCAAAACCTGGCCAGGCTTGGGGCTGGAATGCAGGCCTGGGTGTCTGAGGGTCCTGAACGCTGGCCCAGGGGCTGAGCCCCCCATGGAGCCAGCGAGCTGCCTCTGGGGCCCACGGATGGTGAGAGGAAGAAGTTCTTGGCTCCCCCAGGGGGAACAAGGGCCCCATCTGTGCCCCCCTGCCTCACCTCTCACAGAGCCGCCCGCTGTGGCCCGGGGAGCAGGCGTCGCAGGTGGGGTGGCCATCAGTGTCCAGGAAGCACGTGTGAGCAGCCCTGAGAACACAGGGGCAAAACTCCCATTAGCAAGGCAGCCGTGCCCGCTCTCTGCCCCAGCCTCCTTCAGAACCGGGGTTGGGGCCGGTGGGTGTCAGGGGAGGGTGGGGTAGTGAATACGGGCCTTCTGAGCACCAGCTATGGGCTAGGCCCTGTGCTAGAGTCCCACACACCTGGCGCTAAGGTTGGGGTGACATCCCCATCTCACAGATGGGCAAGTTGAGGCCCCGAGGCCACGTGTATCATATACCAAGTGACACACTGTGGAAGTGGTAAAACGGGGAGGAAGGGGTATGGGGAGGGGGTGGTGGACATGCTTGGGAAGGGCAGGCATGGGCAGGGCCTGGACGCACTGGCCGGCAGCAGGGGCTCCGTAGCACGGGCAAGGCTGGCAGTCCTGTGGTGTCCCCTGCTGGGCATCCCCATAGTATCCTGGCTGGCACTGCTGGCACCGAGGGCCCTCTGTATGGTGCTGGCAGCCCTGGAGGGACAGAATGCGGGTTCAGGCTGGGCTCCTGGACGCCACAGATGCCCGGTGGGGAGGAGGGTGGGCGGGACTCACCTGGCAGGCACCTGTCTCAGGCTCGCAGGCCTCCGAGTGGCCGTGGCAGCTGCAGCGTTCGCAGGTGCCCAGGTAGAGGCCGCTGGGCATGCGTGTGTAGCCTGTGTCACAGTCCTGGGGGCAGAAAGGGGGACGTGGGAGGGGCTTCCTGGACGGGACCCGTTTGGGACAGTCCTGGACAGTCCCGTGAGTGGCTGGGGCTGTGGAGAGGGCATGGGGAGGTTGGGGGGGTGGAGCTCAAGAATGAGGAGGAGCCAGGGAGCACCACAAAGAGAGCTGGATGGACAGGTCAGTGGGGCGCAGGGCTCACCTGGCAGGACGGGCCACGGTACCCAGGTGGACAGGTACACTGCTCCACTTCTAGTGCAGGGTCCTGGCCAGTGCCCTCGGGCACAGCCACATCCATGCTGATGCCAGACACCCTGAGCACGACAAGACCCGCTCTGAGTGGGCCCTCGCCAACCCGCACGGTAGGGCCCTTCTCACCGCATCTCCCAGCGGCCCCTTCCCCACGCTGTGGGGGCCCAGTCCAGGCCCCCAGCTGAGGCCTCCTCCCCCCGCTGCTGCAGGGGTTGTGGCTAAAGGCTCACACAGGCAGCGTTCTCCAAAGGGCCACCTTCCTTGCCAGGGTGAGGTGACCGCTCACAGGCCAACACAGGGTGCAAGCCCCCTGGCCTCAGACTAAGACGTCTCTGTAGGCTGATTTACGGCCCGGAGCTCCCTGGGGCAGGAGGTGACCGCCAGACCTGAGGCCACTTCCCTGTGCGGCCCCACCCCCTCCTGTGTCCCTCCCTCTTTTGTGAGGCCTCCTTGTGAATCACTTTCACTCCACTGCCCGTCTTAGGTTTGCTTCTAGGGAGCCTGATGGAGGAGAAGCCCTGCAAGGGAAGCCCTGCTATAATGTCCACTTTACAGATGGGAAAAGTGAGGCAGCAAAAGGCCACACAACCTGTCAGTAGCAGGGCTGGTGGTCTGGCTGCCCTGCACAGCACCCCCTGGATTGCAACCCCCCCTCGCTGAGCCCTCTCCCGTCCTCCCGCCCGGGTCCCAGACACCTGCTCTCGGCCGGCCGCTGGCTGTAGGATGCCCGGATCAGGAGCGCGTCAATGCCCGCCAGTGCCATCAGCAGGTGCTCCCGTGTGGCTGGCTGCCCGTCAGGCCGCTGCCATGCTTGCTGCCAGGGAGAGAGCCCACGTACTCAAGGCCTGACCCCTGGGGGGCTGACACCCTGAGGAGGAGAGCAGGGGCCTGGCTGGGCTCACCTCCCGGAAGGGTATAGTGAAGGAGCTGGGCTGGCCGGGGACAGGTTCCTGGGAGGTGCGATGCTCCAAGGTGATACTGTTGCCCTGCAGAACCACCAGGGGCTGCCCGTGCAGCGGCGGGGAGCCGGGCTGGGGCTGCTGGGTCACTGTGAAACGCAGCTCTCCCCCGTAGGAGGTCACCTGGGACACAGGGTGGACAGGCGGTTGGGCCCTGTCCCTGCTCCAGCAGAGCGTCTTCTGCACAGAGCTCCCGGGGGACCACGACGCTCCGGCGTCCACGCCTTCGCCTGTGCTTTGGCTGCTGCCTGGGGCTCCCGGCCCCTGCCCAGCCCCTGCCCACCTTGTCTCCCCGGAAGCGCGGAGGGAGGCTCCAGAAGTAGGGTCCCTGCAGGAGGCTGTGGAAGGAGGAGAAGAGCAGCTCCCCGGCTGTGGGGGAGGCGATGCCCTCGCTGGTGGTGTGGGTGCCCGCAGCGTTGGTCAGGCTGAACTGCGCGGGCTCCTCGGAGGCCCCCAGCACCTGGGAGGAGGGGACGGGGTCAGGAGAGGGAGCCTATGCAGCCCTGGGCTCCCCGGCCCTGCCCACCTCGTGCAGGTACCTGGGCGCGGCTCCAGGAAGAGCTGGAACACTGGCGACTGACCCCCATGCAGAAGCACCTGAGGCAGCCGTCGGGGTTTTGCGTGCTCAGGTGGAATGAGCCGTCGGCACACTCATTGCACAGCCGCCCCACCACGTTGTTCTGCGGGCACAGAGCTGCGAGCTGTAGGACAGCCCACGGGAGGGGCCGCCTGGAGCTTCCGGCCCGACCCACCCACGGTCTGCATGGGGTTAACAGGAACTTGGGCAACCACTTTGGCTGCAGGGGCAGTCAAATGAACTGATGTTTGAAATACAGCAACTTAACGAAAACAATGACTGCTACTGCTGATTGGAGGGTTGCCCGCCTTGTTCTGGTTTCTGTTCAACCATCACCTCCCTCGACTCCCCTACATCTCTTGAGAGGCAGGCGATAGCTCCACCCCTCACAGGAGGGAACTGAGGCCCCGGATGTGAACTGATCTGCAGAACAACGGAGCATGTTCGTCTGCTCTGGGATTTGAGATCAAGGGTGCCCGACTCCAAAATCCATCCCATGGCCTTGTCCGCTGACACTCACTCTCCCGCTCACAATGCAGGCGACGGTCCCCTTGGAGCTTGCATTTCCTCATCCCCACGTTGGGGGTGTGATGTCCGCATCAGCTAATGCCAGTGTGGCAGCAGACAGAGTGCGGGGAAAGCGAAAGCGCCACACACACACACACACACACACACACACACTGCCTCCGCAGGGAAGGTCTAGGGCTCCAACTCAGATCACTGGGCTCCCTAGCCAGGGCTCCCTCCCGACGCCAGGTCCCCTCTCCAGCCAGCTGGGCCGTGAGTCCCCACCCTGGCCTCTGTCCACGGGCCAAGGCGCCGCGGAGCGGTGCCCAGCGGCTGGGGCAGTGTGCGTACCTTACACTGGCAGGCCTCCCCGGCGGTCCCCAGGCTGCCTCGTTCATCACAGCGCACAAGCTGCTGGGCTGGGGACACAAAGTGGGAGGGCAGGTGGGAACGGGACAGACACAGTCGGGGCAGTCACAGGGATGGGGTAGGGCGGCCCTCGGAGGATCACGGGGCTCGGGGGGGCCACTGGTGGCATGGGGCGGGTGTCAGGGGATGGCTGTTGAGATACTCACTGGTGGGCCTGCACTTCCCGCCCGGCTGGATGGGGTTGCCCTCATATCCGGGGGCACAGCTGGGGGAGAGGGGGCTGTCAGTGGCACTTCCCCAGGACGGCCCGCCTGCTCCAGCCCCCGCCCGCTGGCCCTCACCTCTCACAGCGGCGGCCTGTGTAGCCAGGGGCACACGCGTCACATGTGGCTTGGCCATCCGTGTCCAGGAAGCAAGTGTCCGAGAATCTGTGGGTGTCAAGCAGGCAGGGCGTGGGCAGAGCTGGGGGCCAGGCCTGACACGCCCACCCTGGGAACCCAGCGCTGTCTGCACGGACACCACACGCCACGAGGCCTGGCACCAGCTCCCTGCCCACCTGCCCTTATCTGCAGCCTCAGAGCAACGGAGGGGAGACAGATGGATGCATTTCACAGAAAGGGAGACTGAGGTCCAGACAGGTCATGGAGCATGGACAGCTTAGGGGACCAGGCTGGGATCTGAATTCACGTCTCCCACCTCCCTGCCCAGAGCATGCCCCCAGCCTGTCCCGCTGCCGTGCCTCCCCCGAGCTGGCTCTGACCTGCGGGAGGCATCGATGTACGGGCAAGGGCAGGGCCGGCAGGCAGTGGCCGTGGCCTTGGTCGCGTCCCCAAAGAAGCCGGCCTTGCACTTGTTGCACTGCGGTCCCTCCGTGTTGTGCTGACAGTTCTGCAGGGAGGCAGAGGGAGCGGCTCAGCTTCTGCAGGACAGGACTGGGCTGGACAGCCTGGTGGGCCCCTGAGGCTGCTGGCTCAGGAGACCGGGGTGTCCAACTGCGTCCTCTCACTGCCAGCAGGGGGCGCATCCTCTCCCCAGGGCAGCCAGTCCCACAGATGGGTACAAAGGGCCGCTTCCTATGGACAGAATCCTGCCGCCCTCTTTGACCCACACCCACCAGCCACTTCTGCCCTCTGAACCCACTTCTTTGCCCTTGACGACTTTGGAAGGATTTGGAGAAGTCAGTTCTGCCCTGGCAGGGCCTCCTGTTCTGCCAATCCCTCAATCCCAGCTCCCTTCACTGCTCCAAAGAAACACGGCACGGAATCCAGGCCTTTCCGCTTCCGGCTGCCCTGCTAACGGCCAGGCCACATGCCTCTGCCCAGGCCCAGCTGGACCGGGCGGACAGAGGACCACCTTCCCTTCCCCGGTCTGGACCCGCCACCTCTATGAAGGCATCCAGAGGCCACGAGAGCCGGCTCAGCTGCTAAGGCAGTGTGGAGGCTCGTGCTGAGTGGACAGGCACTGGGGGTCTCACGCCAGCCCCAGCCAGTGTCCAGGAGCCGGCTGGCACCACTCACCAGGCAGTGGCCGTACACAGGGTCACAGGAGCTGGCATGGCCATTGCAGTTGCAGCCAGAGCAGGTGCCCAGGTAAGGCCCACCGGGTACCCGGGTGAAGTGGGCAGCGCAGCTCTCGCAGGACAAGCCGGAATAGCCGACGGGGCATCTGAGGGGACAGCACCGAGAGAGGGCGCTGCAGGAACCGCAGGCCCTGCTGGGTGCGCTCCGTCCCTGTAGCGCCCCTGTGGTGCCCGGCCCGGCGGGGTCAGGCACCTGCACTCCTCCACACTGTGTGCGCGGCCGTGGCTGGTGGCATAGGTGACGGTGGTGTCCATGCTGATGTCGCTCAGCCCCACGCTGGCCATCTTGGCGTTGTACACGGTCTGGATGAGCACGGCCTCCAGGCTCTGCAGTACCTGCAGCATCTCCGCCCGCTGCACTGGCCGTCCAGACTCGTGGACCCAGTGCTCCTGGGTGCGGATGGAGTGAGGGAGTCACTGGTCAGCGCCTCCCCGGCCTGCAGCCGCTCCCCCATCCCCGGCCCTAAGGGCCCAGGTGCCACCTACCTCAGAGAGCTGGACCTGGCGCTGGTTCAGGGCACCGGGTTGGGTGGGCGTGTGGCCTCGGGAGAGCAGGCGATACCCAGCACCCACGAGGACCACGTCTGGCCGCTGCACCGGCTCTAGCATGCCACGTGCCAGGTCATAGCGCACCTTGTAGCGCAGGGAGCCGCCATAGGAGTCCACCTGGCCGGGAGAGGGCTGATCAGGGCAGCCAGGGCACACCTGGGGCACACCTGAGCCCCCTGGGCCAGCCATGGACGGATGTGCAGTCTTCTGGCTCCTCCCTCATTTAGCCTACCTGTGCCTGAACCCGAGCTAGGCACAGGGGAGCCAAGGTGGCTGAGACTCAGGCTCTGCTGCTCAGGCCATAGCAGGTAGAACAAAGCTATGCAACAGGTGGTCAGGGAGGCCAGGGCCGGGGGCACTGAACTTAGCCCGGGTTTGGGGTAGTGGTCAAGGAAGGCTTCCTGGAGGAGGGGACGCCAGTTCTTTCCAAAGGCTGAGTCCTTCCCCCTGCCAAGAGTGGCAGGCAGGGATCCTGCTTGGATGAATGAGCCCCACGGGCCGCACTGGGGCACAACAGCACCTTTTCCCCAGATCTGTGTCTGCCCTGCTGCCCATCGGCTTCTGAGGGAGGGGCCAAGCAGGTTCTGAGCATGGAAGGAAGGATACGGCCCCCCCACCCCGCCCCCGCTTCCTGGGGGGCAGCAGCTCGGCCCCTCACTTTGTTGCCCAGGAACTGCTCAGGCAGAGCCCAGAAGGAGTCGTGGACGAGGAAGCGACGGGACAGGTCGACCAGCTGGAACTCCTGCAGGGCGGTGTCGATGTGCAGCTGGGTGGAGGACAGGGGCGGCATGCCGGGCTGCGCGGGCATCGTCACGTTCACACCTGTGGGTGGCACAGGGGCGGGCTGAGGGTGCAGGAGGCGCGGTAACCCGCAGAGGCGGGGGGCTCTGGGGGACACTGCGGTCTCTCCCGTCGCCAAGAGAAAGCAAAGTTGCTTTTCTCGTTCAGAGTCCTGGAGCAGCGTTTCCTGAAGCATGCTCCGGGGAAAGCGAAAGCCAGGACGCGACGCTCGGGAGCAGTCAGAGGCAGGCCCAGGGGACTCTGCCGCAGGACTTCTCAGGGCCTTCGCTTGCTAAGCGATGCATGGACCCGGGGGGCTGGGACAGCCCCGGGTGGGCAGTGGAGAGCTCCACCATGCTCCAGACGGTGAGCCTAGGTGAGGGCCTCAGTTTCCCTATCTGTAAAATGGAATAAATTCTGGCCTGCCTCATGGAGTTATTACGACAAAATTAGCTATAGCCCAAGGAGATGCCCCAACACCAGTTTTTTAAGGGCAGGCATTTGGGGTAGCAGTTAAGGTGCAGCCCACAGCCCACATCAGAGAGCCTGGGTTTGAGTTCTGGCTCCTCTCTGGGGTTCTTGCTAACGCACGTCCTGGGAGGCATCAGGTGGTGGCTCCAAGACTTGGGTCCCTGTCACCCATGTGGGAGAACTGGCTCCTAACTTTGGCCTGGCCCAGGTCCAGGTGTTATGGGCGTTTGGAGAGAGAACCAGTGGATTAGATATCTTGATTTCTCTTTTTTGAATAAATAAAATAGATGAAAAAAAATTAAGTTAGTTTTTACTACTGTTGTTGCTATGAAGGGTCATCTGGTCTACCCTTCTCCTAGATACACACACACACACACACACACACACACACAGGGATTCCCTGAGCAGGATCTGCCAACAAAACTTTCCATGATGATGGATTTGCTCTGAATCTGTGCTTTCACACACGGCATCCTCTAGCCACACGTGGCTATCAAACACTGGATCTGGGTGACAGGATCCAAACGTGGACAGCCACACGTGGCTGGTGACTACCACACTGGCCAGCGTAGTGCCAGGTGATGGGGAGCTCAGTACCTACACAGGCAGCCCCTCCCAGCTTGGGACAGGTGTGAATTCTAGAAAGTTCTTCCTTACAGAGTTCACATCTGTCTTGTACCCCCTGCAACCCTGCAGAGACGCCCAGGCCCTCATCTGTGGCAGGGGCACGAGAGCCTGCAAATCCAAGCATTGCTCCCGCCTCCCGGCCTGCTGGGGCCGCCCTCAGGCGCCCTCCACACACAGGCCACCTGCTCGCCCTGGAATCCTCACCCAGCCTGATCATCCAGATTCCGTCGGGGGCCTGGGTTCCGGCTCGCTGCCTCTCAACAGCTGGGTGACCCTGGCGAGGCCTCACGACCTCTCGGACTCGGAGTTGTCATCTTAACACTGCAGACAGAGCCCTGACCTCGCCAAGCTCATCAGCCATGCGGGGCTGGCGTGCGACTCGGGCCAGCCCTGCAAACACGCTGGGGACAATGGCCCAAGGGACCCACGCTTGACACTGCTCTCTCTCAAGTTCCTCGAACAACAGAGTGCAGAGCCGGGCGGCCAGGGTCCGGGTCTCCCCACCTCCAGGGCAGGGGGAAGGACAGGGAGCCGGGGAGCTGAGGGACTGTGTGGGGGCCGGGAGTGAGCCCAAGCCCACCTGATCCCGGCTCATGCGCCCAGCCGCTCTGCCACTGTGCCTCTGGGAGCCGAGGAGGCTGAGTCCGGCTGCCTGTGTCTGCACGCACCCCAGGGCTCCCCCGGGACTGCCGTGGGGTTCCCACGGCTGGACGTGCTAGCGCACTGCATTGCTCCGTGCTAGTGGCAGAGCCGACGCGAGCGCTGCACGGCCAGCGATGGGAGCGCAACGCAGCAGCAGCAACACCGAGCCCGGTGCAAGCGGCTGCGGCACTGCTGCGTGGGTTTGCCGCGGCGTGCTTTTTCTCGTTCTTCAGGAGCGTAGTGCTCCTTACAGAAACCAGGGTTTCTGTAGGACACAGCGGCGTGTTTCCCTGGCACTGGACTCCCCTGCCTCACGCCTGCTGCCTCTGCGGACGGCACCGAGACCCACGCCACGCAGATCCGTGCCCATGCACCCTGGGGTTCACACAGTGGCGAAGCCACCTGACCATGCACTGCTCACACGCAGGCCCCAAGACGCCGCGCGGCTTGCCCGGAGTCAGACAGCCGAGATGCGGGAGCCTGGGCTCTCACATGGCGGGCACTGGGGCCCCCTGTCTCAGGACGAGGACGAGATGATGACCTCAGCAAAGACCACCGGATGCCCACCATGGACCAGGCGCTGTTCTGAGTGGTTCACCCAGTAAGGCCTTCCAACAGCTTAGGAGGCAGTCGCTAATCCATCCCCATCTTATAAATGAGAAAACTGAGCCACAGACAGTGAGTGACTTGAGGAAGGGCACGCGGGCAGTAACTGTCAGAGCCAGGATCCGAACCAGGAATCTGGCTCCGCAGCCCTGGAAGGGGCCAAAGGTCAAGAACGCATTTGGCTTTCCCTAAAATTGTTTGTTTTCCCCTGAAATACTCCTCTTCTTCCAGGGCTCAGTATTTCTCCAGCAACTCTGTGTCCATGCAGTACATACCCCTGTACCTGCCCTGGGAGGCCACCAGGGAGCCTGGTGCTGCCCCTGCCACCTCCCCTGGTGCCCACCTGCCCACCGGCCCGCGTACCCGGCAACTCACCCTTGAAGTCACCAGGCAACTCACCCTTGAAGTCGCCGGGCTGGTCAAAGCGCAGGTGGATCTGGTGGCGGAAGCGGCGGCTGCTCTGGCACACGTTGGTGACCCCGAAGCAGAAGCAGGGCAGGCAGGAGGCGCTGGGCTCCAGGTAGAAATGCCCGTCGGGGCAGGGGCCTGCTGGTCAGCAGGGAGGGCGGTTACGGCTGGCCACCGGCAGGAGGCCCAGCCCTGCACCCAGGGCCCATCCAGCCCCCGGCCCCCAGCCCGTACCTCGCTGCGGGATGAGCTCCAGGACGCCGTCAGGGATGCCGAACACCATGCCCCGGGCGTTCATGGCCTCACAGGTGTAAGCACCCTGGTCTGACTCCTTCACATCGCGAATGATCAGGGTGCCACGGCCGCCCTCGCTGGTCATTGTCACCCTGGTGGGCCCCGAGACGGTGAGGAGGTGGGGTCCTGGCCGCTGCCCCGCCCCCTTTCCCACCCACCACCTGGGGCCCGTCGCACCTGGGGTGAGAGGGGATGTGGCCCCAGTTGAGCCTCCAGTTGATGATGGGGGTGGGGACCCCAATGGCCACACAAGTGAAGGTCACTGTCTGGCCCCGCGAAGCCTGGATCGACTCCTGGGGAGGGGTCACCACCTGCGGGGGCACTGGGGAGACCAGGGCTGGGGTGAAGGGTCTGAGGGGCCAAGGGAGGGGTTGGGGGGAAAGCTCCTAGGAGCCAGGCAGGTGAAGGGTGGGGGCTGTGGACAGAAGCACCTGGCACCCAGCGCAGGGACAGGGCCCGCATCTCCCCCTTCCCACTCCCCTGGTGCCCTGCTCACTGCAGCCAAACTCGTCGCTGCGGTCGGGACAGTCGCTCTCCTCATCACAGTGGAAGCTGGCTGGGATGCAAGTACTGGTGGACACGCAGCGGAACTGGGTGGGGCCACACACCTCCTCGGGACGCTTGGCAGCTAGGGGACAGAGCCACGCGGTGTGGGCACCGGGGGCACCCCTGCAGGGAGGCCCAGCCCATTCCTGAGCCCAGCAGTCCACCCAGCGTCCCAGGTCCCTCTCATCCTGCCCACAGTGCCACCCCAGCACTCACGCCCCGCCCCCTGCCTCCCCTGAAACAGTTCTGCCTGGCATAGTACCGTCCCAGCTGCAGTGTCCCTTAGTCCCAGAGTCACGAGTGTCACCTCATGTGTGCACATGGGCCCCATGGAAGGTTTGGCCACAGGGCGGGCGGTACCTCCGGACACCAGGGACCCTGCACTGGGGATCCTGTTCTTTCTGCAGGACTGGCACGTGAGGGGCCTGCCCCATTCAGCTCCTCCTGTGGGGCTCAACGCTTGACGCCCCACTCATGGGCCCAAGGGTGGCACCGTACCCCAGGCAGCCACATCTCTACTGGTCAGAGGCCCGGAGCCCATCTGGCTCTGCGGCTGGGCCCCTGCTAGGCAGCTCCAGCAGATGGGATGAGCATTCTTCTTGGACAGACAGCTCGAGAGAGACCACACATGGAGAAGACACACGGAAGAGCAGGGAGCTTGCCACGCAGAGGGACAGCCCAGGGGAGCCACAGGGCCTCTGTCCCAACACCTGGAGAAACCCGAGGCATCGCGCTTGCTAGTCTGGGCCCTGCTAATGAGGCCCCGGCCTGCCCTGGCCTCTTCTCCAGCAGAGGCCTCTGTGCGACCAAAGCCCTCGATTACTTTCCCTCTCCCAAGGGGCTGGCATCGTCAAGCAAGCTCAGAGCCCCAAGAAGGGCGTCACCAGTGGCCTGCCTCTCTCCAGTGCTTGCTGTGGGGCAGGGAGGGTGGAGGCAAGGAGAAGGCAGACCAGCCCCCAACAGCCATGTCCACAGGGAAATGGTTTGAACATCCCCAGGGTTGGACCGACGAGCCGGGGCTTCGCCTCCCAGGACAGGACGCGGGATGCTACAGGTGGCCTCTGACTCTCCAGCCTCCTTCACCGAGGTGACTGTTATGGCGCCCAAAGTATGGACTGGATGGCTGGGGGAAATGGATGTTGGGCAATCGATGCGTGGATGGTTAGGTAGATGCAGGGGAGGGTGGGAAAGGGGAGGGATGGACATTAGGTGGGTAGAGGAAGAGGCGGGTAGACAGGTAACGGATGGATGGATGATTGGGCGAGTGAAAGGGGAGGGATGGATAGACAGGTAGTGAAACGCATGGAGAGATGGATGGGAGGGAGAACGTGGAGCAGAAGTGTGGATAGCGGCATGAAAGCTGGGTAGACGGGCAATGGATGCACGGGTGGGTGGGTGGGTGGACAGGTGGATGCACGGGTGGGTGGGTGGATGGACAGGTGGGTGCATGGGTGGGTGGGTGGATGGACAGGTGGGTGCATGGGTGGGTGGGTAGATATTGGATGGATATATGTGTGGGTGGGTGGGCGAGGGGACAGATGGTGGGAGAGAAGGATGCTGCGATGATGGGTGGCTGGCTGGGTGACTGAATGGGTGACTGGTCTGACAGACGGATGAAGAAGTGAGCACATGGAGAACAATCACTCAGAGCCAGTGTCATGGTTCCACGCTGTGGTTTGAATGTGTCCTCCGAAGGCCAAGCTTGGACACTCAAGGCAACAGGTTGAGAGGTGGGGCCCTAAGAGGGGAGTAGGTCCTCAGGGCTCTGCCCGGGAATGGGCTGATGTGGTTGCTGGGGAAGGGGGCTTGTGGACAAAGGATGAATCTGATTCCCTTCTTGCTCCCTCGCGAACTCTCTGCCGTGGCAGAAGCAAGGGGGCTGTCTCCAGGTGTGGCCTCGAGACCGTGAGCCGAGTGAACGTCTGCTGTGTGCAAGTCTCCCGGGGACAGGTGCTCCCTGAGAGCAGCACACAGTGGACAGAGCCTTGGCCTTGCCCCTGCCTCCTTCTGGCATTGCAAGCCACCTTCGTCATTCACCTGAGCCCACACAAACACACAGATGAACAGTAACAGACAGAGAAACGCAATGAGACACGGGCCACAGCAGTACAGCCACGCTCAGCCTACAGCCATGCTGCTCCCTCCAAAGGCCAGCTCGGAGTGAGAGTCTGGTCAGAGACAGACCTCGATGCTGGTCTCCGGGCCTTCCCTGCTCAGCCGGAGAGGGGCCGATGCACCTGCCTGAGAAGGGGGTGGGGTGGGGCACCGGCCGGACCCGCAGACACTCACGGCAGTTGGCCTCGTCGGTGCGGTCCTCACAGTCAAAGTCGCCATCGCAGCGCCACAGCTTGAGGGCACAGTGCCCGTTTCCGCAGGGGAACTCATTGGGCTCACAGGGCGGTGTGGGGCCTGGTGGATGGGGCAGGGTCAGCGGCAGCCCTGCCCTGGCCAGTGCCTGATCACCCGCACCCCCCGCCAGCCCCGGCTGGCGCTCACCGCAGTCCAGCTCGTCGCTGCCATCCGTGCAGTCTTCCTGCCCGTCACAGACGTAGTCTTTGGGGATGCAGTGCCCGCTGTGGCATGCAGCCTCCTGGGGCCCACAGGGCTCAGGCCTGCCTAGACTGGGGAACAGAGGCTGGGGAATGGCCATGTCTGGTGGCCGCTGTGTGGCGACCTCTGGCTGGGGCGGGAAAGACGGTGTCTCCAAAAAGGGCTTCGTGGTGCTGAGCGCTGGGATCGGCTCCTCTGTGGACGGAGCACAGGGGGCCCTTAGCAGGAGGGGTGGCTCCTCAGTCCTTGTCCCAAGTCCACAGGTCCTCCCTGCACCCCCAAGAGAACGCCCTGCAGCCCTGACTGTGATGTCACCACGCTCTGCCTGCTTCCCCTGACCCCTCCACCTGCGCCCCAGCCTCATGGCCCAGGACTGACTCTGAGCCCTGCGTGAGGAACCCCAGCCCCACCCTGGTGTCCACAGGCCATGTGTGCCCCTGGACAGCCCCTCACCGCAGTTGAGCTCATCCGACATGTCCCTGCAGTCGGGCCGCCGGTCACAGCGATACTCCAGGGCCACACACTCGTTGTGGCTGTGGCAGGCAAACTCGGCCTCGGTGCAGACCCTCGGGATCTGGGGCACTGCGGAGGTGAGAGGAGTCAGAGGGGGCAGGCGGGTGGGGACAGCACAGGCAGTGCACGGCGGCGAGGGGGCCACTGTGGCAGACACGGCGAGCACTTGGTGGGCACATCCACAGCACGCACAGGACGTGAGACACACGGCGGTGGCCTTGGCAGTCCCTTACAGGGCGCACACACAGCAGACATGCCACACGTATGCAGCCACCACACCACACACATGCAAGCCACAGCCTGGCCCAGTGAGGAGGGAGGAGGGAGCGAGAGGGCAGCCTGCGGGCCGTGCCCAGCCATCTGGCCTTGTCCTTCTCTCCCTCCGTCCCTGAACTTCTCAATGTCCCCAGCCGGGCCCAGGCTGGGCTTACACTCTCACCTGACGTCACTGTGACCCCCACGGCGGCCGGAGGGGGCGGGGGGGTCTGTGCTGGAAAGGAAGATGTGGTCAGCAGCCGACCCACCTGGGTCAGGCCCATGCCGCCATCCCCAGGCAGGAAGACTCATTGCAAAGTGGGAGTAGACTTGGGCTTGGGGACGTCCGAAGAGCAAGCCTGAGTGTTGGGTGCGGTCACTGAGGTCTTAGGTGCAGAACAAGGCGGGTGTTTTCTAACTGGGCTGAATCGTGGCAAAACTGAGCTTTGTTCGGAGGCAGGGATGGTGACTTGTGGGAGCCTTCCCAGGGAGAGGAGAGTGAGATGGAGACAGGGCGGAGAGCCACAGCCCGTAAGGGATGCGCTGCGACTGTGTGGCCCAGAGAGGAAGCAACTACGGAGCAGGAGGAGAGACCGGGCCCGCTCAGCGTACAGAGGCCAGGCGTTTGCGTCTCACAGCTCTGTGCCCTTGGGCACGTTTCTGACGCTCTCTGAGCCTGTTTCTCGTCTCATCTCGAGTCCCGGCAAGACTGGCCCCGCCAGGGTCTGGCTGAGATTCTGGCTTTCCCGTTGTGGGCCTCTGTGGATCGGGATAAGCCACGGCTCTGCTCTGGTGCCCTCCTCTCTGAGATGGGAGGGGGAGAGCTCGCTTCCTCGGAATTGTGGAGACGTAAGGGCCTCCGCAGAGTGCCTGGCGCAGTGGGTGCTCAGCACACCACAGCTGAGTACCACTAAGCGCACAGAGTTCTGGACTTGAAAGCTCTGGGTGTGTGCGGACGGGAGGTATCACTAGTGTCCACGGGCAGAGAGCGGGCGTTGGACCCAACAGGGGCGAGGTAGGGTGGGCAGTCTGGGCTCTGCACAGAGACCCACAGGGCCACCCTGAGAGGTAGGGAGCGCCCGGTCCCCAGTGGTGGGAAAGCCCACGCAGGGAGAGCAGGGTGGAGACCCTGCAAATCTCAGAGGTCGGAGGTGGTGGCCCCAGGCCCCAGGTCAGGCTCACCGGTGCCCAGGCGTCGGAACTGGAACCCCTGGGGGGACGTGACGTAGGAGGCGATGGCACCGCCGGAGACGACCCTGTGCAGCACGTCCTGAATCTGGGCGCCATCCGCATTGCCTTCTGAGCCCACGTCCAGCTCCACAAAGACCCAGCCGTCCAGCTCCCTGCCGACGGGGATGGGCGCGGGGAGGCTGAGGACCACGCCTGAGGCAGGTCCTGTTCACAGAGCTGGGCAACGAGGGGCCCAGTTCTCCCCGCCCCAGTTCCCCAATTTCTACCAATGGCCACTCGCCCCCGCAGGCCCCGCCTGCCTGCCCTCGGTGCCCAGGGGGACCCTTCTCACTTGATGAACACCACGCTGACCACCTGGTCTCCAGGAATCTTCGCGTACTCCATCTCCAGCTGGGGAGGAACACAGCAGCCATCAGCCCTCCGACGTCTTCCCGCCACCTCCAGCCCTGCCCGGCCACACTGAGGGTGCTCCCCACCCTCACCTTGTCCACCACGGCATCCGACACCTCCCGGAACTCCCTGGAGCCTGCATCCTCCAGCCGAGGGCTGTACTCGATGGAGTGCGTGAAATTCACCAGGGCCCGGAAGTACACTGTGCAAAAAGGCCAGTCACCATGAGGGGCTCAGCCTGGCCTGCGGGGGCCTCAGGCAGCTGGACCAATGGGTGGACAAAGCGGAGGATGGGCCGCCATGTGCCCACGGCTGCGCCCAGTCCTGCCTAGAGGAACTCAGGCCACAGTGGCCCTGGAAGCCCTGTCCAGAGGTCCAAGTTGAAGCCCCAGTTTGAGTGACAGGGACAAGTAATGATGCAGAAGAGGAAACTGGCATTTCAGGAGGCTGGACAAGGAGGGGAGGCTTCCAGAGGGGGCTGCCAGGCACAGGGATTACCCCAGGCTTCCCTGGCCAGTGTCTTCTCATCTCCGCACTCTGCCCAGCCACCATCTCCTCCAAGAAGACGGCCTGGACTGGGCTACTGGCTTCTCCTCTGGGCACCCACAGCACTCCCCAGGAGGGCACCTCTCGCGCCGCCTTGCACAGATCCTGCTGGTTACGTGGGGGTCACTCGGGTCCCAGCAGCACTCGAGGGTTAGCGTGGGCCCCGGCCTCCCCTCTCCGAGTTTCTGTTTCCTGGCTTCTGCCACACTGGGCTGCCACGGGAGCAGGTGACACTGCACACCCACGCACCTCTCTCTGCTCAGACGCAGCCCTGCCACTCTCCTCCCTCCACCACCACGCGGCGGCCTGGATGAATGCTTGGCCCACGTTCACTCCTGTATCCCCGTGCCTGCAGAGTGCCTGGCACCCAGTAAGTGAAGGCTGAACAAACCTGATGTGCGCATACAACTACTGTTTCTTAAGCACCTACTATACACAAACATGATTTCAAAGTGTTTATGAGCTCCTCCATGGATTTCACTGTTGTTTTTCATGATTTATCTTACTTGAAAGGCAGAGTGACAGAGAGGGAGGGACAGAGGTCTTCTAATCCAAGGGTTCACTTCCCAAGTGGCCACAGTGGTCAAGGCAGGGCCAGGGAGAAGCCAGGACCAGGACCTCCACCCGGGTCTCCCAAGTGCACCAGCGACAGGGCTCCAAGGACCTGGGCCATCTTTTGCTGCCTTCTCGAGAGCATAAGCAGGGAACTGGACAGGAGTGGAGCAGCTGGGACTCAAACCGGTGCTGCAGTGTGGGTGCCGGCACAGCGGGCAGCAGCTTAACCCACCCGTCACATGCTGACTCCTCACGTGTGTTATCAACACTAATTAAATCAAGTAGCCGATGAGTTACAGGTGGAAGTACTTCAAGTCTGTGCAAAATGGAATTACACTCGATCTTAGCCAAAAGACTGAGAAGTGATGGGAAATGGAATTAAAAGAGAGGCATTTTGTGGTGCGAAAGACTCTTGAAATCCATGCATACAAGCAGTCTTCAAAAAGCTAATAGAAAATGAATGCTGGGGCCAGCGCTGTGGCACAGCGGGTTAACGCCCTGGCCTGAAGCGCCGGCATCCCACATGGGCACCGGTTCGAGAACCGATACTCCAATTCCAATCCAGCTCCCTGCTGTGGCCTGGGAAAGCAGTAGAAGATGGCCCAAGTCCTTGGGCCCCTGCACCCACGGGGGAGACCCAGAAGAAGCTCCTGGCTCCTGGCTTCGGATCTGTGCAGCTCCGGCCATTTTGCCCATTTGGAGAGTGAACCAGTGGATGGAAGACCTCTCTCTTTGTTTCTCCCCCTCTTCTCTCTGTAACTCTGCCTTTCAACTAAATTAGTAACTCTTAAAAAATGAATATTATGAAAAAACTACACATGGATTTCAAAGTTTTTTTTGCACCAAAATACTTATCTTTTAATCCTATTTTTTCCACAAGCTGTTTGAAGTCCCCTTGCATGAGTACACACACACACACACACACACACAGCTCTCAGTTGTTTCTTAAGCACCTGTTATATACAGGATTTTTTTTTAATGCCATAAAGTTCACAATGTGGGTGAGGGGCCGGTGCTGTGGCGGAGTGGAACATATGGTGGGCATCCCATATGGGCGCCACAGTGGTTCGTTCTGGGCTGCTCCACTTCTCATCCAGCTCCCTGCTAATGGCCGAGAAAAAGCAGCAGAAGATGGCCCAAGTCTTGCTACCCATATGTGAGACCTGGTTGCAGCTCCTGACTCCTGGCTTCAGCCTGGCCTAGCCCTGGCTGCTGCAGCCCTCTGGGGAGTGAACCAGTGGATGGAAGACCTCTCTCTCTGTTTCTCCCTCTCTCTCTATAACTCTGCCTTTCAAATAAGGTAATTAATTAAAAAAAAATACGTGCACAGTGTTGAGAGCACAGCCTGGCACAGGGCAGGAGCAGCATATGATGAGCTGTCGTCCTAGGAGAGGCACCAGAGCTTAGTGGTTAAAAGTGCAGCCTTGGGGCCGGCGCTGTGGCGTAGTGGGTAAAGCCCCCGCCTGCAGTGCCGGCAGCCCATATGGGTGCCAGTTCGAGTCCCGGCTGCTCCACTTCCGATCCAGCTCTCTGCTGTGGCCTGGGAAAGCAGTAGAAGATGGCCCAAGTGCTTGGGCTCCTGCATCTGCGCGGGAGATCTCAGGGAGGCTCCCGGCTCCTGACTTTGGATCAGCACAGCACCGGCCACTGTGGCCATCTGGAGAGTGAACCAGCAGATGGAAGACCTCTCTCTCTCTCTCTCTCTCTCTGCCTCTGCCTCTCTGTAACTCTGCATTTCAAATAAATAAATAAATAAATCTTTAAAAGAAAAAGCAAAAGCGCAGCCTCTGGGAGTGGGTGTTTGGCACAGCGGTTAAGACGCCTGCGCTCCACACGTGAGTGCCAGGGTTCAAGTCCCGGCTGTTGCCCTGACTCAGCTTCCTGCTGATGCACAACCTGGGAACAGCAGGTGACAGCTCAAGGGCTTGCTTGGGTCCTTGCCACCCACATGGGAGACACCCAGATTGAGTTCTGGACTCCTGGGCACTTGGGGAGTGAACCCGTGGATGGGATTAGGGGGAAAAAAACCCCAAAACCCAACCTCTGCAGCCAAGCTGCGTTCACAGCCCTGTGACCTTGAGCAGGCACTGAACTTCCTTGAGCCCCATTTCCGCATCTGTAAAATGAGGCTGCTGCAGCGGGGGCTGTGGCGCAGCGGGTGAAGCAGCCACGGTGCTCTCAGCGTGCCAGTCCAAGCCCTGGACATGCTGCCTTTTTTTTTTTTTTAAGATTTATTTATTTATTTGAAAGTCAGAGTTGCACAGAGAGAGGGGAGGAAGGGAGGGAGGGAAGGAGGGAGGGAAGGAGGGAGGGAGGGAGGGAGGGAGGAGAGAGAGGGGAAGAGAGAGAGAGAGAGAGAGAGAGAGAGAGAGAGATCTTCTATCTGCTGGTTAACTCCCTAATTGGCTGCAACAGCTGGAGATGAGCCATTCCGAAGCCAGGAGCCAGGAGCTTCCTCTGGGTCTCCCACGTGGGTACAGGGGCCCAAGGACTTGGGCCATCTTCTACTGCTTTCCCAGGCCATAGCAGAGAGCTGGATCGGAAGTGGAGCAGCCAGGATATGAACTGGCGCCCGGCGCCCATATGGGATGCCGACACTGCAGGCGGCGGCTTTACCTGCTACACCACAGTGCCAGCTCCCAAGCTGCTTCTGATCCAACACCCTGAAAATGTGTACCCCGGAAGGCAGCAAAGGGTGGCCCAAGTACTGTGTCCCTGCACCCAGGTGGGAGACCAGGATGAAGTTCCTGGCTCCTGGTTTTGGTTTTGGGGAGTGTATCAGCAGATGGAAGACCTCTCTCTGTGTCTCTCCCTCTCTGCAGTTCTGCCTTTCAAATATAAATAAATCTTTGTATAAAAAAGTAACGCGAATAGTCATGCCCACCCCAAGGCTGCTGTGAGGATTAAACACGCCTACAGACGGCAAGAGCTTGCAATGGTGCCTGGGGCGCGGCAGGAGTTTCCGGTCTGCTGTCGTTACAATCACTGCTCTTTATGACAAACTGGAGAATGCACCTGGCTTTATTTCCTCCCGTCTGAGAAGGGCATTCACTCTTCTAACAAACCTATATCGAGGTCCTGTGATATGTCAGGTATGCCCACGGGGCAGGGGATTCAGCCATGAACTCCGCGAACCGACACTTGCATCCCCACGGAGACCACAATCCAGGGACAGGAAACAGGAAAGAAAGCGCATCAGCAAGGCATACACAGACTGAGGCAAAAAGACTGGGGGGTGGGGGGCGGTGCTGCGGCGTAGCGGGTAAAGTCGCCACCTGCAGTGCCGGCATCCCATATGGGCGCTGCTTTGAGTCCTGGCTGCTCCACTTCCGATCCAGCTCTCTGCTATGGCCTGGGAAAGCAGTAGAAGATGGCCCAAGTGCTTGGGCCCTTGCACCCATGTGGGAGACCCAGAAAGAAGCTCCTGGCTTCGGATGGGTGCAGCTCCGGCCGTTGGGGCCAAATGGGGAGTGAACCAGCGGATGGAAGGCCTCTCTCTGCCTCTCATTCTCTCTCTCTCTTTCTCTCCTTCTCTGTATATCTTTGACTTTCAAGTAAATAAATAACTCTTTAAAAATAAAAAAAGACATGGGGGCTGGGGACAGGGCCTGCTATGCCTAGGGGGAGTCTACCATTTTCTGCTGGGGGGCCAAGGAGGGCTTCTCTTCCGAGATGTCTGAAGGATGAGAACGAGCCACAGGAAGTGTCTGGGAGAACATTCCAGGTAGTGGTTATGGGAAGTGCAAAGGCCCCGAGGCAGGCATGGGCTCAGCGAAAGCAGAGACGGCCAGCGCTAGGGCAGAGAGTAGCACTGGCTGGGCTGACCACCGGAGTTGTTCTCCTTTGACTTTTCTCTCTGTCTATCAGGTCTACAGGGGCACACGCCCTGGGGCCAGGACCCTGGCCCCCTCTGTGGGCCCTGGGGGAGAGGCTGGGACTCCCCCACAGAGAGAGGGTGCTTGCAAGAGCAGCGCTGTTTGCTCTAACCCACGGGGACCAGGCCGGGCTGGGCGCTTGGGTGCTGGGCGGGATCCACTCTGTGGGCAAGGGTGTGGGGGCCATGAGCTTGGCCACAGAGGCCCCTTGTGAGCCGGCACAGAGGCCCATTGAGAGCACCCCCACCCCGGCCTCTGGCCTCAGCCCACGGCCCAGTTCGGGCGAGGAGGCCGGGCCTCTGCTTAGGAATGTGTCCACTCCGGGGGAGGGGGCTGGAGGGCCATAAAGCCCTTTTTTAGTAGGCCTGGACCCTACCCCTCCCTGCTCCCTGACCAGGGCCATAGCAGACAAGTCCCTCCCACCTCCCGCCCCAACCTCGAGCTGCTCCCGGCGGGTGGGTGGAAGGTGAGGCCAGGCTGCGTGAGGCCCTCTGGCACTGGCCAGTGCTGCCCCTCCTAATGCTCCCTGGCCCCTATCTGAAGAGCCCCTGTGGGCCAAAGGCTAGGAGGGAGGCCCCGGAGCTGTCTTGTACCTCAGGAGTGGTGGTGGGGCACATACCTGACCACCCCGGCCCCCCAGCAGGCTCCCCGCCATGTCCATTGCTACTCAAGAACCACCCCCCCAATATACACACATATCCTCTGGGCCCTGAAATCCAGTCCTGGCCCCCCAGGGTCCCTTGGGAGGCCTAGACCCAGGAGGCTCTGAGACAGGTATGAGCCACCTCCGGACCCCAGGGCCTTGTTCCCGAGGCACTGCTGCACCCCTCCCCGCCCTGCCAGCACCCGAGAACAGCAGGGCCGCAGGCCACTGCGCGCACATCCTCCAGCCCACATGGGGCCCGCTGAGTCCCGGGCAGGGGAAGGGACTGGACCCAGACTCTGCTGGGCGGAGCCCTGAGTGTGCAGTGTGGTTCACGGTGAAGTGCAGGTTGGGGGAAGGATGGAGAGTGAGGAGGAGGCAGGGAGGCCCGGCCCGGCCTGGGTCCCTCACTGAGGGAGGCCAGCATCAGGCTCAGGACCATCACAGCAGCCATGCGAGGGTGGCCCTGGGGTGACCCTGAGCCTGCAGAGTGGAGACTGAGGGAAGGTCGCAGTGACAGAGACAGCAAAGGAGACGGAGGGGACCAGAGAGAGAGAGAGAGAGAGAGAGAGAGAGAAATGACAGTGTGTGTGTGTGTGTGTGTGTGTGTGTGTGTGTGTGAGGGTGGGAGGCAGAGAGAAAAGGCAAGACAGAGGCAGAGCCAAGGACAGAGGGGGACAGTGTGGCAGGGATGGCAGCCACCGAGGGAGGAGGAGGACGGAGGGGAGCAGAGGGCAGAAGCACAGAGCAGAGGCAGGTGCAGGGTAGCAAATGGGCAGCCCAGGCAGGGCAGGAAGAAGGAGTTGGGCACAGGTGCCAGAGCAGGACAGACCAAGTGCGACAGACAGAGGCAGACACTGGGGCACAGGAGGTGGGAAGGGGTCCTGGGGTGGGAGAGGAGAGCCAGGGCCAGTCAGGGAGGGGTGGTAACGCACAGGCAGGGCTGGGACAGAAGCCTGAGGGAAGAGGAGAGGGGAAAGGCCACCTCCGGGGCCAGATCCCAGGGTCTGGGGTGAGGCCTAGGCAAGGGCAAGGCTGCACACGAGGGCCTGGGAACCGGGGAGACGCACCTGCTGCTTTCCAGGAAGCACAGCCTGGCTGCTGGGCCTGCCCCACAGGGCTGCTGGCAGTGCCAGGGTTTGGGCCCAGGAGGTCTAAGGTCCCAGCTCTTCCCACAGATCAGTCCCAAGAGTAGAGAAGGCACCGGCCCTGATCTTGGGTCTTTTTAGCTGCCGTCCCCTCTGCCCCAACTCCGGCCTCCCCTGCCCTCCCAGCTACTTCTTGGCGAAGGCAGGTGGGTAGGCAAGGACCACATTGAATGGGCAGCCCCACAGGAGGGGCTATAGCTGTTTCCACATGGATGGAGTGGAGCAGACCAGGGCCTCCGCAGGCAGATCTGGCTTGGCAAGCAGCAGCTCCCTAGGCTGCCTCAGTGTAGACCATTCTGGGATGTGGCGTGTAGAACTGAGCCCCAGCCAGCTCCCAGGCCTGCCATGGCCCTGCAGAGACTGGAGGTCACAGTCAGGACCAGGCTGTCCCAGGGCCAGCACCCTGCCTGCACTGGCCTGTTAGGATGCCACCCTCAGGCAGGTGGATGCCCCGATATGTCCACTGAAGGGAGATGAGCTCTGGAGAGGCACAGGCCATACTGTGGAGCTGCCCGGGAGCTGGTCTGAGCCCAGCCCCTGTTCCATGCTTGGCCCTGATCCCCCAGTGTCCCGGACACTGACTCACAAAGGGGGCAGTGGGGACAATAGAGCTGCCAGGCCTTGAACTTGGTAGTTCCTTCCCTACCCAGACTCCTGGGGTGGGAGGCTGGTAGAGGCCTGACTCCCTTCCTTCCCCACGCTGGAACCTGCCCTAAGGCAGGGTTCCTTCCCAAGTCCACAGTGAGGCTTGTGTGGCCCCCGGCCAGCACCCTTGGCCTGCCTGATCGTTCCGCTCCACAGGGACCTTTGGCTCTGACCCCGCTCCGGGGGCTCCCCAGCTCTGCAGCAGCCCCCTCCCCCCCAGGCAAGGCTCTGGGGAGATCAACACAGCTGAGCAACTGGGGAGGCACGGAGTTTGCTTAGGAAGCTGGGTGGCTGGCCCCATCAGACCCGACTTATCCTGCCCACCGTCCTGAGCCCTTCCCACCCGTGCAGGCACCTGCTGACCGTCCCACACACCTGTCATTCAGCAGGTAAGAGAGCAGCCCCACTTCTCCTCGCAGCACACCCCCAGGGCTGGCTCAAGGAGCCCCCAAGACCCTCGGCCCGGGAGAGGGGGGCCTCTATGGTTGGGAGGGGCAGGATGGGGACCTGCGGTATGCCCTCAGCAACTTACCCATCTGGAAGTCCCCACTGCCCAGGTCCCCGCTGCCCAGGCCATCTGCAAGCAGAAAGGAGACGTATTCAGTTAACAACACAGATGTGTGAACACCTGGCACAGAGAGGGGAGGGGGCATGAAAACAGAGCGGCCCCCCTCCTCCCATCCCGGGCCTGGAGCCTTCCTCGGAGACTGTGTGGACAGAGGACCCACTGCAGGGGCGGGGATCAGGTCAGGCTGGTCTCCAGACGAGGACGAGCAGGGGGAGTCGCCCTGGCCCCTTCGCAATCAGGCCTGATTGTCCCAGGTCGCATGGGTTAAGTGGAGGCAGCCAAGTTTGGGACAACACAAGCCCATCTCTTGAGACCCACCTGGGCTGAACTTTAGGGGCCTGCGGAAAGGCGTGTGGGAGGGACCCCGACTCCCAGCCACGGACCCAGAGCCAGGCTCACCTCCAGAGGCATCATCAGCCAGCAGGTCCTCGTCATCAGACAGGTAGGAATAGCTCCAGCCGGCTCGGCCCTCTGTGACGGTCTCTGTGTCCTCGGGCAGAGACAAGCCCTCATATGCCCTCAGCCCGTGGGCCACCTGCGGAAGACGGCACTGCTCAGTCACATGCCAGAGCACCTGCCAGGCCCCAGGGCCCCACCCTGGTCTTCCCCAGGAGTTGGCAGGGCCAGGCTAGGGGATGACTCAGTTTCCATAGCTCCCATTAGCCCCGGAAGCCTTAGCGCCCGCATCTGTAGGTCTCGAATTGATCTTCACATAAAGCAGACAATGAAACTAAAACCACCCCAGACCTGAGTGGTGGGGTTGGGGGACACAGGCAGGCAAAGGTGGCCTTGGCCAGCCAAGATGGGGGCCACGGGAGGTGGAAGGCGGCCAGGGCATGCGTGGAGGGGTGAGTGGCTCCAGGCCACACAGCCACTTCTTCCTGCCCCTGTCAGGCCTGCCAATCTCCAGGTACAGGGAATGCATCCCCCTAGGCTGGAGACCAAGCTCTGGTCCTTGCTGCCTGCGGACAGCTGGGGGTGCAGCACCCAGCAGCAGGCGTGCTGCCAACACCCGTGACCTCAGGCTCGTGCTGAGCCCACCACAGCTCTACCTGGAGCTTCCTGTCCTGCGGAGGGGCTGCTGGGGCCGAGCCCATGAGCGGAGCAGCAGTGCCTTGCTCAGGTGTGTGTGTGGACCATGAATGCCCCTTTCCTCTTAGACAAGATCGCAACGTTTTCAAAGAAGTTGTACCAGGTAACGCGGCAGAAAACAAACCCAGGGCACCAGAGGGGGCCCAGAGCCCGCAAGCCAAGTGTGCAGATTTACCATGGCCCCAGAACCTGGCCAGAGGGCCTCAGGCAGGGCCCCATCTGGGCAGCCCAGCCTACACGGAAGGAAACAGTCTTCACTTGGGAGAAACCGAATCCTCCAGCCAGACCAGATGACGAGGTCCAAGCAGGAGCAAGGCCCAAGGATGAGGAAAACAGAGGAGACGGCCAGCGCGCCCCCACCTCCCCAGTCCCACAACTGCACACGGTCCACGTCCCTCACGCCGCGGTCCCTGGGCTCGAAGGCCCGGCCTCGCGTTGTTTCCTGGGCTCACTCCAGTGCATCCTCCCAGGACCAGCTCCTCTGCTCCTCAGGGGCAGACAGGGACACGCGTCTGATACGCACGGTGGCGCGAGGAATGTCAGGCGACAGGAGCCAGACGCCAAGGCTCCCTGCAGGGGGAGTTCACTTACGGAAAACTCCAGGGGAAAAGCCTCGGCCACAGAGACAGAAAAATCAGGAGCTGCCTGGAGGTGACCAGGCAGGGGCACAAGGGACATCCGTCTCCTTATTATTGAACTGTATGCTTCAAACCCATTCCCTAAGGCAGGGGTGTGGCACAGGGACTGCCACGAACCCCATACTGGAGTTCATCTCAGGTTCATTCCCAACTCCAGCTTCCTATTAATGCACATCCTAGGAGGCAGTGGTGATGGCTCAGTAGTTGGGTCCAGAGGCTGGCGTTGTGGTATAGCAGGTAAAGCCACTGCCTGGGACTCTGGCATCCCATCTGGGTGCCAGTTCGTGTTCTGGCTGTTCCACTTCCCATCCAGCTCCCTGCTAATGGCCTGGGAAACCAGTAGAAGATGGTCCAAGTGTTTGGAGGAAGCTGCTGGCTCCTGGATTCAGCTTGGCCCGGTGCTGGCTATTGCGGCCATCTGGGGAGTGAACCAGCGGGTAGAGGATCTCTCTTGGGACCAGCGCTATGGTGTAGTGGAGAAAGCCGCCAAATGTAGTGCCAGCATCCCATATGGGCACCGGTTTAAGTCCCGGCTGCTCTACTTCCGATCCAGCTCTCTGCCATGGCCTAGGAAAGCAGTAGAAGGTAGCCCAAGTCCTTGAGCCCCTGCACCTGTGTAGGAGACCTGGAAGAAGCTCCTGGCTCCTGGCTCCTGGCTTTGGATTGGCCCAGCTCCAGCCATTGCTACCATTTAGGGAGTGAACCAGATGGAGACCTCTCTCTCTGCCTCTCTGTAACTCTGCCTTTCAAATGAAAATAAATCTTAAAAAAAAAAAAAAAAGATCCCTCTCTTTGTCTCTCCCTCTTCCTGTGTAACTCTTTTAAGATAAATATTTTAAAAATATTTTTTAATTTAAAAAGATTTTTTTATTTAATTTGACAGAGTTACACAGAGAGAGGGAGAGACAGAGAGAGGGGTCTTCCATCCACTGGTTCACTCCCCAAATGCCCGCAAAGGCAGAAGCTGCACCGATCTGAAGCCAGGAGCCAGGAGCCAGGAGCCAGGAGCTTCTTCCAGGTCTCCCATGCGGGTGCAGTGGCCCAAGGACTTGGGCCATCTTCTTCTGCTTTCCCAGGCCACAGCAGAGAGCTGGATTGGAACTGGAACAGCTGGGTCTCGAACTGGCGCCCATATGGGATGCCAGTGCCATGGGCCAGGGCTTTAACCCACTGTGCCACAGCACTGGCCCCAATATATGAATCTTAAAATAGTAGAGGTGTCCCTGCTACTTGCATGGGAGACCTGGATTGAGTTCTAGTCTCCCGGCTTTGACCTGCCCTGCCCCGAGCTGTTGCAAGCATGTGGGGAGTGAGCCAGCAGATGGACGTTCTCTGTCTATCTCTGTCTTTTTAAATAAATTAGAAATAAACGTGCTAAATGGGTTCTTTTCATGGTGTGTAATTACCTCCACGGGGATGACTAACAGGAAAATCTCTCCTGGGCGACTTTGTCCTGAGTCTCACCCTTCACAGTCACCCTGTCTCCTGCCCCAGGCAGGGTTCCGGCCCTTCCAGGCTCCCGGGCTCATGCTGCAGCTGTAGAGATGCACCTTGGAGGCAGGGACGGTGAGCAACTCACCCCGCCCTTCCCAGCACTTTGTGTTCAACACATAAATGAATGAAGGAAGGAAGGAAGGAACGAAGCCGTCCCTGGTGGTGAGCGCCAGCCGCCTTCTGAAGAGACGACGTGGTTTGCAGGCACTGCCCATGCCCAGGCAGCCCGTCGTCTCCTTACGCTGTGAGCTCCCTGGCGGCACGGATGAGACACCATTTGTTTATCTTTGAGTCTGCAAAGCTGCAGGGCCTTGAGTGACAGTGCACTGCCCGCGTCTCAGTCCCTGCCATGGCCGCAGGCTCCTTCCCCCCTGTTCTATGGGCGATGCCGCCTCCTCTTCCTCTCCACTCCCCACGCTCTCTCTGCACAAGTGCCCGCTCTGTCCTAGTGACGACCCACACACTGCTGGGCCACCTCCATGGGATCTGTTTCCAGAAGGCTTGAATCCTCCTGGAGCTGCTGGGAAATGCAGGTTCCCGGGCCCCTTTTCAGAGCCACTGTCGGTCACTGAATAAGACCCATAAGACTGGGGCTGGCGCTGTGGCATATTGGATTAAGTTGCCGCCTGCAGTGCCGGCGTCCCATTTGGGTGCCAGCTTGTGTCCCAGCTGCTCCACTTCCGATCCAGCTCCCTGCTGATGCACCCGGGAAAGCAGCAGAAGATGGCCCAAGTCCTTGGGTCCCTGCACCCACATGGGAGACCCAGAAGAATCTCCTGGCTCCTGGCTTTGGCCTGGCCCAGCCCTAACCGTTGTAGCCATTTGGGGAGTGAACCAGCAGATGGAAGATTTCTCTTTCTCTCTATCTCTCCCTCTCTTTCTCTGTAACTCTGCCCTTCAAGTACACAAATGAATCTTTAAAAACAAAAACACAAGGCAGGGGTTGAGCTTCACTCCCTGGCAAGAGGCGGGGGGCAGTGTTCCTACTGGCTGATGCGGGGCTCTGATGGGCCCAAGGGGAGTAGGAAGCTAGGGCTGGCAGGGGGCCTTGACTCTGGGCTGGGGAGGTTTTAGAGGACAGGCCTGGGTCCTCCCCACCTTTGTCACTGCCATACCCTGCCCCCTCTCCAGGCAACCAAGGCTGCAGAGGGCGTGCATAGGTCACAGAGATTCCTGGCACCCCCAGACCTCGCTGTCTGGAAAGGAAAAGCCTGGTGGTGAGCAAGGGCTAGAGCTTTTCCCAGGGAGGGAAGGGGGGGTGCAATGTGTCAGACAGGAAATAGCAAAGTGAGATTCAACATGGAAAAAATGCCAGGAACACACATCTGCAGTGAGAGGGGAACGAGAGTCCACAGCACGGGGTCTGGAGAGAAGTTCCCTGAACCCGGGGGTCCCCGGGGAGGCCACCTGCCCTTGCTGCCAGCCCCCTCCCCAGGGTCTGATCAGGGCCCAGGAGCCAGGGACAACTCGGCAAGAGCAGAGACTTCATTTGTAAAACGATGAAGATCAAACGCTCGAGCAGCTGCATTTCTCATCTGGGAGGAGAGACGGACTCAGACAGGAAGGAGGTCCCGGAGAGAGACTTGACCACAGAAGGGAACTGGGATCCAGACCTGCGAAGCCCAGGTTGGGAGCACTTGCTGTGCACCAGGCGCTCTGAAACCGGGAGTCAGGTGCTCAGCCGTCCTACTGTGCAGAGCTGGAGCTAACGTGTGAGGCCGGATCTGAACCCCAGACCCGGCTGCAGTGCCCAGGCTCTCACCACGGCACTCTGCGGCCTCCGTAACCAAGGCTACGGAAGGAGCTGGAAGCACCTTAGCCACAGTGACCATTTCCCCAGCATCAGTGTCACCCTGACAAGGACCCTGTGAGGATACCTGACTGGGGGGAGGGGGCAGGTGTGGACGGCTCCATTCACAGAGGCCCTGGGACAAGCAACTTGGCCAGCTCACAGGTAAGCGGCTGCCACCCCACCAGAGCCCTCTGCTCACCAGGAGAGGGGCCAGGGCTGGGCTGGACCGCCAGACTGGCCACGAGGCCTGAGCAAAGGGCAGTAGCAGAAAGCTCCAGGCTGGCCAGTGCCCATGACTGACCAGCTCCCAGGCAGGCAGTGGGCCAAGCCCAGGCAGTGTGGGCCTCAGGTCCTGAGCACGGGCCATCAGTGGCCGACGGTTGGGGGCAGAAATAGAACCCAGGCTTCCTGCCCTCCAGCCTGTCTCCGGCTACAAGGGAGCCCGGCTTCCTCCCAAAGGAACCCAGTGCTTCAGGCGGGCGTCCGAGCCGGATGGCGGGGCTGGGGAGGAGGGGTCAC